TCCTGAGCCGACCACCTCTGCTGCTCCCGAGCCCACTACCACTCCGGCTCCGGCTCCGGCTCCTGAGCCTTCCTCGACGACCTCCAGTGCTCCTGCCCCGTCCAGCTCTTCCAGCTCCAGCTCTGGCTCTGGCTCCGGCTCCAGCTCCAGCGGCCAGTGCTCCGAGAGCTCTCCTTGCGCGGGTGACGGAACCTACTACAACACGGCCGATACCATGACCAACCCCAGCTTCTGCGACACTGCTAACGATGGTTACGCCGAGAACGTCGTTGCTCTCTCCTCGGCTATCATGAACGAGGGCTACTGCGGCAAGACCATCACCGTTTCCTACAACGGCAAGACCTCGACCGCTAAGGTGGTGGACAAGTGCCCGAGCTGCAGCGCGAGCTCCATTGACATGTCGCCCGCCCTGTTCGGTGACCTCGCCGATCTGGCTTTGGGTCGGATCCACGTCGAGTGGTGGTTCAACAACTAAAATTTTCTGGGCAAATGGAACCTGAAACCAGGCTGGACCAGTGACATAGGGCTATACCATTTGACTTCTTCTTTCCTTTCGTTTAGCTCGCATCGCGAGCTGATTTTTTATTGACCTTCTTGACATGTGAATAGATCTTTGCTTTCATTCTTCTACTAGAGTCGGTCCTCCAATGAAGTCAAACCAGGGCCGCTCTGGTTTTCGATGTCCACTCTGTACTGAGTACATCCTCCTTTTTTTTTTCTTGTTGTTTTCTTTTCCTTTTCCAAGGACATGTGGAACATGGACCTACCGTTGCTCCCCTGCAAGTCAGGCTGGATCGCATGTGAAACGGTGGAAATGGTTCCTACAACACTACTCCTGGGGAGTTATGATGCAACGATATGAGCATGTCCGTTGATTGATTGATTGATTGAAAGATGATCTCAAGAAAAAGTTCTACGATGTCTTTTTAGCTTAGAAAAAAAATGAGGGAATATGATCTGCAGTTTTTTTTTCACCCACAATGAGAGTGAGCCAGTATTGCTAGTGCGTAAGAGATCATTACTCCTTATTAAGGCTAAGACGGAGTACTCCGTAGTGTTGTTTCAGACTGAGCTTTTTGTCTAATACGGAGTACTAGGAGTACTAGTAGGAGTACTAGTAGTGTTCCTTACTAAGGAGAATATAGGAAATGCTTGACGATGACCGAAGGTCTCGATAGTATTAGTTTATGCTTAGCATGCTCATCTCTAGCCGATCGTCAGTGATTGCCAGGCACAGGGGCGCCGATCCACAAACTGCAATACCCAAAGCTGGAAGGAGCTGTGGCTGTGGCTGTGTCACATACACTGCCACTGCGAGTACGGATCACTGTGATCACATGCTACAGACTACTCTGTACCTAACAGGTACCTAATGTACTGTACAGTACACCTAGTCTACAGAGTACTCCGTATGTAATTGTTATTTGCCTCCTCGTCCTCAGACTGGAGTACTAAACTGGACTGGCTGTGATGCTGTGCATGCATGGCTACCTAAAAGTAATTTAATTTAATCTGAGCCACATACTCCGTACTCCGTTACTGCCCTGTACGGACTACCTAATTGCCGAGTACGGAGTACACAGGACAGACCACCGATCGTTGGATCCACCGCAGGGGAATTACGCTGCATAATCAATGCACCTGAATCACTGAGCTAATAATAACAATAAGCTTTCAATGCGTTCTGCTGCGCTGGACGGAGCAACAGTTTTTGTCTGCTTGCTGTTTAATGACTGACTGAATGGCAGATGGTGCGGGCGGGACTCGAGAGTACCCGTGACCTGTCACCTGCCCAAGGAGGCAGTAGGTGGATGGACTGGTATGCACCTGTATTGAACGGATTCCAAATGGCTCAGGCACCAAGGAATTCATACATTCTATGAGTAATACTCCGTACAGTGTAGGTACAGTACGGTACTATGGGTAAATCGATACTAATTGCCATTGTAGGTAATTAATTCCAGAGTTTTTCCCAAGAAAAAGCAGGCACTATACACTACCGCAGCTCAAAGTGGCAGTACGGAGTACATATGCAGCTGTCTTCTCTGGAAATAATATTTCTAAACTCAGTCGAAATGAATCACAGAGTAACAATCGATCAGACAGGATATGACTTCTTCCCGCACAGACCGCCTTTCCATGGATCTCGGAAGGGCTTCCGGCGGTGGTGGTCGGCATTGATTGGATGGTGGGCGGAAGAGAGATGTCAGTGCAAAGTTTGGTCCGAAATTGCCGCGTCTTGAGACTGAAGGGCTGTCATACTGTACAACTCGCCTAGCGAATTGGTGTGTTGTACATCCATCCGTCGTCCAAGTGTTCTTAGGCTCTGTCATTGCAGGGAAAGGCTAGAAATTCAGACAATTCACCGGTTTTCAGCCTTTTTGTTCGCTGTACTGTCATCTGCCGCCAGCACAGAGCCGCCGCTCAGCCGCGAGCGGCGCAGCCAGTCACAAGGCTCAGCACGGCGACAGCCCGGCCTAGCGCCGACCCGACCAGCTGGGCGCCCACGTCGTCGGTCGCGTACCCCACTGCGCCGTCATCAATTGTCAGTTCATCGCTCAATAATTCGCTCGCTAATTCATCGCTTAATGCTCAGTCAATTTTAGTGTCTTCTTCCCCATAGGGCATGGAGCGGGGAAACGACACTCTGGGACTTCCGTGCACAGCACACCTCGTGACCTGTGACCCGTCCTGTCGCCCGCCCGTCCGTTTTTCTCCAGATTTCGCTTCCTCCGCCTTTGCCTCCACATCGCCCTCTCCCTCTCCTCTGCCATCCTGTATATACAATCGTATCACCCCGCCCTTCCCTTCTTTCTTGTCCACTAGGGGTCTCTTTTTTTTTTTGATATTTTCTTCTCAGACGCTGTGTAAATACGATACGCCATTTGCCCTCGTGCCCTTCCCGCGTGTTCGAAAACGTCATCGATCCTCGACCACCAGTTTTTTTTTTACAGCCATTCCGAGTCTTTGGAGATGATGGAGTCTCCTACCACCTCGTCTGAATCGGACACCTCGTGGATACGCAGGCAGTAGTGTGCTGGGGTCTTAGCTGGCCGACATGGAGGACCGCAGGACGGCGGTGATGGTCGTCACCATCGTCGTCTTCGTCCTGGCCTCCGTCTTCGTCGCTCTCCGCTTCGTCTCTCGATGGGGGATCGTGCGCAGGATCGCGCTGCACGATCATGTCATGCTGCTGGCTTGGATCATCGACTTCGGTTTCACTTTCTCCATCTGCTATGCCACCACCAAGGGATTGGGTCTGCCGGATGTCCATGTCCCCCCAAGCTCGCAGCCGGCTCTCAATCGTTTGGAATATGCCACCACCGTGCTCTACGTGAGTTTCCCTGGAACAATCTGACCCTCCCTCTGTCTTGCGACATACTGACTCTCACAGAATCCCGCCTTGATGGCGCTAAAGACATCCATCCTCATCTTCTACCTGACCCTGACCAAAGGAGAAAAAGTCTTCCGCTGGGCAAACTACGTCACGCTCATCGTGGTGAACGCTGCCGGGTTTGCCTTGACCTTGATTAATGTCTTCCAGTGCCATCCCTTGAGCGCCGCCTTCCACTACCCGCCCGTCGACAACGCCACCTGCATCGATATCGTCACCCTGTATCTGTCCTCCGCTCCGGTCAACCTCATCACCGACCTTGCCATCTTCTTCCTGCCCATGCCCATCTTGACCCGCATGCGCCTCCCGCTGAAGCAGAAGATCATCTTGATTATCACCTTCAGTTTCGGTGTCTTTACGGCCGTGGTGGATGTCATTCGGGTCGCCTACCTCCAGAGCGCGGCGTCCTCTCGCGCCATGACCTATCACAGTTCGGATTCCTCCCACATCAACTCCCTTGAGCATCAGGACTTTTCTTGTATGCCGCTCCCGTCTCCAAGCATGACCGATAAGCTCATGTTATTGACTTCTCTAGGGTATGGTGCCTTTACGTTTATGTGGTCGGCCGTCGAGGTCAACATCGGTATGATCTGTGCTTGTGTCCCGAGCTTGAAGCCCTTGGTCGCACGAGTGCTTCCCAGGATGATCAAGGGCACCGATGATTTGACCCCCAACACAGCAGTCGCAGCTACCGACCCTCCCACCGCAGAAATGCCCGTCAGTCCACCGCGGTCAGACTCTGGACCCACGTCTACCACCCTGCGTCCGCCAGATACATCGTCAAGTGATCGAGGCAAGGCCTCTACCGGTGGAAGTGAAAGCAGCACCAGGAGGAATGCACCCGCAGCACCCGAAGACTATGTCGACATGATGGACTTCCTCACCGCCCCCGACGAGGGCCCTCGGGATCTGGAAGGCAGTGCGCCCACTGGGAGCGGCTCGACGCCACAGAATGTCACCACCTTTTATGACTTTGTCAACATGAAGAAGCCCAAAAGCATGCTCAAGATGAACACCCGGGAGTCCATCCCGCCGGTCGCGCTGACCACCATCCTGTTCTTCTTGTGGGGGTTCGCCTACGGGTTTTTGGATATCTTGAACGCCCAATTCCAAGCTATTGCGCATGTCAGCACGTGGGGCTCTCTGGGCATGCACGCCGCGTACTACGGCGGTTATCTGATCGCCCCGTTGACGGTCGGTCGCCTCGTCCTGACGATCTGGGGTTTCAAAGCGACGTTCATCACGGGCCTCTGCATCTACGCCTGTGGAACTCTGATCTTTTGGCCGTCGGCGGTCTTGACCTCGTTTCCAGCGTTCACCGTGTCGAATTTCATTGTCGGCTTCGGACTGGCCGTTTTGGAGACGGCTGCCAACCCGTTCATTGCGCTCTGCGGACCGCAGGAGAATTCGGAGATGCGCTTGAACTTTTCACAGGCAATCCAGGCCACGGGGAGCGTGCTCTCGCCGCTGCTGGCCAAGAAGGTCTTGTTCGGGACCGTGCAGGACGCCGTGTCGCTGGTCGATGTCCAGTGGACGTATCTCGCAATCGCTCTCTTCGACGTTCTGCTCGCCGTTGCGTTTTACTATCTGCCGGTGCCGGAAGCGTCCGACGACGATCTCAGAGAACTGGCCAACCGGCGGGGGGACGCAAATTCGGCAAAGGTGGCGGGACTTCCTGTTGTTTGGGTCACCTTTTGCTTGGGCGTGTTCTCTCAATGGTGCTATGTGGGCGGACAGGAGGGACTCTCAACAAGCTTTCAGAATTTGGTTAACGCGTTGATGCCGAACTCCCGACTCGGTTCATTTGACTACCTCCTAATCGGTCGCACGCTCTTTGCCGTTGGCCGTTTCTTTGCCGCTTTCGCGCAATGGTTCCTCAAACCCCGGTGGATCCTTCTTGTCTCTTACATCGGGATGGTCGTGTTCGCCGTGCTTTGCATGAACGTGCGCGGTTCCGGCGGCGTGGCCATGGGGCTGATGCTCTTTCTCTTCGAGAGCGGCGCGTTCAGCATCATTTTCGCCATCTCCCTGCGTGGAATGGGACCGTACACAAAAACCGGGGCGTCCATCATGACGGCCGCCATCAGCGGTGGAGCGATTTTCCCATTCCCGCAACAGGCCGCTGTGATCCGTCGCGGCGAGCCATACTCCTTCTGCGTGGTTGCTGCCCTCTATGCTGCTGGCGCCATCTTTCCCGTGTACCTGAACCTCGTCCCGGCAGCACGGAAGCAGGTCGACCCGGTGCCCAACGAATATCTTCGCCACTATCCACGTCGTCGACGCCATACCGTTGGGGTCGTGCATCGCGAGAAGGAGAACCCGTCGTCGGGCGGAGTGCTCTCTCGACCCCGCAGTCTGATGGACGAGCCTCTCCCGGCGGTGCAACTGCCGGGGGAGATTCACGTCAATGACCATGCCGTGTCGAGGAGCAGCTCTCCCAGCCTGCCGAGTAGAAGAGGCGGCATTATGCATGATTTGGCGCCGTGGCCGGACGAGCCGGACGAGTCGGGCAGGACATAAAAAGCCCGCTGTCTTTCCTCGTCTACCAGCTCTCGCACAGTCGATATCTCAAGTCGATATTTTATTTTCTTTTCTTCATTTTATAGATACCCCTTCATTTCGCTTTTTTTTTTCTTTTCAGTCTGGGTATTCCCAGCTTTACACAGTTACGACGTCCACGACTATCTGTCTATCTGTCTGTCTGCATCAAGCCAGCAGACAAACAAACCGACTCAACCAAAAGTTGACAGCCTTACCCGGCCTTATGGAGGTTATTCTCCCTTTTTTTTTTATATATATAATACCCGGGAGATTTATCATACTATATTTATTTATTATTTATTCACATATATACGCCATTTAATATCCCTGATCGAAACTTTGAACTTCTTTTCTTTTCTTCTTGATCTGATCTCCAGGGTGCTTCTTACCTTTTTTAATTTCTGTCTTTCTGTGTTGTTATGTTTTCAGCGAAGGCGTTTGGATGGAGGGGTTATTTATCATTATATATATAGTCATAGTCATGAAAACTGGGAGGCGATTTGTCGGATTCATGAATGTTCAAGAGGTATTAAAAAAAAAAGAGATACTGGACATAAATAAAATCACTCTGATTGATTGATTACTGATTGATGTAAAAACAAAATGCTACAGCATTTCCATATTGTTGCTCACCCAGCTGCATGTACACATATTAAGAGTAGTGCCACACTGCCTTATTCAATTGATTCAGGTAGTAGTCAGTCCTCAGGACCTCAGGCAATATTCATGCACCATCTATATATTATATAGTCTTCACCCCAACTACTTTAACCTAGTACTGGGCTGTTAATAAGATACCTAGTATTTGAGATATTACTTAGTATTATCGAATTCGCAATCGAGATCTCTGTCGTTCAGATCTAATAGTGTCCAGTGCCGTATTCGACAGTGGGCAACAACCTAAGGTACGGTAGTTATTCGGTGGACAGTCTGTGGTCAGCAAGTAATATAATATACAAGCAAGCAAGCAATGGCTGGACATAGCCGATTACGTTTGATGACAAGCTAATCGTCTTTCTCTCTCTTTTTTTCTTCCCTTAGTCTATTTTTTTTGTCGAAACCTGAGAATATAACTGATACCCTACGTAGGAGGTACCTCCAAAGATGTACCCTCTCTCATCCAATCACCACCCCCCTCCCCCCTCTCCCAGGTGAGACATAAGTCAAGAACTCCCCTACCAAAACAAGGCCGGGGTCCCTAGCTAGCTCAAGTAGTAGAAATCCCAATATCCAATATCAGTAAGCTAGGGGCCCCAGGTTCGAGCCTCGTGCTCGGACAGTAAAATCCCTGCCTCTTCGAGGATGTTATGTCCAAAAAAAAATCTTGACGGAGAAGAGCGGTTAACAGGGGTTTTCGTAGCACCTCCTAACAGCTTAAATGACTGGGGGGTGTGAGCTTTTTTTACTTTGTGAATCTTTTTCCTTTTTTTTTAGTATAAGATACTGTATAAGATACTAGCTAGAAGAGCTCCATAGTGTTTGTTTGTTTATGTCGCGAGCACCTCACTCAGCTGGCCATTCAAGAACGCGTCCTTTGGTACTTCGAAAACAGAATCCCTGGTCCTCACATCAATAGCAAAATACCGCCCTTCATCTTCTGAAACGTGCTTTGTTGTCAAATCTACTGTCCAAGGGCTGCTTAGTTGGACTCTTATGGTTGCCATACTAGGTAGGTACGGCTCAGCGCCCAGTGAATTTCCACACTTGGAAGTGACTCCTGGAGCCTGCCTGCCCTGCCTATGTACTCTAGCCTTTATAGGCATAGCCAACCTACCTCAAGGCTGTACTCATCTGCTCTCACCTCGTCGAACAGAACCTTTCCTACGCGTCACAGCCTGTGCGCGCAGCATACTTTGGCGATCCTCGAGTCTCTCAAGTTCTTGGTGCGAGTATCATCCACATATCTTTGCAAAAGAGATAAGTATTGACAAGTGCTCCGTTTCTTTTGTTTTTACTGCTGTCCATAGGGCGGTCAGGGTAGGCACTCCCAGACTGGCTATCTGGTGATGAACTAGCTAATACTTTACTAGTATCTCTCTTCCCCTTCTCCATTTCTTTACTGCTATCCTTAGGGTGGTCAGGTAAGCACCCTAGGTCTGGTTATACAACAAGGGCTGTATCTGACAGAAACACAGTTGCTTTCTTGCTTCCTTGCTACTTTGGCTGGCCACTATTGTGCGTGCTTATCCTTGGATACGAGACGGATTCATAAACTAACAACGAAAGTCTAGTGGCATTAGGTCCCTTTTCCCTCTTTCTCTTCTATCTACCGATAATTCGACTACCGACAAATCCGCGGTCGAACGAACGAAGACACGATGGCGTCAGAACAAGCGAAACCGAGGACACCTAAAAGACCAATAAGTGAGTAATACCTGAACTTGAGAGCCTTAGTCGTCATTAGACTAATGTTGATTGTTTAGGTAGCCACGAGGTCGAAGACTCGGCTGAGGGTAAATTCCCACGGTTGGATCCTGAAATTTCGTCCAGAAAAGTCGGTCAATTTAACTGGCGCGAGTGCCGTGACTTTACGGAGTTTGTGAAAGCAGCCAAAATGCATCAAGTCCATGCTTCCAGCAAGAAAATCGAATTTGAAGATTCAGGCTGTGCCTTACCTCAGTTTATTCTTAAACAGGCAACCAAATACTTGCGTGATGTTCAAGTAGAACTCATGGAGAAAGGCTATACTGGGATTGAATGGATGAATCTGCCGCCATCAGGTCCAACAGAACCGACACAACACGATCAGGTTGTCTCGATCTATTTCGAATGCCTCGAGATATTCCCATTCGTACGAGAACTGGACCTAGAGAAATATTATGAGGCCCTGCAGAGGTGGTTCCCTCTCCGTTCTCCACCATCTCAAGGCTTTGTCAACGCGGATGTGGTGATAGATGCGTTCCACCGCGATCCAAAACCAGGGCGCGATATTACGAGCACGATTTACCAGCAAATTTACAACTACTATTCCGATTTCGACTCTGCCATTCACCTCGCCCCGTATACCTCAATTGTCGGGCCAAGCGGAATCGGGAAGAGCTTCGTGGTAGAACAGATTGCTCGAGAACATCGTACGTACGTTGTGTACGCGAGCCTGGCTAAATCGGGTTCTGATACCTATCCTCGTCGGTCACCGATCGCAGACTCTATATCTCTGATTACGCGTCGACCAGAAATGACGATGTTTTTTTGAGGCTTTTATAGCTGCGAGTTTAGTGCACGTTAAGCTCTGCAGGGAAATGGGGATTACCCCCATGGAATTTTTCGAGCTCCAGGTCAGACAGGAGCTTGGGTCGTTTCAAACTTCTCTGGCTGAAAGCGTGCAGGGCCTCTATGATTAGGCCAAAAGGCAATATGTTGCTTCACAGGCAGCGGGCAGTCTTCGGCGATTGAGGAGTGGCGAGCCAGGATTCAACTACCAGACGTATCTCAACCAGATCTTGGATGGTTACGAAGACAAAACCAAGAAAGTCTTCGGAGATATTCTTGGACCACTTCGAGGCACCATTAAAGATCCCAGAGCTGTTGAAAGCATAGAAGAATTGGCCCCAAAGCCCGGCAATCCAGAGGCTGTTGTGTGTCTCGACCAGGCACGTCATCTCCTTTCCGAAATGAATCGTGAAGTGGAACTTTTGGAGGAGCCTGACATGAGGTTCACCGCGTTCATCAGAGCGACAAGGCATCAAACAAGCGTTCAAAGACCCATTGACGGCCACAATACTGATAACAATCGGTTCTTTGCGCTCCTGTTAGACACCACATCCAGAGTGTCCTCCTTCGCCCCACCCCGAGAGCATGATCCGACTAAATTCCTGCGCCGCGAGGAGTTGTTTCCTCCAATCTATCAAATTCACACCTTTGACCTTCTCAAAAGGAACCCGGACCGGGTACTGAAGTTGGAAAAGACTATTGACGTAAAAGCTCTTTTCTGTCTCGGTAGACCAATGTGGGGTGCATATCTGGAAGCGGGTCAGAGTCTGAAGGCAGTGCAGAGACTGGCGCTCGAAGATTGGTGGTGGCCCGAATACAAGCAACTGGAAAGGTGGACGTGATGTTCACTTAATTGCGTTGATTTCATTTCGGATCCTCTTCCAGCTTCGCAATCAGACTCTCGCAGACGAGTTGACGTCTGGGTGCCTCAGGTTCATCTACGATATCGATGATGAACGGAGGTCCATTCGAACGAAGCAACCATCTGAGCCCATTCTGGCTCACGTATCGGCAATGGAGATGAAGAGAGACCGAGTCAAGCGGGTGGACGCTATCAAGACACTTTATCAGAATGTCAACAAGAGGACTATTCACCTTGGGGATACAGGGGAATATGTGGCCGCCTTGATTTTCCTCTTTGCTTTTGATAAGATAAGGCCCACGAAGAGCAGTTGCCAGGACCTATCAAGTTCTCCGCATTCCTTACCTCTCTCCTCTCAAGTATTATGTCCAACCGCCTTCAAAGCTGTATGGAAGAAGACAGCGAATTGAAGCGTCTATGGACTGATGGTTATGTATTTTTCAATCACTTTGAGAGGTTCGAAGAGGACCCCAATGAAGACAGCGTGCGACTAGCATACCGTCGTAGAATGGGAATCATCTGTCCATTGGGATACAAGGGATGTGATCTCATTATCCCAGTCGCTTTACCGGAGGATAACAGCTTGAGTTATTTTGTTGTCCAGGTTAAAAACCGGAGGGACAGTAGTCTGACAGACTGTCTTCGGGATGAAGCAAGCTCTGCGCTGAAGTCGGCTGTACAGCTACTTCCAAAGACTTCAGGATACGTGTCAAAGTTAATGTCCCTTCGTTGTAGAGAGGACCAAAACAAAATTGAACTGGCCTATCCCAAGCTGTGCCCTGAACAGCAGCCCAACACGAGAAGGTCAGCGGCCAGGTCTCTCGGGGGTAGCAGCTCGGAGCCGCAATTGCTGTACGATTGGGATGAGGAACCAAGAAGGGTCTTGCTGGTAGCTACGGGAATCGATCTCCAACTTTATCCGGGGATTGGGTTTGCTAGTAACCCTGAGGAGGAACCCGAATCAAAAGAGATTGTGGGCATTCTGAGGCGCGTACTACACTGCACTTCGGACGTCATGACTGATAGGAAAACTGCCTATCACGGCAATTTGTCAGACTATTGTAAAGGGAAGACTAGATCTGACGTTAACTAAGATGATGAATGGCATTGTGTGATCTTTATGTACTGTACACTACTATGTATAGAGTCAGCCATTGAAACTAGTCGGGGATTTTTCGGATTCTAATGTTCAGGAGTGGTTTAAACAAAAAAAAAGAGAGAGACGCCTTCGAAAAAAGAAGTAAAAAACATGCAACAGCTGGGATTCGCTGGTGGTCACCCACCCAACTACTAACCAGCCGGCGTGCGGCTTAAGTACGGCTGAGCGGACGGGAAGCCCTGTTTTCCGCACCCTATGGTCGCATGTACTGATTTCCTGCCCACTAGCTGGTTATGTAGGTAGGGACATGCCTAGTTGCAGACAGTATTCTTCTATGCTTCTTTTCTTCTTTTCCAGGAACAAGAATGGATTTGCGGCGGGTTAGGTAGGCTACGACAGCACTATTATTACTTTCTGGACGGGTTCCTTCCTGAGTCTGAGTCCTACCGACCGGACAGGACAATCTTCTAGAATGAATTATGGGGCATGGAGCAATCTTCGATTGGTCGATAAAACTGGAACAGCTTAAACTATATATATCTGTAAATCTATAAACTTAATCCAGCCTGAAACGAAACGAAGCACATCCTGTCACAGCGTAGCATAGACTTGATATCGAAAATACTCGTTGGATAGATGCCAGCCAGCCAGCAAGCAAGCAGAGACAGACAGCAGGAGTATCAATCAACAATCAATATTCGAGCAATCAAGCAAGCAGGCAAGCAAGCAAGCAAGTACAATAACAATGTCACTCTATATAGCCGTGAATAGAAAAAAGGTCATGAGAAATGAGCAACGAGAAACAAGCAAACCGGTCTATCTAACTACTCGAGTAATAAATAAAGAAATTCAACGACGAGGTATCAACGAAGACGCGTGAGTGAGCGGGGCTTGCTGCTCACCACCAGTCCCCCTGATCCTTCATCGCAGCAGCAACCTTCATGAAACCCGCAATGTTGCTCCCCGCCACCAGCGAAGGCAGGACGCCCTCCGGGGTCGGGACATATTCCTTGGCCGTCTCCAGGCCGTTGCGGAACGACGACTCCATGATCTCCTGCAGGCGGCGGTCGACTTCCTCCGCCGTCCAGCTCAGACGCGCCGAGTTCTGCGCCATCTCGAGCCCTGAGACGGCGACGCCGCCCAGGTTGGCGGCCTTGCCTGGAGCGTACCAGATGGCTGCGCTGCCCTTGTTGCTCTCGCGGTGCGCCTCGAACACGTCGATGGCTTCCTGCGTCGACCCCATGTTGGAGCCCTCGGCGATGAACTTGGTGCCTGCGGCGATCAGCGCCCGCGCCTCGTCGCCTGACACCTCGTTCTGCGTCGCGCAGGGCAGCGCCACGTCAACTTCGCCGACATGTACCCAGGGACGCGCCCCCGCGATGTACTGGAACTTGCGCTTGAAGGCGTCTGTGCTGGCGAGCGAACTCAGCTGCTTGCGCTCGACCTTGAGCTGGGCGATCTGCTGGATTTCAGCAGGCGTGAAGCCCTCGTTGCTGCCTGGGGGGACGATGAGGGCTCCCTGGCTGTCGGACAGTGACACCACCGTGCCGCCCAGCTCGATGACCTTCAGTGCCGCGTACTGGGCGACGTTGCCAGAGCCGGAGATGGCCACGCGCTTTCCAGCGAAGGACTCCTTACCGCCGGTGGCGTACTTGATCATGTGCTGGACGTACTATATAGACACATAGTTAGCAGGTCGAAAGAAAAAAAAACCGATTGTTAGGGAACGTACATAGACAAGACCGTATCCGGTGGCTTCAGGACGAATCAAGCTGCCACCCCAGCTGCTGCCCTTGCCGGTGAGGACACCCTCCCACTGGTTGCGAATCTTCTTGTACTGGCCAAACAGGTAGCCGATTTCGCGCCCTGAGACCCCAATGTCGCCGGCCGGCACGTCAGTGTCGGCACCAATGTGCCTGGCCAGCTCGGTCATGAAGGCGACGCAAAACTTGCGAATCTCATTGTCAGACTTGCCCTTGGGGTCGAAGTCTGCGCCGCCCTTGCCACCGCCCATGTTGACTGTAATTGCACATGTCAGCTTCATCCGACAGACGCATGTCTGCGACTATGTGTGTACTTACGTCCAGTCAGGGCATTTTTGAAGATCTGTTCAAAACCGAGGAATTTCAAAATAGACAAGTTGACTATCCAAAATCGTCAGCCATGCCTTTTTTTTTCTTCTATTTATTCGATTGAACCAACTCACCAGTCGGATGGAAGCGCAGCCCACCCTTGTACGGGCCCAGGGCCGAGTTGAACTGGACGCGGTAGCCGCGGTTGACTTGCAGCTGTCACAGACATATTAGTTTAGTTTAGTTTAAGCGCATCATCATGCAAGTTCGATCGGACCTGGCCCTTGTCATCCTCCCAGACGACGCGGAATTGAACGACCCGCTCCGGGATGGCGGCCACCTGCAGGGCCTTGCGGTATTCGGGGTACTTCTGGAACAGAGTCGAGTTTTCGAGGGTTGAAGCGAGCTCTGGAGAGTGATAGATTGTTAATTAGGTAGGTGGCAGGTCTTGGGTTGATGATGAGAAGGACGTACCTTTATAGGCTTGCTCGAACTCAGGCTCAGAGGGAAGGTTCGACATGTTGGGATGGCAGGACGTGGGAACTTCTCAATTGATATAGACAGACAGACAGGACAGGAAGGAAGATATCAACAGCCCTCTCGTAGATGATATCGACAATTCGAATGGAAGAGAAGATGGATGAGGTGCGGAGGAGGTCGGTCTTCTTTATATAGAGCTGACTGACGGGATCCATGGAGAGGGGACCGACGGCCGGAGCTGGACCTGGACCTGGAGCTCTCCACCAGGAACCATGAACCCAGTAACGGCAACAGCCAAAAAAAAAAAGGCACCTGCATTGCGTTCCTGAATTGAATTTGCTGGTGTCAGAGCAAAAACCAATTCTAATGAGACCAGATCTAGAATCTGGGATTCGCCCCGACAATGCGTCTCGTGACCTGAAGGTACAGTCCAGACGTAGTTAAGTACAGTACAGTACCTACATGTATGCACCTGTCTGGAGGAACATACGTAAGCTATGTATTGATACGTGTATTAACCCTATTCTGGACACAGTATACAAGCATCTAGGCCATGTTTCGCAAGATAGAATCCATCTTCAGACGAAATGATTCCAAATTAACTAAATAATATCTAACTGCTCAATAGCATCATACTTATGACTGTACTGACTGTGTTGTATGACTGACATTTGTCGGTGAGAGTACTGTACTGTACATGTACCTAGTCACGAGGATGGACTGATTCCGTCCGGGAACCCTCGGATCGCATTCGCCGCCCTTGTGACTCACTCGAATCCGCCGATGCGAGGCGATGCGATATCGGGGGAGATGCCCTTTGTTTCTCACTTGCTATTATTTTATTTTAATTTTTTATTCTAATGATAATCGTAAAATAATAGCATAATAATAAAATGTATGGATTGAGTGAGGATCAGATAAGTTCAGAATAAATATATCTGAATGAATGGATGTCCTTAAGAGTTAGGACATATGCAGGATTGGTTCTTGGCGTGTACTGACAGTACTGTACACATGTACTGTACTGCGGTGTATGTATTTATTTATTAAAAGTTGAATCATTATTGAATTGAGTTATATGAAACGACATACAATGTGCTGTTTATTTTAGAAAAAATACGAATCTACTCCGTAGTGTGATGATCACTGATCATGTGCTCATTACTTCAAGTGGCAACTGCTCATGTGCTCCTCCTGGCTGTGGCGCAGCAGTCCACTAGAAGCATTCTAGAACGAGCCCAGCCGATGGAATTATTAATTACCCCAGAAACTTGTAAGGTTAATTAATTAATTAAAGATAAAAAAAAATAATCAACATGTCGCAACTGTAGAATTTAAAGTTACTCTGTGTCAAACCTTAGATTATCTAGATGGTAGCTCTCTTGGCAGTCGGAGTGATACTATCTTGCAGACCAGATCAACAGCTATTGTATACCACATCGCGGTTTGTTTATTTATTCCTCAATATTCCTCAATTCAAATCGGGTCATGAGGAACTAGTACGTGGATTCTGCGTTTGCGACGTTGAGTGCGAAGAGTATAGGATAGACCATCTACTTCGATGGGCATACAGACGCATGCATGCATTGGCATAGATTCTGTTCGTAATATGACGATCCTGTATCTGATGTTATGAAACAGACAGTATATACAACTTCAAGGGGCATCTACAGGATCCCAGTCTATCATTCATGTCAGCATCAACACTATCATATGATGAGAGTGAAGCTCACCAGTAACCAAATATTCGTCCAACCCGTCCATCGTCTTCATGTCCTCCGCGCTAATCTCGAACCCCTCGATCTGCCCGTTCGAGATGATCCGCTCCTTCGAGACGCTCTTCGGCAGCGGCACGTAACCGTGCTGCAGGCTCCATCGCACCATGAGTTGCGCCGGCGTGCACCCATACTTCTGCGACAGCGAGACGATGGTCGGATGGCGCATGCGATAGGCACGCGCCAGCGGAGCGTAGGCCTGGACCACGATCCCATTCTCTTGACAGAACGACGTGATCTCGGAGCGAGTGTTGAATGGGTGCACCTCGATCTGGTTGACGGCTGGGCGAATGCGCGGGTTCGACGCGAGCAACTCCTTCAGGTGTTTGACCCCGTAGTTGCTCACCCCGCCCGTGCGGATCTCGTTGTCCGCGATCGCATCCTCAATCGCACGCCAGCATTCTAGCCGTTTGGCCTTGCCGCCGTACGGCGCATGAATGAGGAACAGATCGATGTAGCCTAGCCCCGAGGCACGAATCGACTCCTTGATGGACCGCCGTGTAGCGTCGTAACTGATGTTCGAGGCCAGCTTTGAAGTAAAGAAGATGTCCTCCCGCTTGACGCCGTTGGGCTTGTTCTTCTCGGCTTCGAGGAAACGGAGGATGGCGCGGCCAACTTCTCTCTCATTGTGGTACATTTGAGCGCTGTCGATTCTGTTTGCACGCACACGTCAGCTTCTCTTTCGACAGATTGGAGCACAGCCCAAGACCATGATTACCCTCGATAGCCGGCCTACAAGTAGACACTGGTTAGTCGCGGATCTACTGCGAGAGGCAGCTCGCGCCAACTCACTTCTAGGGCCCATTTGACAGCATTCTCCGTCTCCCTCCCAGAGGTGAGGTAGACACCCAGGTGAATCTGCGGCATGGACGCGCCATTGGGGAGCTATACATGAGCACGATGCTGTCAGCTGAGGGGTATGACGAGAATCGGCCGAGTCAACAGGACACAACGCATGGACTGGATTGAAATCACATGCACGTGGCAAAGACGTAGGCAGGAGGCTTGACCTTGATCCTGGAGGACAGAGAATATGCACTCTTGGGAGTCGCCATGGCGATCGATCTAGTGGTGAGGTTTGATACACAGCGTCAGCCGCAGAATCGAGCAATGACGCAAGGTCGTGCACGGGTTGGGCTAGGTTCCGGCCGCTTAGGCGGTCAAGGGTCGCGCTTCGTTGGGTGACAGGTTGACAGCGGGCGAGTTCCCCGGTTAGGTGTTGTTTGTTGCTCTTCTGCCAAAATTGGCACGCCTGTCAACTAACCGGCGCAATTACGATAGGTCACAAGTCGCAATGGCGTGGTCCCAATAATGAGAGTCGATAGTCTGCATGGGGCTGTCGTGAGAAGGAAAAGGTTGCCCAAGTCGATCTTTTTTTAGCCAGCCCCCACGGCCACCTCAGATCTCGGATCGAGGCGGTGACGGTGGCTAGTGATCAGTGGCTGGAGCTGTGTTCCGCTGCAAGACAAGCACACGGATCGGCATGCACTAGCCACATCCTGCACCGACTATCGATGCCCGGCCAATCTGTGGCTGATATGCGATCGTATCCGCGAACCTGTGGCTGGTGTGGATCCCGCGGCCTCATTGGGCAATCCCCGCGCCGGCTATCCGGCGTCTCCGGGATCGGCGCGAATTGTCGACGAAAGTCACGAAACAAGCGCCCTGCTGTTTCGCTTCGCCCTTGCTTCGAATCTTCATGGCAGCAAGTTGCAACAGAGGTTGAGAGTCTCGTATCGCCAGCCGGCCAATCATCATCTACATCATGAAAGCGCTGTGCCAGGCTGCCAGATTTCTTGGTCGCACGTGCCCCTTTGACGCCACAAGCCAAATGTGCCGAAGGAAAAGGAATACGGAGTACGTTGATCACATCCTGAAAAAAAAATACAGCTATGTCTTGGGTGGACATGCAGTCCATCAGACTAGGATGTGACAGCCGCAGAAACTTCACTAGCCACTTTGCGCTTGTTTCTCAGACCGTGCAGTCTACACCGATGTGGCGACGAATCTGCAGTAAGGCGCCACGATGGTCAGAGTCTGACATCAAGACTGCCAAGGCAGCATGATTGACCGCCCTCCGCGGAGTTGCCCTCCATCCGCGCTCTGATCAAACAAAGGCCTTGTTTGCGCTTTCTTAACCGATGATGGATGAGATGGCCTGGAAACACCTTCCTAAACGAGCGGCGAATGACATGGCCATTATTTGCCTCCATTGGAAGGTCTCCTCGTAGCTTCCTGGGTCGAACCCGTGTTCCTTGATTTGTTCAATAGCCGGAAACCAGTAGGGTAGAGCCGCACGGAAACGAGGACGTCGGGTATCTGCAGCGAGATCAACACGGGAGCTGAGCGTTAAGTGTCAGAAAAACAGCTCACTCAGCGTCTGGAACGGACAGATGCCGTTGAAACTCGCGTCGTCGCCCAGTCAGCGTCGTGCAGGGTGGTGGAAATGCTCCGAACGGTGTCGCGCTTGTCGAGCCAGACAACTCTGTCCCACCGCCCAGCATGTGCCAAACCATGGATGCAGCGACGTTTTTGACTTTGAGCAGTTGTGAGCAACAAGAAAGGCAGGTGGGTAACGGGTTGGGTCGTTGGCCTGTGGCAAATGGTGGGAGGTGGAAAAGATAGCCGCAACGCACTGATGTGGGACTCGCAAACCCAAAAGATGTTATCGAAATTCCCGGGGATGATTAGGTTAGCAACAAGAATAGTAATCGTCTGCAAGGAACTAGCCACCATCACGACTGGACGCTGGAGGGTGGTGCATTGTCGGTGGCGGTGGTGCAGCATGTCTGCAGACTGATCGTCGTGGAGGACGCGCTTCCCAGGCTATTGGGATCCTCGTGTGACCTTTTCCGGTTGTCCGCCCATGATGCGCTGGCAGTTAGTGGAAAACAGCACCGGCAAGCAGCGAATCCACCCCCTTTTTTTTCTGCACGGGCTTACGTTGCATGGAGAGGGACGCATGTGAATCGTCAGCCAATTCATTTTCCTTCGTTCCCGGCCACCTTGCCGATGGTGAAAAGAAGCTCTTCGACGCGGTTGTGGACACGGTAGACGTCCTCTGGGCGAAGTGGGAGCAGAGGCATGGCCTGCCCTTCCGCGGGCTGCGACTGGGCTATTTGGAATTTCGTCGTAGAACCATTGAATAGCGTCGAAATATCCGCCAGTACTACCCAGCCCATTGCGCTTGGTCCAGGAACCGTCTGGCGATCGCCCTCGCCCGTAGGGATCTTTATTTTTATTCAGGCTGTGATTTGTCCCTGGGGACGTAGGCTGTCCTCCGTGCTCGGAAGCACGGACTCGAAATCTCCTCGGCCGGCCCCAGGCGTCAGCACGCGGCAGCCAGAGCAGTTCTGTACGCAGGGGTCACAGCGTCTAGGCCGACGTGGAACGATGGAAGGCCTCTGAGTTCGATCGCGGGCGAATCCGCAGCGTCGCCCAAGCCACAGCGGCACGGCGCTCGATCTGGCGGCTGAACGACGCGCGATCCTCGCTGCACGGCTAGAGGCCCTTGGGCCCTACCGAAGCGCCTCTCCATCGAGCCCTTGGTCCACCATCGTCATGGGCGTTCTTGGGGGTTGCGGTGGCCCAGGAGCCCCAAAGGCCCGCCGGATGGGGTGCCGACGCACGGCGGGCAGGTCGAGCAGTTGCCAGGCATGGCAGGCGAGGCCCCAGTGTGGATGGTCGATGGCATGCGCCGGAACCCGCAGCTGCTCAGCTTGTCCGCATGGCCTGTCGCTAAGTCTGGCTGCTCCCCGCTGTTGTATATACCATTCGCATAAAGTCGATGGCCTCCCTTCCCCAGATGGCCGCCGTCGTTCTTCTTCTCTCTCCTGCCCGCGCCTCCTCCTCCGACGCAACACCGTTCTGTCGGCCTCCTCCCTCCGCCCTCGCTCCCCTCCTTATGCCTCGCCTGGTCACGCCCGCCGTGACTTCCCCCGCGCCTGGTCGGGCCTCCGCTAGCAGATGTCCTTGAATGATCCTGCGTCCGGCTCGGGTTTCCGTGTGCTCAAGAGCCGCCGTCTCGCCCGTGTGTCTGCCGCTGCCACCTCTTCTCTCAGGACTGGATTCCTGGCCTTCATCCGTCGAGGGAGGAGCCTCTTCTCTAGCAAGTAACTAGGCCCCCATCCCTCTCCTCCACCTGAAATACTTTGTGTGTCGTCTATTATCCCTGCCAGAAAAAAAAAGAAAGAAAGAGACGACTGCAATCCCTCTGTCCGGCGAGCCGTCCGGAAATTACCCCCTCCCCAAGAAGTACAATCAAAATTTCCCATCCACTCCTCTTCCTCTCCGCGGGAGCAAGACAGGCTGAGACTGCATTGAACCACTAGCAGCAGGCGTTCTGTACAGCCGGAGCCACAGCCAGAGCCGCCGCAGCAGCCGCCAATCCCCCGCGGTCCTGCCAGGATGAGTGGCCAGCAGCAGCAACAGTTCGATCCGGCCACCATGGCCGAGCTGTCGGAGGCGTCCCAGGGCTCTGACGACTCCAGCTTCGACATCTTCGAGTGGTATCCGCGATATCAGAGCTGTCAACGATACTTTCTGGACCATGCGCAGCACAGCGTTCCCGTGCAGGCCCTCTGCGCCTTCCTCAACATTCGACTCCCTTTCCAGAGACAGCCTAATCCCATCTTCAATTCCAACGACGCCTCCGGCACTCCTCCAGCTCAGCCCCCGTCCGCCTCTGCTCCCATCACCCCTCTTCCGCCCTCCGTATCCCTGGTCCCTTATATCCGGCGCCTAGTCGCCACGGGGATGGATTTCCCCGGGGTACTGCATGGATTCTTTGGGGACGATTGGCGGACCGGAGTTGGACCGCTCCATGACCAGGAACGCCGCAATTATCTGTTCGCGGCCAAGAGCGGCGGATGGGCGTCGGTGAAGAAGGATTACGATATTCCACCCTTGGAAACGATTCCCTTCCTGCGGCCCCTGCAAGGCCCTCTGGATTCCGAGATCGAGGCCGCCGAGCGGAGCTGGAGCGAGTGGTTGGCGATGGAAGACTGGATGGTTGGACCTCGCGCTCCCGACGTGCTGCAAGATTCTTTCTCCCAGGGATCACGACAACACCGCGGATCGAGATCATGATGAGAGATGACAGGCTGGCTCCCGCCGTTTCGTTTCTCTTCGCTTCGAATTTTCCTTTCTACCTCGTCTAGGAGCCTGGCTTCTGCCCCTAGCCAACCTCTCGGTGGCATGGATCCACATCACGAGAGTTTTCGATCGTATATCTTACAATTTTCTTTTCGGGCCAGCGGTACTTTTTTTTTCTGTTCACGGTTCGATTGCTTCACTACGACGTGATGAGAAACCATGGATTCGATCTACACTGGATTGGCGTTGCATGCGATCTTCCTTGTGGTTACAAAGAGCATAGTTGGAGTTCTTGCATCTTCAGGGGTTCAAGGGGGGAAGGAGAGCGAGTTCAAGGAAGAAACAAAAGTGTGTGTGTGTTTTGTGTGCCATGTAGCATCCGTTATGGTATATCACTTAGATTACAGGTTACTGGGGAAAGAACGGATGGCTGAAGACATCACATCCACCGGGTTACCTGTCTTGGAGAATGGGGTGCAACCGTGCAACCCATTTTCCTACCCTTTTTTTCTTCCAATATTTTCAATCTGTAATACCCCCTCATCATGTACACCGCCAGATACGAAAGAGAGTCGTCTAAAATGCCGAGGTTATTGTTAGTCACCATTGATGTTCCCGGTCTTTTTTCTTCGTACAATTGGCGGATTATTTTCTTCTTTCTTCTAGAACTTGTGTGACAGTTGGGATGAGTGGACGCGACGAAAAAGCCTAATTGTCGTGCCTCGATAGGCGACTATCAGAATGGTTAGTATCTGTTCATTTCCAGGGACCGGCCAATCACACAACCTCGATGGCCTATTCCCCCGCTACGGAGCGTTAACGATCTCATTTCCATTGCGCGAACTGACACTCGTCCGCTGGCCAGAGTCGATTCGGGAGTTCTTATTAGTTGGTCGCCTAAGGTCACTAACCTCTCTCGCTGGCCGTGCTTTGGCACGATGGTTAGCGCAAGTCGTTCCACTACTGTGACATACTGTCTGCCGATTCCGGAGCCATTCTCCCTTTTTTTTTCTGTCTTTTTTTTCTTCGCAGTACTCCATATATTGTCGTCATTAAATATAATATACCTCTCCAGGCGTTTCTCTTTCTTTTCCCTTTTCTAGCCAATTACATCCTAAGCTTACTTTGCAATCCATCCACAAACCAATCAGCGGACGGTGCACCAGTTGCTGTTCGCGGCACAGGGTTGGCAGGAACCATGGGAGACACAAAAAGGCAGTTTGTTTGTCCATGCTGCATCCATACTGCAGGTGCATACTACGTCCGGAATTGGCAACTGCCTTGCAGCCTAAGTCACTCGCACCAATCCGCTTTCTGATAGGGCATGCTAAACCTTAGCAGCCCTTCCGGCCAATCAGACTCCTTGGCATTCCAGATCGGGTATTGACCTCGGCTCCCAATCCAATCGATCTGCACAGATCTAGCAAAAATCTCCGACCCGGACAAGCAAGCCCACACCAACAAATTCGTTATGCATTATTTTGTGACAATGACCTTGATACTACCCACCTAGTATTTATCGGGATTCACTGTCCCTCTTAGTCCGTACTTGTACCATGGAACGCATCACCGTTGACCCGTCTTGATCGGGCATCTACCTTACGATTCTACGTAGATGAGAGGGGTTCAAAGTGGACCAACTTTCAGCCAGCCACAGATTCACATGGTCCCAAAAAAAGAGGGGTGCCTAGTAAGAAAGAAATCTACAATATCTTGTGACGATCACCACGGGAATTTTCTGGGAGCAATTACCAATCATAGTCATAGTCATAATAATATTTCACAGGTCGACCGGTAAGTTGTAACGATATTCAGTGTAGTAAGTAGTCAAGTAGGTAGTACGGTACGGAGGACACCGAAAACAGCACGAACCAGCAGCTTAAAACAAACACTCCTGTATAATTGATGGATCTTATTAGCAGGTAATTTGTACCTGAGACGACACCTGCCAGGAAGCAAGCTTGTTAGCTAGTAGATAAGTTATCCCCATTGAGTGCAACGTGCCGGCAGCGGCCAGCCCAGGAACGCACCGTTGCCGTGCCTGTCTACGAACCGGAGATAGATAAACGTAGACAGGGCTTCGAATCCTGTAGTCAGGTGTCATATACTATTCTACATTATTATTGGCTTTGTATCCTCGATATTTGTTCAAGTGGAAGCCTCAACATTTCTGCCATGAGACTTTGGCCAAAAGCAGTATGTGTGTGACTAAAAAGTCAATACCCTACTAAACTGGTGGAAACATCCAGGGATGCCTTTTCTCCATTTACTGCGCTGCAGAGCTTCATACCTATCCAAGTCAATTGATCTGGAGCAAATGATAATGATTACATAATCGTTATCACATGACCGTGACGCCGTGACTCGCCCAGCCATCATCGCTGCAACAACAATGGAAGAGTCCAGCCATGTTCAAGGCTCACGAATATATGAACCATCGTCTTATCCATAAGAATCTATATAGAATATATGTCTGATATTGACAGCATCTTCCTTTGAAAAGGTGGTAATTAGCATGCACGTCCCAGGCGATGGGATCGTCAGTGGAAGAGTGGAGGAAACTCCTCCACCAGTGTCTGATCCGGCGCATCGACGCCAATGAATTCAAAACGCTTGCAAAGCTTCTGGCACGGCGTGCTCCGCTGGCAGAGGCGTCCCTGCTCGACGTCGTGCTCGAGTCGCGCGCCGTCGCCAACGCCCAATGGGACCCGTTGGTGCCTCTCTATGTCGACACCCTGACCAAGCTGGGCACCGTCAGGATTCCCACCGTCCTGCAGAGTCTGCTGAAACATTCGTCCATCGGCGAGCAGCAGCAGCAGCAGCAGCAGCAGCAGCAGTCTGCGGCAGCTCCCGATAACAAGCAAAAGAGCCGGGGCCAGCACCTTTCCACCACCCTGATGACCGATACCCGGATCATTCAAGATGCAATGATTGCGCTTTCGACGGGGAGTGTCCCGATATCTGCCACGGACGCCGCGAGGATCTTCACAGCGGTTGCCGACTGGATTCTGGAGGTGGTCCGCTGGCATACAAGCCATGTCAACGAGGACCAGCAGACGGGAGGCTTGATGGGCTCTCCCGACGCGATATCGTTGTTCGAATCTCTGGGGATTCTATTGGCTGCTCTGTCTGCAACCGAGAAAGGGCTCGAGGCTCTTTCCTCGGACAATTCGGAGGGTGCGACATGACCTCCATCCGTTTTTGCTTGCGGCATTTCGACTGACTCTTGATTAGCATTCAAAATCAAGCTTGGACAGGCTCTCACGGCCTATCTGCCGCTGTGTGCTGGCGTCTCGGTGCCGCTTCGAAACCGACTGGATAGCCTGCAGAAGGGCTTCGAGCTCTACGGGGAGCCCAACTCGAAATCTCTCGACGTTCCCATGATGGATGGCGTCAATGTGAACGCGCTGCAGTTTGAAGCTTCCGTTATGGACGGCCCTGTTATCAATTCTAGAGCTGGTCTCTATATCTACCTCAACGCTATGGTAAATTGCCCACTCTCCGTTGAAGAACTGTTTGCTAATGGTTCAGCTTGTGGGGCGCCCTCTTGTCGATGACAGTATGCTTCTAAATTACTTATCGAACCGCTATGGGGTAGGCCTTTCTTTTCTGTTTTTGCGGTTAACTGTTCTGACATTTACTAGGGACATCACGAGGTCCTGATACAAGAGCTAATCACCGCGTCATTCGACGTCCTATCTAACGCCATGTATCGAAATGAATCCAGCCGGACCATGTTCGTCTTTCGCTCATTTCTCGTTAATAAGCTGCCGCCATTCTTGGCGAGCATGGCAGCAGCTTCAATGGAGCCGATTCAAATGGAGGTCTGCATAAGCCACGCTCTGAACCGACTCGATCCCAACGCGTTCCCTTCTTTTTCGCAAATGTTTGAAATGCATGGCAACACGGTCCTGTCGGACGTGAGACAGGAGTTCTTGTTCGCTTGCGCGTTGCACCGGCTCATCCCCGAGTCCAGCATCGAACGCCTGCTGGGTGAAAACCCGATGCAGACGTTGCCCGTTGGTGGCAAATACATCAAAGACGAGCTGGTCTCGCAGATCACCGCCGATCATGAGCGCGCTGATCAGCTGATTGCCGAAATGGAAGCCATGGAGGGGAATGCAGCAGCCATAGTTGGTGCGGTTACAGAGGTGAGTTTTCTGGACGTCGATCGATTGGCGAGTAAACTTTAACACTGTTGCCAGGTGATACACAGTCTTTGCAATCAGAAAGAGACAGTTACATTAAAAACGATTTGTAATTCCCTGTCTCGTCGGCCCCAGGTGTTGGATGTTATTCTGCTGTTTCGCAGTCCCAAGACCATTTTGCAGCCCCTTTGCTCTCTGCTGGATGCCTGGAGGTGGGATGAGGATCAAGGTTGGACTAATCTGGCCGCGTTGTGAACTTAAGAAACTGGCTAATTGGCAATAGGTGAAAACCAACCTGTTTATGACGAGTTTGGCAGCGTGCTGCTGTTGGTCCTCGCCTTCAAGTATCGCTACGATCTGAGCCAGTACGATCTTGGAATCTCGAATAGTCAATCGTTTGTGTTGAAACTGCTGGATCGAGGTTCATCCAGCCAGAAACTCGACGATTTGGGCGAGAAGCAACACAAGAATCTAGGCGCTTGGATCTCAGCTCTTTTTATCGCGGAGGGGATCAGCGAGGAGACCATGTCATCATGCAGCCCTCAGGAATTTTACCTTCTGGTTTCGACGCTATTCAGTCAAAGCATTGGTGCTTGCGAGGCCGGGAAGTTAGAGTTTGACACGCTCAAGGGCGGTTTTGAATGTGTGTAATCCCAGGCGTCCAACCCTTGACGTGGCTAACATTTGCAGATCTTCTTGAGCCGTTTCTCCTTCCGTCTCTCGTTATCGCACTCACATGGCTGGGTAACTATATCTGGGAATCCGAAACAGACCCGACGATCCCCTTGAAAGTGCTGCATTCCCTGGTGAAGCCCAATTCGATTTCAGGAGAAGCGGAGGCTATTCATCGGACAGTTCTCTACATCACCGCGCGGACACTGGAAGAGCAGCTGAAAGACGTACGTACCCGGCATCCGGGACGGTCGGATATCAAGCCTATCCTCGACGCTCTTGAACCGTATCTGTCCTTTCAGAGGACGGGAAGCAGTCATCGAGCTGAACTCGAGAGCTGGACTTCGCACTCCGGTGGACTCACCGGCAGCATCCGGAATACTTTCCATTCCCTTGTCTTGTGGAGCACCAATCCGGAAATCAGCATGTCTCCCCATTCATACACACATCGCCAGCTTTTGGCTGGGGTTCGAATCTTGGGCGCCACGCGGGTCCTCCCGGCTTTGATCGAGGAATTGAAGCTGCAGACCGAAGCTGGGAGCGGTGACCTCGCCATCGACATTGCAGCAACCTTGATCTGTTCGCCCATGGCAGAGTCTTTTGCCGTCGATCAAGCAATCTATCGTCCTGTCGACCCCAACAAGGAAGCTCTTCCGCGTTGTCCGATCCTCACGCTTCGAGACGCCCTCGTCTTTCAGCATGAGAACGTGCCTAAGATTGCGGAAAAGGATCCCTTGCGTGCAGAGGTCATTGTGCGTTTGTACCGTCGTGTCAACGCTCTGCTAGCGCCACCATCCCACGTCAACAATCTGGACGTCAGCAATATCATTGACAACATGAATCTGGAGGGTGGTGTCGGTGGCCACGATCAGATGGATCTGGGCTCGGCGGACCCGCAGATGACGGGGACTGGAATGGGAGGATCAGAAGAAAACATCGACCGGATGCTCAACGAGGCAGCGGCGGCTGCGGGCGGCGTCAACAATGGGGCGCCTCCTCAAGGCGTGGGGTTGGACGGGGCTGGATCTGGTCCTGGGACGGGGATGGATACGAGCATTGACGACATGCTGAATGCGGCAGATATGGGAGTTGGGAATCCAGAATTTTTAGACCTGGATATGGAGGGGATGTTCTAAGCACTATCCAGTTATTAATACGAGCACTTATTTCTCCCAATAAATTGTGCTGTAAGGAGGAATATCGATGATGATTATTATTACTTTAACAAGGTGATTTGATTGATTGGATTCGATTAAAGAAAGCCGTTATTTGCATATATCTTGCAACACTAGGCAATTCAACAATAAAAAAAGAATCACAGACGAGCAACCTGCTCAACCCAGTAAGGCCCTCTTTCTTCTGCCTCCCCTTCCAACAGGTATCGGTGTCCTCAGGCTTAGTTATTCACATCGAGAATCTTTATAGAATCCGTCGAGATATCCGTATCTATATCTATAACCCAAAATCGTCAATAAGTGAGTACCGTGCACATGGAAACAGAGAAAGTCGCTCTATGTGTACATTAGAGCAGAAATCGAAACAAACCCCCTCAGAAGAAGAAAAGAAGGTTTTTTTTTCTTTCCTTTTCTGAGGAAGAAATAATGGAAAAAATAAGAAAAGAGATTCAATTCAAGGCAGGGGATTGTCTAACCTGGTGGTAATATAGTTGGTTAGATAGCTAATATATCTATTATTCATTGTAAGGAATAATACATAACTCGCAAGAGACTGTAAAAATTGAAAGAAAGAAATGAAATGAAAAAGAAAAGAAATTTTATCTGTCATTAATTACGTCCTTGTTTTTTTACATACGAATTTACATATTGCAAACATCACGGCATCATATACTATAGGTAGACTGACTGACCTTGACTATTGACTAGAAGTGGATAGGATGAGACAGAATACGAAATCTATCCAAGTTACGATATACGATTTATTTATAGTTATAACTATCTACGACAGTGATTAGTTAATCATGACTAAGAGTCTAGACTAACTCTTTCTCACTGCCCAGCGAGTTGCCAGGTTGCTATTATTAATAAATACTTCGTATTGCTTTTTTTTGACTTATTGCCGTCTCTCGATACCGATGATGTACTCCGTCCGTATCTAGAATCTGGTTTAACCAGGCAGGCTGACTCGACTCGACTCGATCGATCGACTATGTAAACTTAACTGTTGGACAATAATAGCTACTCCGCACCTTAGGTACTCCGTACTCCGTATTTCTACCCGGTTAGGTGGTTACCTCCGCGAAGCACAGAGTAGTACGGAGTATAGTAGTAGTAGTACGTCAGCTACGCTGGAACTATCAGGACAGATCTACTCTGTAGACTGAATCAGTATGTTCTCCGTTCTCCGTTCTCCATACTCCGTAGATATAGATAGTTTGTAGATGATTAGTTAGCTCGCAATCTAGCACGCTCTCCCCCCACTTTTCTTTTCTTTAGGGGGTTGTTTTCTTGGGAATTTGGGAGAGAACCAAGAACCGAAAAATGGGGAATAATCCTTCTCCTCGCCTAGGTAGTAGTACTGGCGTGTCCCTGTTACTACTAACTTTAGTCGCGTGGGTTCAGGATAAGGAGGATTGATCACTGAGTTCTCCGTACAGGCTAACAGCACCTAGGATCCTCCTATTCCTGATGATGCGAGGCAACAGGACCTACTTCTAATTTAATTCAATTCATTAATTAATTGTTAGAGTACTCCGTCGTTAGGCCAACCGAACGTTAAATCCAGGGCCGAGGCCACGGGTACGGAGTACGCTAACTGCTTGGCCAGTGCTCAGCCGGCGCGAACCGTTTTAACGGAACGGGTTCCTGAGTTCAGAACCGTCGTCGGACTAACTTAGCTTACCAACAGTCGAGCTTCACGCTTGAACTTTAAGCTTGAATGAAGCTCCCCTGAGACGGTAGACCCAGACCTCAGCCCGGACCGTTCGATGGGTGTCCACTTGTCCCAAGAATGGAGTCAATGGACGGAAGGATTCACACACGGGCTTCCTGAGGCATCTATGGTTGGTAGACGAAGAGGGGAAAACCAAAACATCCTTCGAAGTATCTTCAACCTTAGTATCCATAAGCAACAGACCAGGTCTTGGCTCGGTTCGACCTTACCGAGTTGTTGTATTCAACTCGCAATTTTGGATTTCACTATAGACACTCATTCAGGGCAGCAATAATACTGCGGAAAATCTGCTCTGTCTAGCCGAAGATCTACGTACCATCTGGAAAAGATCTTGAACGCGAACTTGGAGATATCTGTTCCCGATCCCTGGGTCTAGATCGGATCGATCCAGATCATCGTTCGGAACTTCGCGGCACTCAGATCAAGCTGAGCTCTACTCCGTACTTGCGTACCGTGTACTCGAGTCGGGTCCACGGAATATGATCAGTACTCCGTAGGACTCTAGTCAGTACGGAGGAATGCTCGGGCTGTCTCCACAATGATATCCGTTCTGTACGGGATGATGGCAGAAATGGTGATCGGAGGTTCAGGTTTCCCTGCTGACTTGCTGAGTTCCAGATCAGAGACGATAGAAACCCACTAGATGACTGGGTCTTTCTATTCGGTTAGCGAGATCGGTGGTGGACTTCGAGAGCTGAGAATCTGATAGCAAACACGCACTGGTGAGTTGGAGCTACCCGTTTACTCGGTATGAAGAGCGTTGGCGAGCCGCAAAGCGCTCTTTCTGTCCGATGAAGAGGTGATGGCATCTTCTCAACTCAATGTCGCCGAAATATGCGATATCGATCCAGAGCTACACTCGTGTGACGATGTTGCAGGAGCTCTGTGATAGCTGTGTATGCTATCGGCCATGACATCGTGGTGAGTTAGCCTGGAACCTGCGCAGGTTTCAGTAAAATTCCAACTTGTGCGCCAATATCAAGCCTCAATTACACTCTCCTTCGGAGTCTGATATCCTGTCACGACTAGATAAGTAACTAGTCTTCTGCCACGATTGTAGACCTCTCCATCCACTGTATTTTATACACAACCATAGCAAGAATGACATGCCACGCATCCGCTACTGTATTGCCTGTCGTCAAGGCAGATATCTCTCCATATTAGCCGATATTGTCACCAATCGTGCTCCGTCCTGTATACATAATGGTTTAGTTGTAGAATTCATTAACACTGTTCATCGACGTTCGTACTCAGGCGAGGAATTCAGAAAAGAGCAGCCAGATCCTCCTGGTAAACGCAGAAGCCCAAATTAGGAATTGAGCATCCTGGGTGGCCCACCAGGGTGGGCCATCATTTGGAACGAGAACTGCCGCAGTCCTAAGGCGCATCTCGTTCGGCTGCTGCGTAGGGTCAGCTCGGAGTCCCTGTCAGAGTACGGAGTACGGAGATTACTTTATTCTTCGTCCATGCGCATATCACATGAAGCGTGAATTCATGCTCACGCTTTTCATCCGTGGTATTAGCCGAGTTCCAAGTCTTTATGCTATTGCCTGGTAGTCGCGGATAGAACACGGCTCGCTTAATGCTAGCGGATTTCTGCCAGCGGAGAGGTTCCGGGTGCCTGATCGGCGGCCAGGGTCCCTGTTCTGTTCAGCGCCACAATTATTATTGCGTACAAGGGAGAACGGGCATCCAGCTGTCGTGCAAATTGGCATCATGCTAGGAGATGTGCTTGCAGGTCATAGCGTACCTAGTCAGAGATCCAGACACACCCTCCCCTGGCCAGGCCATGAAATCAATCCCTGTGTTAATCGAGAGAAGAAGAGAGAATGTCAATGAGACGCAGTACTCGGAGTAAAACAGAGTCTGCTGTGCAAAGGAGCCCTTGCCATGCCTCATGAGAACACGGACTCAGTACGGAGTACATCCACCGAATTACCGAGTCGATCGATTGCGGCAGGAACTCATCGATCCCGTGCCGCAGCTCGCAGGAACAGCCAGGCACGTGTCTCCCTAAAGCCAGCTTAGTGTAATTGTGTAAACAGGTTGCTAGGCGAGCCCAACGTAACGGAGAACGGCGGCCCGTACAGAGTACAGCATGGAGTGCTCAGGCTCGCCTCACATACGGAGTACTCCATAATTAATTGCACGGAAGGGATGGATGCTGGCTGTCATCTGTCATGGCGCACCGGTCACCATGTGGCCAGTGGTGGCGTGCACAGATAGGTACTGTGCCGCAGTCCGTGTTAGACTCATAAGCCGAGGCTTCTACTTGTCCTGAGTTTTGGCTGCTGGTGTTCTAACTTCTCCATGAGGGCGGCACGGGCAGCCGGTGGAGGTTTAGGGCCTTAGCACGAGCCTAAGTCGCGTGCGGAATCCGCGGCAACTTCCGCGCTGCATTGGCGTTGGCACTAGGCGACACAGTACCTGCCTGCTCGGGCAGGTAGGTCCTTGGAAGGTGCCTGGCTGAGCTGGGCAGGAGTGACTTACCTAGGTATCTTAGTACCTACCTATCCTGGATTCCTGGGACGGAGTCGAATTAGTATGCCAGCGCGGAATCGAACTACCTCCTGAAAACACAGGATATTCGATAAGATCGCCCCTGAGTGACTCTTATCGATTCAGGGATAACCCTGTTCCCAACTTCCCCTCGATGCGGCCTGTGGCCCCTGGCCCCTACTGCTGTGGATTTGTGGTCCCGATAGCTGGAGTGGAGGCGGTCAGAGAGACGCGTGGTGTTCCAGATTCCAGGATTCAAGCCAGCCTTATTCTGGAAGTTGGAGCAGTAACGACTATGCTAGATATCCTAGTCGTAATATAGTGGACGGAGCCGTAGTCAATCGATAAAATTGGACCTGGGAACCTCATTCAACGATCGTCGATCTGCGATGCAATTCTGGTCACAGGTGATCAGAACTTGTTCTGGAACACGGCATTGTTCCGAATTGAACACGCGGAGTTAATGCGTCCACTTTCATCGCAATGCCAATCAGTCGCCTGCATACAAAGAGACTTTGCTCCGAGATGAACGTGGAAGCACGTGCGACGGACAATTCCACAAAGTCAACTCATCTCACGACCAGAGAAAATTCAGATTTCAGAACGACTGAAACCACTGGCAGGGCGTCCAATTATCCAAACCATCCTTCTGGTCATTGTTCTAGCCTTCCAGGTACTCCGTAGGGCGATCACAGGCAGTCCCACCGTCGTTCCTCGATAGGTTCGGCAAGGAATCCCGCGAGACAAGCGAACTGCGATTGACTGTTTCTCGAGGTGGCGCGAAAGTGCTTATGCCCAGGCGCGAGGGCTGATTGCCCACCTTGCCATCACTTTGTTGGTGCCCAAATGGACTTGCAAGAATAAACACGAGGACCGAGGTGGTTTGTCGAATTCAAAAGGTGAATGTGATGCTTGCAAGCCGGGTAGTCGTGGTAAATCAGAATGCGAGCAGGTGGTGCCTTCCCCTGATTGGTAGGGCTGCAGGAACATTGAGAATGGCAGGTTCCGACTGGCTGCTTCGACAACAATTCTGTCCATTGTTGGATAGCGAGGGCGGACAAACCCTTTGTTCTGATTGGAGGGTCTGTGGTTCTTTTCTGCACCTGCAGAATTAGTCTCCTTGTTCCCCCAACTGGCAAGTACGGACCTGTCTGTCCAACTATTGTCTCCCCGCATTGCTTTTGATCCTAGTTCGTGTGATTTTGTTCTTCTACGGTCAAGGCACATGTGATATCAATGCGATGCTTGCATCGGATTCACGATGAATTTGGATTTTTGATTCTACACAGGAAGTCTCAAATTGGTCCCATTCAGACGACCTCTTCCATTCAGACACATAGAAGTTAGGCGGCGATTGCAAAATGCACGTCTTCTCTGGACCTGTTTCCCTTCCTGGTTCTTACAGTAGAAAATAATCAATCACAATTGACCTCCTTGAGAATATCTCCGAGCCCGGGCCGGACCCCGTTCCGATCCTGCATAATTGACTCGATGCAAGGCATGATCCATGCAAGATATATTACTATTATTGTATTTGCATGGTCTTATTGCATTTATATGATCGGTAATATGTGATCCGTATCTTCGCCCTTGTCGTCCAGATATTGACTACTCCGGAGTACCTCCTCCCCCGTGGGCATAGCTTTGCATAAACTGCACAGCATCATTGTAATTCCCATTCGCCTGACATCGTGTACGTAGTGAGTGGCGGGACGAACAATGCTGTGGGAGTGGAACGCGGGCCGCCATCAAGAACCGGTTCCACCGTTCCAGACACAGATCAAGGTTCGTTGTTTATTAGTCTCCACTCACTGAATATTATCACCATTGCCGTGACTGATCGCTGCCGACACGGGTCTTTAAGTTTGACGGGACGCGTCAAGAGAAATCACGCATAGATCGCTTCCTTGTTCGATCTTCGCTGTCCTATCAGATGCGGAAAAAGATTCAACCCCACGAGGGAAGGGAAAAAGCAAAAACATACGCGAAGTAGTTGGCCCGAGCAAGACGGAAAAAGACGGATTCGCGTAGATTGTGATTATCGCAGTGACTCTGATTATTACTTCCTTCCTGTTCCGTGTCTCTGCTTTTCCCGTATCGTGTAACACGTCGGTATCGCCGCAGCGCCTGCTGTGCCAGCCCGCCTGTATTTTTGGTATCGGAGTTCCTGGGTTCCCGACTTGCCGGGCCGCTAGTGCTCTTTCCCAGCTTGTCGCTGCCCTGCTCTCGAGGGCGTTTGTCGTCTTCACGCGTTCTAACTTCTGCAGCCTGCGATGTTGATCCGGCTCCACCAGCAGCCACTATTGCGTCCTTCAGGCCCACCAGCAACGTGAGGGGGTGTCTGCCAGACTGCCACAAGAACAATCATGGCAATGTTCTGTTGCGTTCTGCCACAGCGGTGCCTGCGAGAGGTGATCGCCGATGAGCCCGATCCCCGGCCCAGCCCCCGGTAAGCTAGCGCGGCATCGCATGTCTGCAGCGCCTACTCCGTACCGTCTGTGTTATGATTGCCCTGGCCCTTACGATTCGATTAATTAATTAATCCGGTCGCCCACTAACTTGATTGCCTCGACATTTTAGGTTATGCAGCCAAGCTTGGTGGGCCTAGTGATGCATTATGCATCTCCGTCGGTTCTTCGCACACAGACGCGGGAAGAACTCCCCTGCTGCGAGCCTGCGAGCCCGTCCGGTTGGCGACAAGACGCCGCCCAACGCCCTAGGTTTGGATGCGGGACCGGGGAGGCGTTAGGGGCGGCCGATGGCTCCGGACTAGTCTCCTAGTTTCCTAGCTCTCCGTGCTCGACTCGAGCAGTGTGCTCTAGCACCTCTCTCCCTCCGGCTTGAAACGCTTCGGAGACGCGCTCCACCCTAGACTTGTCACTGAGCGTTCAGGGGGGGCTGGAACTAGACCCTTCTGGTGGCGTGCCCGTTTTTTACGTTCTCACACGGACCAACTGTCAGCCTGTCACTCTAAGAGTATGGCCTGAGCAGCCTGATTTCTGCAACGGGCAAGTTGATGGACCTGGTTCTTGTGGGGAAAAAAAGCAATGGTGGAAGAGGACCAATGCGCTCTCTTGACAGAGTCATGTCGAATACCCAGCTAGCTAACAGGACGCCAGAAATTGGATGGACCGTAGAGTGCTCCACGAGCCGAATCTCCAAAGTCCCGCAGCCGCCAGAGTGAGGGCGATATTGGCCCGCGGCCAGACCCTCCCAAGAGCTTCCCAAGCGTGTTGCTCACCTCCTCCCCCTTCCCCTCTTCTAAATCATTGTTATGGGTCCGCCCAAGTCCTGTTCATTTCATCGATCTGTATTCTGTACTTTCCCTTCCCCGTTGGGCTGTCCTTCTCTTTCTCCAGCGTTGTGGTTCATCATCTCACATTTCATACATCGTCCTGTTTATTTTTGGATTTCAGAGATCCATTGCTGCTGGTGGCAATCGCTTAGCTGATAAGATTCCTATCCGCTCATTCCTCTATCCCTTTCCGCCCACTCGTTCTGGTGGCCCTTGCGTAAACACTGCAAAGCACGGTCGCCTTGCCAATACGCATCGCAATATTTTTCCTTTTCGAATGATTGCCTCCCCCCCTATCACCGAGTCCTGGAGAGCTCCCATTGTTCTGGGACGGCGTTGAATCGTGGTTAATCCAACGGCTGGGGAACGTCGCGCACTCTTTTACGAATAATTGTTGATGTCAACCAGAGCGGTTGTCTATTCTTGACGAGACGCAGCCTCTCGCCTCAGCAATCGGTTTTCTATTTGTTTACATTTCCAAGCTTTTTCTCGCAGAGAGACTGGTATAGAAAATAGAATCCACATTGGATTCGTACGCTCACTCTGAGCAGCTCCCCTGCCACCTTTGCCAGTCTTGTTCCTGGAATTGAGGTACGCCCGAAAGGGGTTTGTGTGTTGACATTCCGATGTTTACGTTCACTCCCTCCCTGGCCTGGACTTGGACATTCCCCCGCTTCTTGCTAGGCCCCCTTCAGCCGCCAACCACCCAGGCGTCGTTTTCACGCTATCTCCTCTCTCACCTGTCACAGAAACTGACCTTATTGCAGGGCGATAACAGCTGGGTTGACCGCAGCAATTGGCTCGAAATTTCCAGAACTGTCGATCTTTGACCAAAGAGAAACTATATATTATTATACGGTTGTATTGACGTTTTTTGTTGGTACGAATCGGCGGAGATATTACTGTATACAGGGGCTTCTGGGTTGTTTGGGTCTTTTACGATGTCATTTTGGGCCTCATCCATTTAAGAACCAGTTTGGTCCGCGATCGCCCGCGCACGACATTGGCCTCTGGGACACCAATCAAACATTGAGTGATACGAAAAGAGGAGCATGGAAAATTCGAGTCAAGAAGTGGCCCCGTTGAAGATCGTGAAGGGCAAACCTCGCCCGCCTGTACCCCATCTTACGTTTACAACGGGTACATCGACTACCCAACACGCTCCGACTACCCGTGAAAGACCAGACCAGATGACGCCGCCGCTCACGCCTCACGGCTCGAAAGAGGATATGACGGCCGAGCGAGCAGGAACAGGCAGATCTATTTTCCACAACTATCTTCGTGCCTTCTATCCATTTCATCCGTCGGGTACCGTCTCCCCGTCCACCGTCACCCTTCCACTGGACCAAGGAGACATTATTCTCGTACATTCGGTCCATGTCAACGGCTGGGCAGATGGAACACTTCTCGAGACGGGAGATCGGGGCTGGTTGCCGACCAACTATTGCGAAGCATACGATCAATTGCCTATGCGGCCTCTGCTTAAGGCATTGACCGACTTCTGGGACATTATCCGGGGAGGTTGTGGCAAGTCTCTCCGAGACTTTGGCAACCAGGACTTGATGAGAGGGCTTATCGCCGGTGTGCGATTTCTACTAGTGAGTTCATGATATCCGTCCGTTCAACGGACATTCCCATATCTGATATTGACTGGCTACAGGAAAAATCAGAGTGTCTCACGAGAGAATCGCCTCTTGTCCAACGTTACGATGGACTTCGCAGAAATAGAAAGGCACTGCTCGCCGAGCTCTCATCCCTGGTGAAGATCGCCAAGAGACTGCAAGACCTCGCCAATGGCACTCCTTCCGATGAGGAAGTGGAGAAGATACTTGATGAGATGCTCCTCAAGGCGTTTAAGATCGTCACCCGAGGGGTTCGCTTTCTGGATGTGTGGAATGAAGAAGTTGGTCTCGCTAGAGCCATGCAGGAACTCGAGCGTCCCGAGACATCTCGTGCGGGCTATGACGCTCCATTATTGACTCCGCCCACCGACACATTCTCGATTCCCGACCGAGCAGGATCCGCAGCAGCTGTGTCCTCTGCCTCTGAGACGAACGGGAGTCATCTTAACGTCAGCCAGGCCTCTACGCGTACCGAACACCCGGGACAACCGCCTAGACCGATTTCTGTCCAGGGGAACAGGATCTCTATTTCTCACAGGGTATCCTATTCGGGACCATCTGCAGCGCTTCGTAACCCAAATCTCGCATCAGAACGCCTTGGCTCGGCATATGATGGCTTCCTGGGGGTGTTGGGGTCATTCATTGGTCTTCACCTGCAGTCGCGGTCGTCGACAGAGCTGATCCTCACGACTCAACAGTCCGTCCAGTCATGTCGGGCACTACTATCTGTTGTCGAGGCGATCTGGGAACACGATCTCAAGCGTTCAGTGGAGCTGGAGCAAGCCAAGGATACAATGTATGATCGCATCACAGAGTTGGTTCATGCGGCGCGGGATGCTTTTCGACCAAATGCCACGGATGATGAGGTTGTGTTTATGCCAGACGAGGGCAAGCGTCTGGTAGATGCTGCCACAGATTGCGTTCGGGGTGCTGGCAGCTGTGTGGCCAAAGCTCGTCAGGTGCTGGAGCAGATCGGTGACTTCGAATTTGACTCTCCTGCGATCGACTCACAGCCCGACTCGGACGCACCTGACAAGACGCCACAGCCTCAACAAGGAGGTGCGGAAAATCCTGAACGCCCACCTCAGCCATCTATGCGCCTTCCTCCTCCCCCACTCCGCATCCCGAACAAGGACCTGACGCCTGGCACTCCTACTCTCACTGACGGTACCACTCCCTCATCGACGTACTCGCGGACGATGCCGCGCAGTCCCACCACTGCCGGAGACCGTTCTTCGTTTCCTTCAGTCGCGACTCCCATTCTCGCAAGCGATGTCAGCCCATCAGACGCTGTCTATCAAGAACAAAGCTCCAAGTCTGACTCCCAGCCTTTGTCTCGCTATGAGACAAGGGGAACGACCAGCACTGGCAGCTCTTTCACATATAAAAGCGCTGTGCGCGATTCGGAAATGAGCGGGGTTTCCCAGACATCTACTCGAGCAACATCTCCAGACATTGGCGGTAATGCCCAGGCGCCATCGCTGAAAGGCAGCCTGAGCCGTTCCACTCTGGCAGAGGAGAACGACGAAACCGAGGCGAACATTTTGGAGAAGACTTATGCCCATGAGCTGATGTTCAAGGACGGCCAAGTGGTGGGTGGCAGTCTCAGGGCGTTAATTGAGAAGCTCACTGCTCATCAATCGACCCCCGACGCTCTTTTTGTTTCGACCTTCTACCTCACTTTCCGTCTCTTCGTGTCACCTTTGGAATTCGCGCAAGCCCTTGCTGAGCGGTACGATTACATCGGGGATACCCCTCATGCCGCAACTCCGGTCCGACTACGGGTTTACAACGTGTTCAAGGGCTGGTTAGAGTCTCACTGGCGTCATGATTGCGATAACGTCGCTCTGGACTTTATTTTGAACTTCTCCAAGACCAAATTGATGGTCGCCTTGCCGAATGCCGGGAAGCGTCTCGTCGAGCTTGCAGAAAAAGTTTCTACTGTGCATGGCCCCGTAGTACCACGCCTTGTCTCTTCAATCGGAAAGACTAACACTGCCATTGCGCAGTACGTGCCTCCTGATACTCCCCTTCCACCTCCCATTATAACGAAGAGCCAAATGAATCTTTTGAAACAGTGGAAGAATGGCGGCGCGAACATCAGCATTCTCGACTTTGATCCTCTCGAATTGGCGAGGCAGATTACTATCAAGGAGTCGAGAATCTTCTGTTCGATTCTTCCGGAAGAGCTGTTGGCCACAGAGTGGATGAAGAAATCCGGTTCGTTGGCAGTAAATGTCCGGGCCATGTCGACACTCTCTACAGACCTTGCCAACCTGGTCGCGGATTCGATTCTTCAGCTGGAGGAGCCCAAGAAGCGGGCTGTCATCATCAAGCAATGGGTGAAGATCGCCAACAAATGTCTCGAGCTTAACAACTATGATTCGCTCATGGCCATCATCTGCTCACTGAATTCGTCCACTATCGTCCGTCTCAAGCGGACCTGGGAACTGGTTTCGCAGAAGACGAAGGCCACCTTGGATAATCTCAAGGGGATCGTGGACGTCTCCCGGAACTATGCGGTTCTCCGTCAGCGCTTGCAGAATCATGTTGCGCCATGCTTGCCCTTCGTGGGCGTGTACCTGACGGATTTGACTTTTGTCGACCACGGCAACCCGCCTTTGAGAACTCTTCCCACGGAAGACGGCGAACTGACCGTGATCAACTTTGACAAGCACATGAAAACTGCCAAGATCATCAGTGAGCTGCAGCGTTTCCAGGTACCGTATCGGTTGACAGAAGTGCCTGAACTTCAGACTTGGATGCAAGACCAGTTCATTCGGGTCCGGTCCAACGGGGAAAAGAGTTTCCAAAGCTACTATCGTCGATCGTTGATCCTTGAGCCAAGAGAAACAGCGCAACCGCGCGGTGCTGCTGCCGAGTCGAGCTCGATTTTGTCTCGGGAGACTACGAAAGAGAAATTCGATTTCCTCAATTGGACTCACAATTCGAAAGTGAAATCTGTTGCGACGACTAGCTAGAATGAGGGGCCGACGTTCCCCAAAGCTAGCTATTCTTTGTTCTCAGCTCGAGCTTCATCTCGAGGCCGACATTACGACTTATGATTGAGGTTATTTAACGGGCTTCCGGTTTGCTTATGTTTCCCACGTATCATACCCCTTACTTTGTTGTCGTTTTCTTTTTGTATATTTTGCAATTTGGGTGGGATGTTCGCTTTGATTTTTAAGGAATTTTGTGCTTGGGTTTGCTATAAATCGGGAGTAATGGCTTCTGAGGAACAAAAAGGGCTCTTGGAAAAGAAGGGGGGAAAAACGGGAAATTTTCAATTGCGTCAGTCCTTCCAAGGGGAAAAAAAAAGGGAAGACAAACTTTTCATAGACGCATCGAGTGCCACGCGGCATTAGAACGGGAAAAAAAGGAGCTAGCTCCATGATCGATTCGTTTTTCGATTGCGATTTTTCTCGAGAAAAGCGACCTACCAGACTACCCGTCCTGACCCTTTTCCTTCGGCCGAGCCTTGTATTTCCTCTATTCTTTTTTTTCCACTCTTCTTCCCACATGTTTCTTTGTTGTTTTTTCCCCCTTCGCGCATGGACGGTTGGGTCACGGTCGCAATCTTGGGTTTCTGGAACGGGCAACGGGCAATGGGTTTGTTTGATGGCATTGCTTGTTTGATGTACCTCTTTTGTACTTTTTTCTTTCGTGTAAGAATACTATCTCGATCTCTCCTGTACATAGTTGACACTACAAGAGCGCTACTACAACTCTGGCTTGGAAAATTTCAAGCGTGTGTTTCTGTTTCTGTTGTTGGTGGTTCGAAACCAACCAAACAAACCAAGTTCCTGAAAAAAAAAGTTATAGAAGTACTCGTCCATTGTCCTAGTAGTTAGCCAGCTACCTAATTAAGGTAGCTAGGTAGCTACAAGGTAAGTACCTAAGTAAGATTTGCCCGCGCTTGCTGGGTTACATTCCATTCCACAACACAACAACACAACACAACACATAGCATAGCATACATAGCTTAGCATAGCTTAATTAATGGCCTGCCAACCAACAAACCAACCAACTGCGCATACATACATACCTAGTGTTGTAGTTGGTTGCCACGACAGACCAAAAAAAAAAGAGCAAAAAGCAATATGTATTCATACAGGAGTTCTTAGTTTAATAGAGGTAGGCAGTTAGATAGACAGACAGACGGGGTTGATTGACGAACCTATCCTTTCTTCCCTTTTTCCCCCGGTAAAATACTGCATACTTAGCAGACTTGGCAACATGTAGTCAAAGCTCGTACCTTGATTTCAGGTCCACTGTATGCATGTACCATCAGGCCATATATGTACTAGACAGCGTAATTCCTAAATGAGCACCAACTTTATAATAATCTACAGTTATCCATAGAGACTCCATCTCCAGAAATTAATGCAAAAAAACAAAATTATTAATCAATCCCAATGAGTATCCTTCCAAGCTCTAAACGCTTCAGCAAACCCTAACTCCGTTCCCAAATCCTTTTTCGTGCGCTCGTAACCAATGTCGAGCATGTCAAAATCGTCGTCTCGCATCTGAGATGTCAAATCCAGAATCGGTATCATCGATGGTCGACCATGTGCGCACTGAAACGGAAATACACAACGTGAAAGACGAGAAATGAGATTCTGGCATTCTTCAATCGACAGAACATCGTTAAACATGACTGCGGTCCTACAAGCGCGCGAATTCAAGAGGTCAATAATGCCTTCCGGGCAATCAGCGACCTGTCCAACCCAAGAAGGCAAGCCAGCTATCGGCTCCGAAGGTAAGCTCCCATCGACGCCTTCGGGCAGCTTCCTCGAAGTCGCAAGCGCAGGCCGGACTGAGAAGCCTCTCTTGTTCTCCTCCCGGTTCCAGATCTCACCGCGCAAAAGATCCACCACCAGTTTTGGCTCCGCTCTGCACCTTTCAGCGATGAGTGTAGGAAGAGCACTGACAGAAACAGTCGCGTTCCCTTGTTCAGGAATTTCAAAGACTTCGTAGTGGCAACCCCAAGAGGCAAAAAATTCAGAGTACGCCTTGAAGAGGCCAGTCTCGTGTGCTGCGATCTCAAAACTGATCGGACTTGAAAGTTCAAATGTGCGTAGGTTCATCATTTCACCAGAGTTGTCAGGTCCAGCCTGACTTGTAAACATTTCATCAAAGAGCTGTTCAATGCGACATCTTTCATCAGCTGCATGCTGATCCACAAGAACAAGGAGGCTACCTGAGCTGCGGTCACCACTGTCTAGAGGGGCGGCCGTCATTCTGACAAGAATGAATTTTCGGTCGACTTGGGCAATTACATCTGCTTCTGCAAGGCCGCGTTTCCATAGTTTCCCGCTGGACTTTGTGTCTGTACAAGTTGACAGGCCGCATGAATCAGGCTGTATCCGGAAATCGAGCTTTCCTTCGGGACATCCCTCGCCATTCATGTCAGAATGAATTGACGGGATTGGCTTCTCCAAACGAGGGAAAGCTAGGTTGTCCCATTTATCCATGATGGCCTCTAGCCAGAGAGAACTTTTCTTTGATGGAGCTGATTGCGGCCGTTTGATGACGTTCAAATTCCGACGATCTCCCAAAGACCCTGTGGATCGTGGTCTTGGGCACAATGGCGATGTATTCACAGCAGTAGAGCTCAACGGTCTCGGAGGAAGACACTGACCAGTTCGGGAATTGATAAAAACGGTGCATTTGGTGACAGGGTCAGTCCAGGAGATAATACCGTCCCCCGAATCCGACCCGGTGCTCTGCGTAGTTGTCACTTCTTCACTTTCACCATTATCAACCTTTTCCGAATCGCATCTTTGTCCACGTTGACCACGTTCTACAAGACACTTGGTGCCAGGGTCTGCTTGTGACGGGCGATGTGGAAGCGACGTCCCCTGAGCAGGTTCGGGTCTCCTGTTCAGACCTGAACAGATTTCATCAAATACATTTCCATTTCCGCTTTTAATCCTCGACCAGCTGCCGAAATCTTGAGTGGTAAGCGCAGAGGGCCTCTTCTGAAAAGAAGGCAACTTAATGCGACTGTCAAGGGTTTCCTCTGTGCTGCTCATGGGCCTCTGTGGAACGGGTGGTTGAGCAGAGTCAGAAATGCATTTTGGAACGTCACCCTCTTTCCTAGATGCCTTTCCATGTCGTCTATCCGGCTCCGATTTTTGCTTGGGCGACTGTCGCAGCCGCTTTCGAGCTCGTGGTCGAAAATGGTGCTGCTCTAAGAATTGATAAACCATTGCCCCAAGCACGTCCAGGATGCGTTGAAGAGATCTATCAGATTCGAACGTCTCTGTTTCCTCATTGGCCGCTCTCCACGATTCGCCCATTTCAATCCGTATGTAAAACATGGGCCACCGGTTTATTCCTTTACTAGTGCCTTTAACATTCGTTCCAGTCTGTAAAACCGCGGTTTTTCTCCGCTCTTCTGCTTCTTGGTAGGAACTGGTCGTGCCAAAGTCAGACGCAGCGAAAATCCGGTTGACCTCATTATAAAGCACATTGGCACTGCTGTGCGCAAAAATCGGATTAATTCCCATGGAAATGAACTGGACCTGCTTTGTGGGGCTGGGAAGAAGGGAGATAGACGAGTGAATGGAAAGATCCGGAGTGCTCGCCGAGACCGTAACCCATGATTCAGTGCTCTTCAGCGGTATTAAGCCAGCTTGTGTGAGGATCGATCCTATTCGTGTAAGATCGACACCAACCTGACTGGAGTCTGACCTTTCTACTGACGGTGACTTGGCTTGGATGACGACCTTTCGATTCTTGTCAGCCTCCGACAAAACCAGCTTCAGCGGCCGGTCATTTGCCAAAACAAGAGCCGTCAGCATCCTCTTAAGCTCCTCCCATTCTCTGTCCATGTCATCAGGCCTCTGAAGAGCCAAGGCTCTGCTTTTGACACGGACGGGCATGTTTCCGAAAAGATCATTGACGGTAACTTTTGTGCCATGTCCTTCATGATCGAGTGACTGCTGCGGAGGACTGGGGATCAGTCTGGAAATGGTTTTTGCGTGATGGAAAATGACAGTATTTGCATTGGCCTGCTGGTAATGGCGGGAAGTGATGGTCAACAAAGACATCGCTGCCAATGACGCCAGAAACAGCCCTTTGTAACCGTACACTCTTTCCCCGAGTCCAAGTTTGGAGGTGCCTACGATTTTTGTAAGCAAGAAATCTTCAGATCAAGCACCGCAGAACTTACAGTGTGGCTGCCCCAGCCCACTACCGTCCTTGAATTCTGCTGACGGAATACCGTGACCATCATCCTCGACAATACAGCCGCCCCGTCGATAGTCCAGGCTAATATTGATGGAGACGGCATCAGCATCCAGTGAATTCTTGACCAGTTCTACGACGACTCCATTCAAATTTGTGATGGAGATGGAGGATTTGATTTTCGCCGCCACATCGGCTGGCAGGGGCCGGATGGACGCATCATGGTAAGACATAATACAAGTGAATTTGTCAACCCATAATCTGTTCAGTGCACCGGCTCATACCACAGAGGGCTCAATAAAAGATGAAGGATATGCCGCGTGTGGCAAACCAAGTCTCTGTCGCGAATGGATAGCACCAAAAGGCACGGTATTCAAAACCCATCAGTGTTGAGAATATCATATGAGTTCCCTCGTCACTTTATTTAGACGGGTGATTTAGCTGATAAAATGAGACTCGAGAGCTGTGGAAGGTGCAGTTGGAGGATGATCTGCCCAGGAAGGTTAGACCAACGGCGGATATGCATAAAGTCACGTGATCTGTATGTATCTTGCCCAGCAGATGTACGGAGTACAGAAATCAAAAGTCCTTACTGTGCAGGAATCCTGCAATAGAGACGATTATTTGGCAAACCAACGAGCAGAGAATCTCAATTGAGGTTTTATCTCATTTACATCTGTCACAACTGACCTAACTCTGCAGGTGAGCCCCAAAGGCTCCTATTTCACCAGCTTCAACCTGGTAAGACACCGAAAAAATTTCTGCTGTTAATAGAAAGGTACTGTGCAGCGGTGCGGATCGAGTTGATACCACAGGGTTTTTTAGCTTCCTGGTACAGCACCACAGGGACCATTTATATACCCTCATGAACTACGAGCAAGGGGCGATTTAAAAGTTTGAAAAATGCTTAATAGACACATGGACCAGAACGGTACATGCCTGCCTATCTATGTACCGCTAATCAGGATCTCACCATCATTGCGAAGGGGCTGAGGCAACAACCTATTATATCGGCTCCCGCTGTGGACACATCAACCTAAGGGAAAGGCATGAGTGGAACAAAAGGCGGGTCGATGACGGAGTGGACAGCGCAGGAGATCGGAGAATGTGGTCGGTTGCGCTGACGGTGGATCCTTGTGGAGGAGTTGAATCGTCAAGACTCGAGGGCGATAACATGGGGAATCACGTGAGATTGCCATGGGGGTGACGAGTGAACGCTTGGCAGCGTTAAGCCGCCGCATGTGCCGTTAGCTCAGGGCGCCTGGCGACAGCGCAACCAGCTCAGCACACCATCGCCTCGAATAAACCCCTCGACTCATCAGAAGGAAGCACTTGCGAGCCCTGGCAGTTCTGGTTCAAATCATACCCTTATGACTGTTCTACTTTGACTCTCAATCCAGGCGGGCTGTCACTTTATCAGCCCACCCGGCTAGCCGCCCACGGCTACCCAATACTCCCGAACCTGCCTACCTAACCAACCTGCCGAAGCTGTTTCATACCCTGACATTCTGCGACTTGGGTTCGCACTGTTTTCGTCCTTGCGAGAAGGAACCGCTCTTCGATATACTGACAGTCAGTTCTTCTCTGGAAACATTTTCAACAATACCAATCATAAGATGGCCATGGCTGAGGCTCCCGCGAGGCCGCATGGTACGTCTCTTCGCCATACACTCTCTGGTCCAGCACCATTGGTATGCCCGGTGGCTAATCTTTAATAGATCGCCATGGACGGCGACGTCCTTTCTCGAATTGGATGAAGCGCCTTGCGATTTTGAAGGGTTCGTCGTCCGATTCTGCGGGGGCGTTCGGCAAGCGCGGCAATGGATCGATGATGTCGAAGAATAAGAGGAATACCACTCTGAAGAACAATCCATATCCGCTTTCAGGTACTGTTGGAGCCTCTGGCTCATCGCGCAGAAACGAATATGTCTCCTCGGGATCCAGCGAGCAACAATACGGCCATCCTTCGGCCAGCCAATCCTCCCTACCCACCTCAAGTTCTGACAATCATATCCCCGGCAACAGCGCCAAGTCAACAGCTCCTACTCTTTCCACGAACGGCGACACTGCGCTCTCAGAAGCAACATACTCGAAAGCTGGGACAATGGCCACGGGAGGACGCGGGGTGAATGGGGGCGGAGAAGGGAGCACGTTCTCGTCACCTGCACCCTCTGTGCGTTCCCTGACTACAACATTGACGACTGTGCAATCTACTGCTCCTTCGACTCATATTTACGGCGCGCAGAATGGCCACGCACACAATAACGCGGGTCTGCCGCACGTCAACTCCACCCAGAGCTCCGCCAGCCAGCAAGTCCAATTCTCCCACCAATTCCCTCCGTCATCCTTGTCGGCCGTTCCTCCTCATGTTATTGCCACTAGCCATCCGACAACTTACAGTACAGCAACCGCCAACAACTTGCTGACCGACAATGCTTCCATCCTCACGCTGGCCTCGTCCTCGAAGCGTCGTCGCAGGAACTCTCTTGACACGAACGCTTCCATCCGTGCGTTGGCGCCGTCATCAATATTTGGCGGTAGTCGCGAGAGCTTGCCGCTGAGCACACTCAGCGCGAATGTCGGGGAGGCGTCGAACGCGTCGGCATCAGGCGTTAATAGTCGTCCCAGCATTGGAGGGCTTGCAAGTGCCGAGCGAGCCAGCGTTTACTCCTCATCAGGTGCTGCCCCGATGACTTCCGCAGGGGAGAGAAGCAGTTATATTGCGAGCAAGCAGTCAGGTACTGGTGACTCGGGCAGCGTCCGGAGCGGTGTCCACTCACATACTCGCAACGATAGTGCAGCCGGTACGGTAGGGTGCACATTGACCAATCCAGCTGCCGGTCCCCAAAGTGCGACGCCCGGCCGTATCAGTCGAAGGAGCTCCGGGTGGGGTGAGCTCACCGGTGATGACGATGAAGACGGGACTGGACAAACAGACCAGGCGGCCGAGGAGCCAGACCAGGCCAAGGAGGTCCCCAGTTGATGAATGGCAATGACAAAGACAAGGGGGTTCAAAATAAACTCCAAACCTGACCTGATTATGAAAAGAGTTCAAACGTTTGAAATGACCAAATGAAGCACGTCTAGCTAAGTTACTTCTTTTTTTTCTTGATGACCAGTGGGGGCAAACAAAAAGAAAGTAACTCTACTTCTATTCTTCTACTATTCTACTATTACTTACTTTATTTTACCCTACTTACTGTACATTTACGAGATAGGAATGAACTGTGAAAAACTGACTGGGAGGTTTACAAGGGCTGGGCTCTCTCTCTCCCCCTCTCCCCTCTTCTCCCTGCCTCCCTCGCTAGTGGCGGGAAGAGAAGGAAGGAAGGGAAGGAATGAATGATTTATTTATTAACCACAATTGGCCCGGGGTGATGGGACTGAACATTTGGAAATGGACTGGACTGGAGAACACTGGACTGGACAGGATTTCACGAAGCTGGGCTATGCTAGGCTGGGCTGGGCTGGGCCGGACAGGACAGGACAGGACAGGACAGGGATGGTGATGGATGGATGGATGGATGGATGGATGGATGGATGGATGGATGAACTTAATTCTTCATTAATATTTATGCAGGACGGAGTATATCCTTGCTTCTTTTTTTTTCTCACCCTCCTTTTCCTCCTTTTCTTCTTTCTTTCTTTTTTTTCCCCTGAATTCAAGGGTCGGTCTTCTTTTCTCTTTCTCTTGCTCTTCCTCTATCTGTTCAGATTATCAGGTTCGTACTTATTCATTTATTTATTTCTCATTACGAGATTACTTACTTATACATGACACCCCGTAATAAGGTTATGCAGTCTCGTCTTGAGCTTTTTTATTTGGGTAGTTGCTTATTTATTATTTAGTTGCTATCGTGTGCTATGCCGATGATCAATCAATCAGTCAATAATTCATAACACTACCTAGGGAGTATACACAGAATAAACCGCAGATTGATTGAACCCATTCAGTAATTAATTGTCTAGTCTACTCCGTAGACCACTAGCAGCCAGAGAAGAGAAAAGGTATAGTATTCTGTACATATCTTAAATGAGAATCAATCCATTTCTCTACATGCATGCATCATCATCAACTAGCGCAGGATGATGAATGAGCTCCGCTGCTCCGTAGGCGCCTCAATTCCCCATTGTAACTAACCACCGACACCAAAGCCTGGTTATCTAGATAGTCAGGATCCTAGTATGTACCATGCAATGTACCACTAACCATGCCTGAGGTGGTTCTGTGCTGCCCACTTCTGAGAAATATAAAAAACGAACAACAAACAAAACGCCACCCAACCCGACACCAGCCCCGGACGCATCAAAGCATGTAGATAGGACTAGGAAATTAATAAAATCATGAAAAAAACACATAACGTCACATCTACTCATCAAAGGCGTGAAATGAACAAATTCAGCATCATCTCGCTTGTATTTGATTTTTTTTTTCGATTCTTTTTTTTTATTTTAATTTGACGCAGTCGTAGCAACACCGCTCTTGGACTCGGTCGAATTCCGCTCGCCTTCGGACTTCTGCTGCGTAGCCTGCTGCGTAGCCAGGAACTTTTTGAACATCTGGGCGATGTCGGCCTCGTTCTTCCCGTCACTCGTGTCCCCACCGTTCTTCTCCGTGATCAGATTCTTGAGCCACTGATTCTCCAGCTCGAGCTGAGAGACCCGCGCCTCCAGAGCAGCATTCTTCTCGGTCGCCTCCTTGACGGTGCGTTCGAGGGCCTGCTCCCTCTGCTTCTTCTTGATACGGAAACGAGCACTGGCAGCCGTGTTCCGTCGGCGCTTGTCTTCCTCTGCTGCCAGACGAGCGGCCTCGTCGAGGGTCTTGGCCTCATGGGGTTGCTTGCGCTTCGTTCCAGCGGTTCGGCCTGGAGTGGGACCGGCAACAGGAGTGGTGGGAGTCGTAGTCGAAGCTGCCGGGGTCTGCGAGGGAATGGGAGTGGCCTTGTCTAGCGGAGAGGTGCCGTTGAAGGCACCATTGTGAACCTGAGGCACCGGTTGAAATGTGGAAGTCATCTGCATGGCCTGAGGATTGGTGGAATTGAAGTCCGTGGAGGAGTAGTCGGGAATATTGTTCAAATCTGCTGTTTAATTGTCAGAAAGACGTTCAAACACAATAAACGGCCACAGGAGGAGCTGCCTCCAGCCGGAGATGTGAGGGCACATAAACAGCGGTTGCAAACAGGAACATCAACAGAAGAGAAATTCGAAGAAAACAGGTGAAAGAAGGAGAGACTGAAAGAACAATTGCAATGTCGACCGCTGTCCGGCTTGAAAGGGCCCCCGCTGCCTCTAGAATGGCGATCGAGGGGGGTAGAGGGAAGATCACGTGGGATGTCGTGATATAGCTGGATCTGCACGTGCTAGGGGACCAATCAGGAGTGCAGCCAACGGCAAACCTCGCTGCATTGGAGGGTTTGACCCTTGCCTAGAGCGCAGAAAAACAAATGATCACTGGCCACAAGCTGTTTTGTGGTAGACAAATGATGCAGCAAAGTGTCCGTGCAGGATCAGTTCGGGGCGGAGAAGCTGAAGCTCCAGCAACATCACTAACAAGGGTATCATCGAACAGACACCGAGATATGGGATGCCACAGCAGTATCACGAGGTAAAAGGGGATAGGAAAACAAAACAGGATATGATGTGTGCTGAACCAATGACGGAGCAAGAAGAATAAGCATATCCAAGGACCAATGCTATTCCTGGTGCATCAAAAAATATCCAAAAGAGGCAAACTTCCAGACGCAGTAAAAGCAAAGCAATCAACCGCTGCCGAGTGCCCACATCGTATACTCACCATTCAAAAGATCCATGTAGTTCACATTCTGGTTCTTGTCCGAGCCTGCATTCTCCTGTCGAGCCTTCTCGTCCTCGGCGGGGTCGTAGGTGAGGGGCATGCTCAGGTCGCCGAATTGGCCAAAGTCCAAGAACTCGGCATTCGTGAAGAGCGCCAGCTCGGCATCGAGATTGAACGGCTCATTCTGCTGGACGGACTGGTCGTACGGGGACGGGATGGTGTTCAGATCCTCCAGGTACTGGGAGAAGTTGGGCCCTCGGCGCCCATTGAAGCTCGACATAGCGAAAATCTATCGATCGAATACCGTGTCTTCGAATTCGCAGAAAAACTCGACTCGATGGGGGAGATTTCGCGCTGGTGAGGCGGAAAGGACGGCTGGGTGAGAGTGGCAGCGTCGATCCGACGTCTTCAGGCGGCACGCAGAGGTCAGGCGAACCCCTCAGCCAGCGACAGATCTGAGGGAAGAGCGACCGGCCAGGAACTCGAGCTGAACCGAATCAGTCGAGATGGAACTGGAGTCGCAGGAGGGTGGCAGTCCTCACGACACAGCGACGGCAAGGAGGAGGGAGAGAGCGACGGAGGAGAAGATGCAATGGTGATGTGGAAGGCAGGAAAGAATAATAATGGGCAGCGGAGAATTCCGTGCCGCTCGTGGTCGGGGCCCTTTGCTAGGGTTGTTCGCGGTGCACAGTTCCAGCGGGTGTGGTGGAGAAACACGAGCGGTTGGCCTGGCCGGCGCTGGTGAGAGGCGAGCAGGCCTGCGGGTGTGACTAAAAGTGTTTGGTGAGGGACCGCCGTCGGCCGCCGAGCCGAGAACAAGAGGAGGAATATTCCTTTGGCCCTCGGGCTTTGCCAGATTTACACCACCATTGTGCGTCCTAGAAAAAAATAAAATAAAAATGATTCTTGACGACAGCTTATTAGGCCCTTTCTCGTTCGTCTATATATTATAAAGACTCTTCCGCACGACTGGTTGAGTGCCCGCTTTGCCACGCGGAGATGACATCGGATCGAGGTCACGGCCAGCCTATCTGTTTTCGGCACCGATCATCGGCGAGCGCCCTCTGATCGGGTTAGGCGGGTGTCTGGCGCGGCAACAGGGAAATTACTAATCGAGATCCTTCGGAAGTGGTCCGGGAGGAAGGTGCATTTCCCCTCCCACCCACCGTCGCGCCCACGCGCATTTCGCGCGTAAATTCGATTTGGCTGCTGCCGTCGCTCCCAACTGCCAATCCTGGACACCTGCCTGCTAACGGCTTTTCTTCAGATCTCCCTGGAGGCCTGGACCAATAGCCCACTCACCCTGCAAGCCAAGATCTCTGTCCTGTGTTGGGGTTTCGTCGTGCTGACCAATAGAGGCCCTTAAGTATGATTTCTACCTAGGTACGGAGTAATCAATCAGGAGACCAGCAGGTCGTCCAGATTGCTTTCCTAGTGCCCTTCCATGGTGTTTCTATCAGACTATACTCTGTATTGTCTGACAAGCCTGCAAGCGGGTGGAACACAGACCTCAAGAGCAGTCCTTAACTTGGTTTTTAATGCCAAGACTGCTGCTAAAGAGGATATTACGGCTCATGTCTGAGTTGGTCGACAATTAATAGCGAATGGATTAAATAGGTTGGATAATTTTTTCTTTAATTTCATAGTCAGGTATTTTATTTTTACTAGATTGAAAAAATGATGTGTTTACCCAGATCGAACGCGTGACCTCATGAGGGGAAAAAATTAAAAAGAAATGCGAGCTCTGTGGATCGAACACAGGACTTTCAGATATATGACAGAAGTCTGTGACTTCAGTCTGACACTCTCCCAACTGAGTTAAGCCCGCCTTGTTGTCTTCCCGTCATTTCTTTGCGTATATTACTCAAACCAATTTTGAAATGGCTTTTTTATTTTTCGAGCCTTACCAGTAAGTATTTGCCACCACCCAAGTTAAAGTACATACAGTACAAATTTCATTATTACTGCTAAAATTTGATTTGGTTTTGAAGGTAGTGTAAAACCTGCTTTTTTTTCATTCTTTTTCTTTCACCAACTGGCATAAAACCGCTGTGTACAGTATATAGGAGGGATTTTTTTATGGTATTGTGGTTGAGACATGGCTGCGGCCTACCCGCCTTTGATACTTTTTTAAGCAGGGACTGAGGGCCTGTGCTGGCAGAGTATGGCGGCAATGGAGGAGCAAGGTGCATCAGGAGCCGTGGGGGTAAATGTGATGATGGGCTTTTGGTAAGGGAAGGTCCTAGGTAAAAGACCTAGTTGGCTAAACTGAAGTATATGGCGGGCAAATTCAGGTCCTTTTTGGGAGGGGGAAGTAATGGGAAACAGGAAGGGTGGATGTTCATTTGTCATTAATTTCATACTGATTCCAGTAAATGGATGAGTTGAGGCAAAAGCGGCAGAAGGATGCAGTTAGAGGTCTTCCCATACGGAGTAGATACCTAGGTACTGGATTCAGTGTTGTACGCTAGGACAGAGACCGGGTCTTCAGAAGTTTAGTAAGACAGGTATGACAGTTAGTAGGTACTTCTGGTCTACTAGTCTCGGGTATGCTCGATGTCGTGATTGTGGGGTTTAATAACTTTGTGTCATGTATACATGCATGTACATAAAACATACAATAAATAATAACAAGGTTAGTTTTCCACTGTCCGCGTCAAGCGCCTTATAATTCCTCGTACACGGACCAGCTGGTCTATTTTTATATGAACAGAGGAGGCAACCTATTACACATCGCTGCAATCTAGCACGGTGGAATGTTAATATATATATCAGCTTAGACTTAGCTACCCCTCCTTAGGCGTAATTAGAAGTATCAGTCTAAATATGACAGACGATCGCAAACTTCTGAAAGACGCTTTGACAATGGAATCATCTTCTCCAGCGTTAGTCTGCTAGAAGACAGCGGAGGGCATTATTCTTGTTTTCAGCATCTCGAGGCTCTTCCCCGTAATGGAAAGGTATCTTCTTAGCACCTAATTTAATGAACAATAAGATTGTTTCAAACATCTTGGCGAAATTGAGGGGGTGCTAGTGTTTATCCTAAAAGTGGAAACAGAAGAAATTTCCCATAGGGGTATCGTATCTCATCATGTTCAGAGTATGGTGTAGAGTAAGCATCGGCTCTTGCTGAGTTAGCTCGCAACACAGATGCTGGAGAAAGTCAGGATATACTCCTACTGATTACCAGGTCACATACTCCGTAATAATAATCGAGACGTCAAGCAGGTGGAGTTGTGTATGCATCATTACTCCGTAACTCGAGTATGCTGATAGTTGGCTTATCTGCACGTGATCAATATCAAGGCGCGCTCCCAAAGCACCATCTCGCGTCAGGCAAGCTCCCGCTTAGGAACGGACACTCAACTCAACGCCAGATTGCTGGCAAAAAAAAAATAATGGACTTCATGTTCGACAGATGCGCACATGACTGCTAAAGCGCTATCTCATGCTGGGCAGTAATGGCGCGACCCAAATCCGTTCGCGCGCCTAGCGCTGCAAGCTTACCAAACAACCTCCGCATCCCCAGCACCACGCCATCTCTTGCCAAAACGCTGGGAAAGCTGTCGCGCCAGTCGCTACTGGATCTAGCTCTATTATGGCTTTCAGAAAAGAATGTCCGATTATTCCCTCCTTTCCTGGAACAGGATGAAGCCGAGGGCATGGAGGACCAAGACGCCAACCCCTACCCCGCGGCCCAAACCATCGACGAAGTCCGCGAGGCGTACGAGGAGCTACGGGGAAGGAAAGGGGGGAAGCGGGAAGTCATCGATCGTATTTTGGAGGGAGATTGGCGCCACGGAATCACTCTTGGGCAGCTGGCGATGGTCGATCTGCGGTACTTAGACGACCATCCAACGAGTCAGAAGTGGACGGCTTTAAAACTCGTACCGGCCGACAAGACAGACCGCGAATCGACAGAACTCTCTGCGTCTCTTCCGCGTCTCCATGCGGTGACATTCATATCGAATCTCCATCGTGAGATCTCACCGCTGGTGAAGGCGCATTACTACCTCTCACGTTCGCGATCGTTGCCCTTGACCTTCCTGCGAATCTTCGTCACGGATTCTCCATACCAATATCCGCGCCATTCTCCGGAAGCCTACATTGATACCTCGCGAATAATCTATGTCGCTTTCCCAGACAGCAGTCCCTTTATATACACTTCGATGTCGCCGACAATCGGGACGAAAGCCACCGCCTCCAATCCTCTAATGACGGACTCACGAACGCTGCAACGTGTCGTCCGCGATGGTATCCCGAAGGCGCTTTCGCGGCCTCACGAGCGCTACGTTTTGCAGGCAACTTCTCTGACTACCAAAAGTCTCCACGCACTCCTCGCGCTCCGGGCCCCGGAAGAACAAATATGGCAAATGGCGCCTTCAGCATCTTTGCCGACGCAGTCGTGGAAGGGACTCCACTGGATCCGCGATTATCAAACACGGTATCACCAGAAGAGTATCGCACGGGGAGAGACCCTGCAACCGATGAGGCTGAGGGAAAGGAAAACGCACCTCCTGCTGCAGACAACGCACAGCGGACACCGGGGAAGAAATCCAGCGATAGCAGCTCAACAAGGGAACCCGATTCAGATCCGCAGGAAACCAAGAGGCGCAAGCTGGCCGTCTGCTCTCGTTTCGGCACATCCGGAACTGCAGCTTCATCGGCAACCCTCGACCGTCTTGACATCCGACTCTTCGATCCGCCGAGTGTGGAAGAAGGGCGCTCTGCCGCCCTCAACGATAAGGACAGCGGTGAAGACGGAGACGAAAACGACAACATCGAACCCAGCCAGCCGACTCTTTCGCTCACCTTCACCGGAACAGACGTCATCGCGGGCATACGAAAACTGGCGGAATTCGGCGTCATTGATCCAGACCGGATGCCTTCATGGATGACCGGCGAGGAAGGCGTGAGCTCCGCCATGGTCAGACGAGGTAAAAGGATAACAGTTTCAGGCGTTGGTAAGGGGATATGATGGGTATTTCCATACCTTTTTTTTTGCGGGGTTGGCTTTTTATAGGCGTAACGCGGATTTAGAACGAACGCATACATTCATGAATGGAGTGAAACGGGTGGAATAAATGTACAGTACATCTGTTCTGTAGCTCTTTGTTGAGAAATACCCTTGCATCTCTCAGGTATTATTGTTAATTAATTTGTGGATGGGATTGCTAGAGAATAATATCCAATGTATTTCAGTAATACAGAAATGGTTCCAAGAGGAAAGTAAGCTTTAAAAATAAAATAAGAATTTTTAACAAAAAACCAAGTGAAAGCAAAAATAATCCTATGATTTTTCAAAAAAGACGGGGTATATTGTATATTGCTTTGTTTTGCATCCACCAACGCCAATTCACCAGTCTCTCCCTAATCGTACCAGCAAAATTGCCTCTACGGCGCTCCGCCTCTTTCAGGATCCAGCCTGAGAGGCGAAAATCAAGTTGAATTGATCAATCAATAGTAGTAACGATACCGCCGTTGTACCCATGGTTGGTAATAGGTAGAATAATCTGTCGGGGAGAAACGAGATCGTTAGTACAGACATACATATTGGATCGAGAAAATGCTATCGAGGGAGGGCACGTACCACGTATGCCGGACATGCCGAGACTGGACGCGACATTGAGGTATCCCTCGTGACTGACACGTGCATTCTTCACGAGGGATTTGAGGTCGAGGCGCGTATCGTCGACTGGCCAGGGGGATCGACTAATCAAGACGACGATGGTTAGTTAACCAGACCTATTATAGACACAGGGACTAGTCTAAGGCTCAACTCACCAGTAGACACAGCGCACTCCGTTCTCGCGCGTGCTCGCCGCCCACCGATCGAAACAGGCTTTGTGCACGTTGTTTCCGCACGCCGCCTTGCACCAAACAATCTCGTCGGCTTGTGGATCAAACTCCATGAAACAAATTGGACAATCGCCCTCGACAGGCTTGCGCTTGCCCGAAGTGTCATCGCTGGATTCTGTACCTTGGGGGCTTATAGGAGCCTTTTCGAACATCTCCCGCAGTTCCTGTAACCAATATGAGCTTTCCCGAACTCTCCCTGTATAAGATCCATCCTGGTGGCGTCGTTACTCACAGATGAGAGAAAAGCCAATTGATATTGGAGATGGGCTGGCGCTTTGAGAACATTCACGAGAACCTTTTGCATGGTAAGCAGTTGGACAAGGTGCGACAGTGGCGAGAGCACGTACGTAAATGATATGCTTGCATTGGTTGCCTTTAAGGGCATCAGGACAGGTGCAGGTTGGTTCTTTCGCAATGGTGACAGTGTAGATATTGCCCGTTGTCCCCTAGAAGTTATAGAGATGGTTAAAGAAGTCATATTACAACTTAGGTTAGGGTATTATACTTACAACCATGTCGACCTTTTCCTCGGGGGCTTCGTCAGTGCCCGTCCTTCTGCGACCAATGACAAACATCCTGATAAAAAGCATCAGATCAGAAACGTGGACAGCCATACATCAATTAAAATGAACCAGAGTCTACCTCTGTGTGGTTGCACGGGCCAACTTCTCCAGGAATGTCTGTGGTGGCTTGCGGCGAAACATCCTCGCCCGGCGCTCTGGCGTTTCCTTCGATGGAGTTCTTTTCGCTCTGGACTTCGCAGGCGCAGTATGAACTTCAGGAGAGTCACCTGTAAGATCAATAACTTCTATGGGCTTGGAAGGGGTAACGGGCTCTGTTCGTCTTCTCTTCGATGAGCCGGATTGTTCAGGCGAAGATCGCTTTCTGGACGCGGACGCGCTTCCAACGAGAACATTGGAAGATGTTGGTGTAGACGGTGATCTAGCCATGCCGGACTGTCTGCTTGAAGATGTCGCTGTTCTTGTAGCACTCATATTTGCAATCTGAAGGCTCCTTCACCCAGAAAGGAAAGTTCTGGGCGCGGGCATGTGTTGGATCAAGATGCTGGTGGAGTGGCGACGCGCTGATATCCAAACAGGATCAGCTTTTCCAACAACTCGAATACAGCAAACTTAGGAAAACTTAGAAAAGTGGTTAAAAGACGGGAGTCAACAAAGAAATACAGGAGAAAAAAAAGACTTGTCACGTTTGCCCGGAGGATTCCCGGCAAGTCTCCTGTCCCATGACGCGCCTCGACTCCGCAGTCCGGGGAGCTCTGACAGTTTGCATTGTTTGACTGCGTGCCCGACTCCGATTTGTCTGCGAGCTTCCCCTCGTAGGGCCAACATCACCACCTTGCATTAAGTATAGAAGCCACGTGAAGCTCGCCCGATAACGAACAGTTAAAAGTTTCCGACTTCTCTTGGAGCTTTCAGAATACTCCGTTTGGAGGAGGGAGGCTGACTTAGGGAATCCGCTACACTGATGGCACGGCCACGCGCCCATTCCGGTGCGGAGGGCCCCAAGGAGCCTCACGCCGTCTCTCTCAAAGGTACGCTTGAACGATGGACGGTTGACCGGCGACCTGACTGATGAGATGCAGTATTGCGGTAAGCAGATCATCCGGCGTGTCCAAAACTATTCAACGAGTGTGGCATATTGACTACTCCAGACTGTCCCGGCCCTCGTTATCATATCAGCACCCACTGCCCACGGAGAACACGAGAATCTCTCCCAAGGCATCGTTAGCATACCCATCGAATGACTTCGATAGCCAATTTATTCTGAGTCCTAATGTGCGTACTTCTATTCAAGTTGACTTTTGCATGCCGCGGTTTCTGACCATCAATGGAGAAAGGTTACGCTTCCTCCTGCTTTCGGATCTGCTTACGTTGGCGAGACCTTTGCCTGTTCATTATGCGCGAATAATGAAATCCCTGAAGAAGACACTACACGGGTCGTCACCTCCGTCCGTATTCTTGCTGAAATGCAGACTCCGTCGCAAGTCGTACCCTTGGAGTTAAAGGGGTCGGAAGATGAAACACAAACAGAAGGCTTAGGAAAGGGCCAATCTTTCCAGAGGATCGTCCAATTCGACCTGAAGGAAGAGGGAAATCACATTCTAGCTGTCAGTGTCAGCTATACCGAAACTCTGATGTCGGATAATACCCACGCGGCGAGCGGAAGAGTGAGGACTTTTCGCAAGCTTTACCAATTCATTGCACAACCGTGTCTGAGCGTCAGAACGAAAGCTTCGGAGTTGGCTCCTCTGGAGGTGGATAACAAGGCATTAGGACCATATGGGAAGTCAAAGCTTCTCCGCTTTGCTCTGGAGGCACAGCTGGAAAATGTCGGGGATGGTCCCGTCGTGGTCGAGGTGGGCATCACTCTTCGTTCCATTGACATTACGTTTGGACACCCTAGCTGATACACTTCCAGAAGACGATATTGAATCCAAAACCCCCATTCAAGTCCCGGTCTCTTAATTGGGACTTTGAGCGACCCGACTCGCTAAAGCCGCAAAAACCCACCATGAACCCGCGAGATGTTCTCCAAGTCGCGTTTCTTGTCGAACAGGAGGTTGGCCAGCAAGAGGGTCTCGAAGCTTTACAAAAAGACATGAAGCGCGACGGTCGAGCGACGCTAGGGCAACTCTCGATCGAATGGCGTAGCGCGATGGGTGATAGAGGATTTCTCACGACAGGCAATCTGCTGACCAGAAAGCGATAGCAGTCCTCTTCTGTGGAGTGTATTCTGGTGATGGCACGTGCCCTGTTGTAGAAGTATTGCAAAGTTGGTCCTCGCACTTCAAAAGAAGCCAGCTCACGACGCATCACTCTTGGGCGGCTTCCAGGATTATCCAGGAGAAATGCTCGCTTTACTGGGAATCTTGGCTACCGTCTCAGCAAGATCTTGATCCCTTCGGACCATGATCCATGATACACGAGTTGGGCCAGGTTGGTGCCCTGAATGGCATGCACGACTCAGGTTGTCATACTCGAGACCAGAGTCCCGGATTGTTAGAGTGCAGGATACGCTGAAGACTCGCACAGCTGTTTGCATCAACGACGGCATTGCCATATGTGCCGTACCTTTGTTACAGCCTGTTATCAGTACTCTGGATTGAATGGATCGATGTGCTCTGTACTCCATACGAGCGCCTGAGGCCGGTAGTGCCAAATGCCAATCCTTTGTAAATCATAACCCAGATAGGAGAAGGGGAGGGGGGCCAAGCCAAGCAAGTGTGATGGTGATCCCAGTCGGTGATCCACAGGTATTATTCTTAGCTAACAAGTCACGATGGAGAGATTCCGCCGCCTGCATTCGCTAGCGCCGCCCTTCGTCTTCCGAGTTCCATCTCTTTTTTTCAGTTTCAACAGATAAGACTGAGGGACGGTTTCATGACTAGGCAGGAGGGACATGCGCCCGGTGTCTCAGTTCTTTTTAATAGAAAATAACTGAAACATCCGCGCCTCGGTAGGCAACAGCACCACAATAAATAATAATCGTTAACTATGGTTTCCGCCATTTACTTTGCAATCTCGAAGGAGGTAATTGAGGAAGAATTGTTTCGTACGGAGTAGATACAATAATGAGGCGGTCAGTCTCTTTTTAAAGATGCCCTGTATTATTGGATATAGATGGATACACAGTACCTGCGTCTTTGTGTTCCCATGCAGTATGCGGTGAGAGTCGAGACGGATGTTGTGACCACGGAAGTACTCCGTATGTAGGTACTCTGCTTGATGCTGAATAACGTTGATTCAACGATAATAATAATATAGTTCGTGATACCTCCTCCTTTTTCTGGATAAAACTATTACTTTTACCTATAATAGAACGATATGTAGATATTCCGTAGATCGCTGGAGAATGGACAAATAGTCAATTGTTCATACCATAAGGAGTACTCTGTCAAGATTATCATATGGAGTCCCAGAGTACGGAGTATAATACTACTGATAGTAACTCCATACTCCGTACTGCCGTCCTGGCCTGTACAGAGTGCATGATGGGGCCATATTAGTCAGGTACTCCATATGCCTAGTGCTATAGGCCCTGGCCTTAAGATAGGTACAGACTACTCTGTACAGGGCATACTGTGGAGTCCCACTGAAGTCGCTCCATACGAAGTCTCTGGTGCCATCGTTGGCTATCTGTAGCTAGTCCCTAGTGAACGAGGAGGATTGCTTCTGTGCAACATCGAAAGCGGCCTAGAGAAGACGATCATCCTGCTTATCCGAGGTTGGTAAGTCGACCGTACGGTACGGACCATACTTGCAGTTCTGCAGCAAAGACAAGCATTGCGACCGATTCACCACAACGATCGCGGCCATGCCTCCAGATGCTGTCTGCTGTCGTATTCGGCAGAGAGCATTGGGGCGATTTCTCCCAGCTGAAGGTCGTTGACCGCACTTTCAGGGCGATCGCGACGCTGGGCCGACCGCTGCGACTCGCTCGTCCGTCCTTCTCTAGCGCCGCCTCTCCACAGTGCCCAAAGCGTCGACCCGTTCCCTCTCCAACTCGCTTGGCCAACCAACCTGTCAAGCTGGTCAAGCTGCCCCCATAGAGGAGATCTAGAAAGGCCCAGAGCTTGTTGGGCATGTCCGTATCGGGCAACCACTCGTAGACAGCTGGCGTGTCCGCAGTAGATGGATGCTGTCGAGGCTCCTCTGACCTGGCGCAGCGATGCCTGTTCTGGCGGACGCGGTAGTCTAGCCTGCAGTCTAGCCTGTATCAAGAACGCTCTGGTGGGTTCTCGTCGAGCTTCAGGTCGCTGATCTGACGAATCGTCGCCGTTTGACCCACGAGTCTCCGGAACGCACGACATCATGACTCCGCCCAGGGGGTTCTCCACCTTGACGATAGACTAACTCCTAGGCGTGCCCTCCAGGCGTGAATCCGCTGCGGTGCCAAGTTACAGCCTGCCGGCTGCTTTGGCGTCGGGGTTTAGACTCGACAATTCCCTCGTTGAGCCTGGCAGTCTCGCAAGCAGCCCCCAGCACCAAGCCACTACTGCACGAACACCCCTCCAGCCCTGACAGTGACGGTCCCCGACCAGGGTCCCGATAGGTGATGCTTCAGCCCGCGGTGCTCATCCGGACTGTCGACTGAGCGTTGCCGTACCTAACTCCGCCCCGTGCCCAGTTCTCGCGGATAGCAGCAGCGGTCGCACCCATTGCCTGGCAACACTGGCGTTCCTGCATCTGCGAGGCCTGTGTTGTATGTGTAGGTGGTGAGCGTCCGTGTGGTGTGTGGTGCGTGTCTTAATTAGTGTGCGCGGAGGGACACACGAGGTGGTGTTGGCTTTGGTTCCTTTTCCAATCGGTGTAGCAGCCGTCCGCATCGTGTACTTTTTCTCTTCAAGCATCAATCTTCAGACGCCACGGCAGAAAGAAAAAGATAACGAAAAATCTACACCCACGCCTGCAAGAAACGCCTGGGAAAGGCGTGACGCAAGGTCGTTCCTGGTTCGTGTCCATGCCTTCTTTTTCTCGACCCTGACTTTCCCTGACACCACCCCGCGAGACTGCTTCTCCACAACCGTGGAGCTACCCTTCCACGCATCTGTCCATTCCACAGTGCACCAGCCAGTCCTCCCAGACTGAACTCTCGCTGAGAAACAGCAGCAGGGAAACGGATCTTATCAATGCGGTTACAGTAACGATTCGATTGTCTCATTGCCATGAGAGGGGGTTGGATGCGCCCTCCATAACCCACCGTTGCTGTCAAATGCTGGTATCAAGGCCCCTCGGCCACAAATCGCCAAAATGCCTCTAGCATCTACCCCAGAGTCGTCGGCCCCTCTCGCCGATTTCTTTTGGATCGCCGGGGTCGACGGCAAGGAGATCGAAGACACCTTCTGGAAATTGCGAGACGAGTACAAAGCGAACAGGGAAAGCGTCCCCGGCCCCGCTGTCTCAGATACGATCGAGGAGCAAGCCGAACCCGAAGACGAGAACGCCCCGTCAACCGAGTCTACGAATCTGGATGTGAAAAATGCTAAGCGAAACTCCGTTCAACGGCTGTCCAAGCTGTCCAACGAGGCGCGCATGTCGATGCGCTCCGTTGAATCCAAGGGCTCGGGCAGCAACCGAAGCAGTATGACGATCAAGGGGGCCTCGTCTCCTAATCGAAACTCCGATGCCAACGGAGATTTCGACTTCGACAAGGCATTGCTCAAATTCGCCTCGGAGAGAGAGTCGTTCCTGTCCGATTTGAGTCTCAGTGCAGGTGCGATCACGCCCACACGGCCAAAACCGCGACCGCGGACACAGAAGATCATCCCGGAAGAGAAGCCCGCTCCTACGAACCCGCTGAAGTCGGGCATTGGTAGCGTTCGCCGCCACATGTCCTTCAGGGACATGAACAGCATGAAGAGGCAGCCCTCGATTGCTCGCCAAGGTGATACAGATCGTGGATCGACTAGTCGTGATTCCATGACTAACTCGCTATCTCTTTCCGTCAAAACAGCTTCTGTGCGCACCTCTCGTCGTCTCAGCAACTACAATTCCGTCATTCCAGCTCCTCAACCGCTCGAGACCTCGCCCTCGATGCATCCATTGAAACGGAGATTCGAGCCAGTCCTGCTTGACAGATACCCACAGAAAGGAATGCCCGATGAGAACAACCAGCGGGGCACCTTCCCCGATTACGTACCCATGTTTGCCTTCCCGAACGATATCAACATCGTTTCCTCGGACCAGAAACCCCGTTCGACATGGCATGGGTTTATCATGACCACGGCGGATGGTACTAAATTACATGGAGTCTGTCTGATACTATGGATACCACTTGGCCAGAAGGCTGCGGAGGCCTTGGAGGAGTGCTGTGAAGAATGGCGGAAGGACAACATGACCGATGAGGAACGAGAGCTGGCGGCCAGCCTTGGTTCAAGATTGGCAGAGGAACGCGCGAAGCTGTCCAGCCTCCTGGCGAAGCTGCCCACGGTCCCATCTGGCTCGGCAGAGAGAGAGAAATTGGAGGACGAGATCAGCGCAGTGGAAGAGAAGATTGGGCTGATGACAGACTTGCTGCGCCCAGTGCGGCATGGGGCAGCATCCAAGATCGAAGGGCTTACGGATGACACAGGCTTCTGGATTCCCCGTGCGTACGGTATCCTTGGCAAGGATCCATCAATGACCAGCTTCTGGAAAGAATGGCTGAAGGCCGTCGCCGTCCCGAGGACCAACGGAAGCGTGCAGAGAGTGCCTGTCAGTTCACCCTTCGTAGGAATCTGGCTGCCATTGGAACGATACGTCGTGAATCTCTGCACGGAAGCATTCAGTCCGATCTCTTCCAAGACGCAAGTTGAGCTGGCGGTCCGGGAGCTCCGTCTATTTGCTCGGAAGGAAGCAGCTAATGAACTTCCTGGTTCTCGAAACGTACGTCCATTCTTCATCCTCTGCGGTCGCTTGAAGTTTCTGCTAATTCATATCCTAGACCGATCTGTACGCGCTGTTCCGTTGTCTTTCAGTCTCCAATATCGTCGTTCTCTTTGAGGCAAGTGATACTCGCACACCATGCTGCTGATGTGATAGAGCTAATCGACCTTGATACAGTATGCCCTCGTGGAATCTCGAATCATTTTCCTGTCGTCGCACACGTCGATGCTTTATTTGGCAACTCGAGCCCTGGTTGACCTTCTGTTCCCATTCAAGTGGACAGGAGTATTAATTCCGGTCCTACCCGCACGTCTAATCCAGGCTCTCGAAGCCCCCTGCCCTTACATTGTGGGGATTGAGCGACGATATGAAAAGGTTGAGCTGCCGTCGGATGACTTTGTCTTAGTGGACCTTGATTCAGATCAGATCGAAAGCACCGTGAGCCCGACACCATTGCCGCGTCACCAACGCAGAAAGCTTCTCTCTATCCTTCAGCTTGCCGCTCCGCATCACAGCAAGTATGGCGTGAAACCGGGGCCGCCAGCTTATGCTGTTGAAACATTCCCGTTCGATTCTTTCCCCTCAGAGCATCCGTCCATCTATAACTCGAAGGCACCGCCTACCCATCTCGCTCGCTATGTTAGCATGAATTCAAATGCCTTTGGACAGGATCAGGCCGCTAATGCGTCGTCCCCTGCGCCAATTTACAACGCCTTTTTGCATGCTCGAACCGAACTGGCTCATTCTAGGGGTCTGTCAAAGGGAAGTAACCGACCTAGCACAAGTTCAACATCGAGAACGGGCTCCCCTCCGTCGCCGAGGGCCAGTTCCCCGAACTCGGGTCATTTCCCTCCTCCCCTGCCTCCCACTCCTGTTTCTCGCAATGACTCTGGTCTGGCTCTGCAGGCCTCTCTTCGCGAGAAGAGATCCGGCCATTTCGATGGTTCCTCTCGCAGGAGCTCGTCGTTTGGAACGGAGCGAAGGGGGGTGCCTAGACGCCCGAGTGCACCTTTTCTAGGCCATGCTTCTAACCTTTCCGTTACTACTCTCAATACCGACTACGGTGGCACTTCCACCTACACGCCATCCATCTACGCTCAGTCAACCATTGCCGCTTCGACTATCGTTCCTCAGGCTACGACACAGCCCGTATACAATACTGATAATACATGCTGGGTCGAGGGACATTGCTTGCAGCTGCAAGCGTGGGATGACAAAGCCGTGTGCTCGATCTGTGACGAGAAAGCAGAGGAGGGGATGTACAAGTGCACAGGATGCAAGACTCTGGTGCACAGTCGATGCGCGCCTCTAATCTGCCTGGTGTGCCCTGCGGCGTTTCACCCCGAGCAGGTCCGAGCTGCCTTTGTGCGTTGCTTCGCTAGCTTGCTGTACACGTACAAAAAATTCCTTCAACCGGCAAGCAAGGAGCAGAAGAAGGAGGGAATGTATTACAGTTTCAACATGGAGGCTTTCCTCCGGAGTCTGCCCCACGAGCACGCAGAGTACATGACGGTGCTGCAACAAACTCAGGGTATGTATCACCGCTCTTTCATCGTGGTCATAATCAGAGAAGAAAATTGGATATTGATTCAATATCGCAGGATTCAATGAATTCATCAGTGAACGCGAGAGAGCCAAGCCGACTGCGAAAGATCCGAAAATCGTGTTGTTTGATGAGATCATCCTGTCAAAACGAAATCGTGGTCGTTCTGCCATCTTCTCCGGCCGGATGACCACCGATTTCTTATCGGATACTTCTGAGCATCTCTGGCGGTCTGCGGCCGCATCAACCTTCCCGCCGACCAGTCGGAGCCAACAGAATCTGTCAGACGATTACAATGAAGTTATTAAAAGAGGTTAGCTAGATTCATTCCCAGTTCCCTTTAACGTCCATGCGTCATTGTCGATGATATCGATCATGGACGTGTCTTGCCGATTCCCGTATGCTGACACTTTGATCTCTCGTTGCAGTACCTGCCAAACTTGATCCTGCCTTGATGAAAGAGCCCCGCATGATTCAGGGAGTGCCTCGGATATCCAAGACTTCCAACAACGCTCGCAGGAAGCCGCTTCCCAAGCTTATGAACGGTCTGGCAATCTCGCCTCCTTCTTAAGTCTTTTTAGACGTCGATCTCGAAATCCCGGAAGGCTATCTAGGACATTTAAACGGACAACGCACTGCTCTCCTACCATTTTTTATCCCAAGGGGAATGACCGGACTTAGACTGATTATTTGATACGGTCTTTTTGAGATCATACGTGGGATCGGTACCACTCATACGTTAGATTACTGACACAGGGGCAAGGGCTGTGAACTGTGTTTATGCCGTTGAGGATTCTTTCTCATCGCTGGATCATCTAAGCTCCTGTGCGGCCATTGACTCCCCACTGACTTTCGCTAGTCAGTGAATGATCTACACAGGGGCGCCGTTTTTGGCGCTTCTTATCTGATAAGAATTCTTCGTCATCCGACATGAAAACCGTCATTCGAGGAAAATCAAATACCTACCGTGCGATTCCCCGCCCCCAACTGCGCAGATGGTTCCGGAAAATAAATTCCAGGACTGCAGCTGAAGGTCGGCGACTGTACAGTGCATGGAAATCTCTCCCCTATTTTTCTTCGGCTTTTATACTGCTGCCGATGTTGACCTGTGAGCGGTGTCTAGCGCAGGTTGCAGATTGATGCAGCATACCTAATTTCGTGACGTGTTTGTCATTCTTGAATTTCTTTCCACATGATGAACACCGAGCGCAGTACATACAACATAATCTTTGATGATGATCATCGATTTCTGAAAGTACCCACATAAACTTCATCATGTCGATGTCCAGATTGGAGGCGAATCTCTGACGATATTTCCTTGGTCACGCACTTATTTTCGCGATTATATCTGCTGTCAAATATCTCTCTTTACGCACCCTCTTCTCGGCCTCGTCAATACCTTGCTAGGGCTTTTGTGACTTCCTCGTGCATAATTAATACCCTGCTCTTTTCATCTGCCATAATGTCATTCTTTCTGGGTTTAGGAAAGGGGAAAAGGAAAGTGGGCCTATTTTCTTCTTGCCAATAATAAAATGCTCCTGCTCTGTGTATGTGTAAAGTGTCCAAAATGTTATTGCAAGCTGCTTCAGTTTCTCTCCTCTCAACACAACACCTTATCTCTTACAATTGTATCCCTGAACGTCTCGTCGCTCCAGCTCTCGCCGTCTTGACTCCGTTTCCACAGGATGGAGTGGATTGAAAAGCCAGACGAAATCTAGATCAGCGTTAAGAGACTATTCCAGACTCTCATATCTATCCCAGAGACTGGAGAAGTAACTGCCCTGACGGTTGAACCAGGACAGGGAACAGCCCAGGCCACTGTCATTGGCGGAGAAATACCGCCGAGGAGCCCGAGTGCTTACGGCTGGAGCCGGGGAATCTCGCCCCGTCCACAGCTGCCTCCGCTGCCGATCCACCGGCTGCTCCTCCCCCGGCTTCCCCTCGAGAGTGTCGACACCTTAACTACCACTAGCTGCGAAGCGGTCGTGATTGTCGCGACACTCCAATGAGGCTGGAGGGCGACATTCAACTGGACACGCAGACACGTCCACCACACATTTCGTTTCTGTCGTGGGCTGGTCATTCCTCATATCGAGGTTCGCTATCGCACATCCCCCGCCTTCCATTGCTGCTATCCCACCCAATCCGCTCCCCTCGTTCAGGGCCCTGCTTCTGCACGATACGCCTAGGCAGCCATTATTGGGGAGGATAATTGATCTCCCTCCATACTGGCCAAACGATACGGGGGAATTCCCGACGCGCCTCCGACTACTTCAGGCAGGCCGGTCGCCTGCCCGGATCCCTATCGCTGTCCTCTATCGCTGTCTTGTCCCGGTTCCGATTCTTGCTTTGGAACTTCCCGCTCATGCATCGTCGGACAAGGCTATTTGCAGCATCAGCCTCAACTCTTGTCGCTGGGAAGAGAAGGTCGCAGATGTCATCATAACCCGAACGCCTCAAAACCAAGTGATTTGCTATACACGTCCTACCTGACTCTGGGTCTCGTGCGGTGGCGGCTCGGGAGCTACTACTGATTTGCGTCACTCGTTCCTAAGAGCTTGGCTATATCAGATTGATATGCATTGTGTGATCGTGTTTCTCTAAACTTTTCTGTGATCTCATTTCATCTCGATTGTATACTAACCATATCGTGTGCTGTCTACGTTGTTACCTGAGAGTGTTTTCCGTCAAGCATGCAACTGTGGAGGGCTGCCGTGCGATGATACAGACTGTGTCTCGATGGCGACCCAAGTTGAGACGGCTGTGGCTCCGCCTGCCGTTACCGTGATGAATGGCGCTGTAAATGGCGGCATCAGCCATCCCCCCGCAGACTCCAAGAGAACGGTGGTGATCGTATTTGGTCCGGGCCAAGAGGGCATTCTTCAGGTCGTGGCCGAGGTCTTGGGAAAGGCATGGACGACGGTGTCGTCGTTGTCTACAGTCGTATCAGGGAGCGATGCGGTTGTTGTGGGCATCCTGGCAAGCGATCTGGAGAGCACCTTTGCAGAATACAGAGGTGACCTGTCCAAATTGTTACTGATCAACACTCACTGCGTGGACGATGGATCGTTCCCAGATGAGAGGCTCTCCGAGAGTTGCCATTACGAGTTTCTGTACTCTCGCAGTCCGTTCTTTCGCCGCGATCTGACCCGATTTCTGTCGCTGATCCTGGGTCAGCGGCGCCCCCACGACGACCTGGCCACGAAGAAACGGACGAATTTTATATCGACCACGTTCCCCGATGTCCGTGCGGCCTTGCCCAACCTGGATATCCTGTCTGTAGGCTCGGACGCGGTGGAGATCCGGGTCGATTTGCTGGAAGAGCCTTTGTCGGATGGCAGTCGCAGCCCTGTTCCCAGCCTGAAGTACGTGGGTCAGCAGGTCATGCTGCTGCGGCAGCATACCGAGCTTCCCATCATCTTCACGACGAGGTGTACCAACGAAAATGGAAGGTTTCCCATGGACGATCCTAAACTGTTCCACAAGTACCTGCGTCGTGCGATCAAATGGGGCGTGGAGTACATCGACGTCGAATTGTGGCTTCCAGAAGAGATCCGGAAAGATCTTGCGGCGCATAGAGGCAATAGCATCATCATGTCTGCTTTTCACGACTTCTCCGGGACGTGGAAATGGACGTCGCCGGACGCGCAGAGGTTGTTCAGGGAAGGCGCCCGATATGCCGATATCGTTAAGATGATCGCGATGGTGAACACGGTTGAAGCAAACTATGAGTTGGAGTATTTCCGTTCGACCATCAAGGCGAACTACTCCTATCCACTCTTGTCCGCCGTGAACATGGGCCAGAAGGGACAACTTTCCCGCGCGCTGAACACGGTTTTCTCCCCCATCACACATCCATTACTACCGATCATCGCTGCTCCCGGCCAGCTGACGGCGGCCGAGATCAATCGGGCCCTTCACATCATGGGCCAACTGCCGAAGCGCGACATGTATGCGATTGGACCCTTCCGTTCCACTTCGCAGTCCATGTTCATGGAGAAGTGCTTCAACGAACTCGGTCTCCCACACAACTTCATCTGCATCGACCGGGGTCCTCGAGGGTCGATCGAGTCCGTGATCATGCAGCCCAGTTTCGGCGGTGCTTACGTGAATCCCCCGCTGACAAGTTCGGTGTCTTATATACCGACGAAAAGCGACGCCGCACGCGCGATCGGCTTGATTGACACCATCACCGTCGACGGTTCGGATGGGCAACCCCGGTTCGTGGGCGAAAATGCGACCTGGAAGGGGATTCGAGCAACCCTCACGCGGGATTATGTTCCCTCTGCCTACCGGGGCCGTGCGGTGATCATCCTTGCCAGTTCGGAGAGCGACGCTTCCGCTGCGATCTATGCCCTGCGGAGTCTGGATGTGGGCACCATCTATACGGTCGGGTTCCGGGCGACAGGCCCGCTGGCGGCTGGTCTCGAGCCTTTTACTTCGATCCAGTCCGTCAAGCTGGTGGAACAGCCGTTTGTGATCGTCTCTGCATTGCCACCAGAGAAATCGCTTCTCGTCCAGCCATTGTTACGACATTATCGAACCAACGGCCACTCTTCGCCACCATCCACGAGGGGGAAGGTCTATCTCGACCTGACCAGCGGGCCGCGCAAAGGCGATCCGCTTACCGTCGCTGCTCGCGCCGGCTGGACGGCGTACGGCATCGAAGATGTGAATGCGTGGACGACGGTCGAAACCCTCCGGCTGCTCGTGGGGCAGAATGTCCCATTTGATTTTGTCCGCATGGCGTCCGGCCATGGTTTATATTAATTAAGCGACGATAAAGAAAAAGTTCTCTATCGCGGAATACAGGACAGGTTACCATCTGGGATAGAGCTGTCATCGAGGGTTCTTTGTTTTATTTTTGGCGAGTTTGATCTGTACCCTGGCGTTGACTGGGATCCTGGAAATCTTTCGGACGGGAAGGCATATATGTTGCTGACGACGTGTATAACTTTTTTTTTTCCCTTTTTGATTCCTCCTTTGTAACATGACGATTTTCTGTCATTATCATTTTCTTCCCCGCCATGTATCAACCCCGCAAATGCAAACTGAATGAAACGGTTGCAATCACTGCTTCCACTATCCAGCGGTAGACGCTATATATGTACGGAGCTGTATATAGATGCAAAGCTTCGCACAGACCTGCGTGAGGCTGGTCGATCGTTGCCTCGTGCGAATGCGGACAGCACGCCTCCGAGGTTATTACGGAGTAAATGATTATAACTCCGATCTTAGGCTAAGTGGGTAATAACTTTAAGTTGGTACTAATCGCGGCACGGCGCACGCGGATAAATTCAACAGCAATAGCATCGCATCGATAAGAAACAAGAATGGCAGGTTTGAAGCCACGAGTGGTGCGTGCCGATCGAAGCGATCGAAGATAACCCGATCGACAGGGCAACTTCGGTACTTTGGCATAAAACATCCCTAACCTCCCCGGTTCGCAATTATTAATTCAATAATCGCTCGCAGCCAGGGCTGGCAGCTGCAGGCGCACCCCGCAAAATACCTCCGCTCCAGGCCGGGGGGTCGCTTCCCCATCCAGCAAAAAGCCGTGCCTTCCCTGCTGTTGCTGCGCATGGTCCTTCGACACCTCCATCTCCATCGCCCCTCCAGCATCGCTCACCCGGTGCTCGGCCGTATCTCCCTAGTTCCTCTGGCGTGCACTGACTGGCCTTGTCCATTATTATTCTCGCATGATGCCTCGTCATCCTCCACGGGGTATGTCGACCAGCAGAGTGGAAACTCTCCGCGTTTTCCCCCGACGCCGGCGAATTGCCGCTGCCCGATGGCCGCCTGGCTCCCTGCTAAGAATTTAACTATTGCTAACTCTGGAAGGTCCCAACTGGAGCTACCTAATGGCGAGCAAGCTTCTATTGCAGCCCTCGATCTAACGTCTTTCGCTTCTACGAACCGGCCCGAAGCCACCTGCTCTACTAGCCTGAGCTACTTTTCGCTCGTGCCCCCTCGAGTTATCTTCCCCCAGATTTCTCCATGCTCTCAGCGTCATATCCCAGAGACCAGAGGAACCCAGCAGCCACCTTTCTTGGTCGGGAGGCAACGCGCCCTTGTCAGTGGTGTGAATCGACCTACTCGCCAGGCTCACCGTCCTGAATATCAGTCTAGAATCTTTCTGCAGCAGACGTCAGCGTCAGAAAGCTCTTGCTCCACCAGATGTCTTGAACCACTCTTAATTGCACCCGCGTTCTCCACGGGTCGCGTCAATTCGCTTCCTGTTGGTGTATATAGTCGTATCCTGTTGATGAGATCGCCATTCAGCAGCTGTCGTCATGTCTCGTCCGCAGGTGAGCATTGACCGTATCACGCCGCGGCGGGTGACAAATGAACCCCGCGAGGCGATGAACTGCAAGTCCTGTCGGAAAAGAAAGGTTGGTCTGTCGCTAGATACTGTCATGCAATAAACAGCCCATTTCGCGTGTGTGTGATTCTGACCGAAGATGTGGGTCAAACTCTAGATCAAGTGCAATCGCATGCGTCCCAGCTGTGAGGCATGTAAGATTTTTCAATGTCCTTGCATTTATGGTAAGCTGGCTCTATCATTGCTCTTCTGTCTGAGCCTGAGTTGGGAACCCCTGCTGGGCCAATATTCTTCTTCTTTTCTCTCCAATTGACGAGAACCGCTGACTTAGCTTTACCTTTGCACTCAAGATGCGGTTCCGAAGAAACGAGGCCCCAAGACGGACGTTTTGGAGGCATTGATGAAGCGCGTGGATGGACTGGAGAAGCGGCTACAGGAAGAGAAAGGCCCCGTTACACCCACTGCGGATGCTTCATCATCCGTCAAAACGCAAGAGGGAGAACCGCCTCCGCCAGAGAGTTCCACGACGCGCAGTAACACCATCGCTTCCTATCAGAGCCCCTTGTCTCCCACAGAGGATCGATATCCTCCCTCTGAGTGCTCGTCTCAACGCCGAGGTTCGTCCACTTTCCAGGAGCTATACAACGGATATGGAGGCCCTGCGGCCGGGCCTCAACAGCAGCAGCCGCTGCAGTCGCCTTCCCAGCAACATTTCACCCTTCCCATTGCCGTGCTGGATACATTCTTTTCCAGAATTCACGGTAAACCATTCTACATCCTTGATGAATCGGTAACGCGACAAAAACATCAACTAGGACAACTGCCTCCCTACTTAGCCATGGCCATTTATGCAATTACTGTCAGGTGTGTCTTTCCTCGTCATAGACGGATCTCCCATCTTTTGTCCTTTTGTCCCCCTCTAATCTAACAACTGTCGACTAGATATGTCCACCCTCCCGGAGGCCCAAAAGGCCCCTTACGCGTGGGCTTGGACTACGCTCTACAGGCGCGGCGTTCTGTGGATGTGGATAATCCAACCATTGAAGGCATCCAAACTCTGCTCTTGCTGTCTATGGTCTTCTTCGCCTATGGCTTGAGCAAAAAGACGTACATGACTTTATGTATGGACTATGAATGACATAATGCCCCCGAATTCTGGGAGGGAGTAAGTGCAGCTGACGAGCTCCTTAGCCAACTGTTCGGCCATGATTCTGGCATTGGATCTCTACCGGGAGCCATCACCCAAATCGAACCTTTCTCCGGCAGAGCGAGAGACGAGACGACGAATCTTCTGGACCTGTTACATGATGGATCGATTTGCCGCATGCGGGTCAAAACGGCCATGTCTAATTTCTGACCATTCAATTGTTTTGCGTTTACCGTCCTCGCCATCACAAGCCAATGGGCTATATGTCGAAGGCGAGATTTTTAACAATGCCGGCCCAAACATCCAGTATTCATCTGACCCGCGCAAGCAAGGCCGGAGTGCCACTGCGTTGCTCATTGACATCACGCGCATCTTAGGCATCACTAACCGGTACTTGGCAGCCGGTGGAGTAAAGGGTGATTCCCATTTTCCCTGGCACTCCCTGTCCAATCTCTCCAAGATCCGCCAAGAGCTGGACATCTGGGCGGCCGGAGCCCAGGATATATTCGTTTCCATTGAATCATTGTTTGGGCACCCTGAGAGCACGACTCTCCTCCTGAGCAAGTTGATTTATCATCTGATCCACTGCTTGATCTATCGTCCCTTCCTGCCTATTGACCTGGTCGAGCTTCGTGGGACGGGACAACACCAGTCCTGGCAGATTGAAGCCACCAATCTATGTTTCTTACACTCCAACGCGATTGCTGAGCTCGTCGAGTTTGGGCGAAATTCGCCGTTGATTGAGTGGCCCGCGTTTATCAGCTACTGCGTATGTACCGCAGGAACCGTCCATGTTCATGGCGTACATTACAAAGGGCAGGAAGGAGAAGTCTTCTCTTCCAGCGCCGAGTTCCTTGCAAAAGAGATGCAGCAATTGTCCTGGTTACGACATTGCTGGGCTGGTGTGCAGCACCAACGGGAGCTGTTGCAAACGATCTACACTTGTCATTCAGAACTTGTAAGGAACCTGGCTAGCAGCACGATGCGATTCTCTCCGATTTTTCACCTGGAAGATTTCTTCGATCGCTACCCCGGCTTAACGGTGGATGGGTCTCACGTGCGTTTGGTCGATGTCATGCCTGACTGGAGCAACGGCAGGTAAGGAAGAGTTCCTTGCAAAATTGTTTGTGCGCCTGTGCTGACGCGTTGCGTTAACTAGCATGTCCATGTATCCCTTTGATAGGCATGACCACTATCTCAATCAAGCCACGAGCGCACCCATTTTGCCATCACAGCGATTTTACCAGCCTCACCAGCAGCAATATCAGTCCGGCTCCTCCACGTTACCCTCATCTCAAATCTCCTCACGTGGAGACATCTCCAGCCAAGAACATAACCGGACGAAGAATACCGACCTATCTCCTCTCTCCCCTACGACTTTGCCTCCCCAGCCTCCTCAACTGCCGCCTATGTTCCCCTTGTCCAACACGGAGTTCCCCTCCTTCACATCCATCGAAGAGAGTCCCCGAATGCAGAACGCCTTTTCTCCGTCCTTCGGGCTCTCCCTACCCGGCTTCGCGTCGGATTCCGTTCTCAATGTAGCGCCCACGCCACCAGGCAACCCCCAGTACGCCACTTTCCCATTCGATGCTGCCCACCAGCAGCAGCAAACGAATCCATCGGCTGGATCCGGCATGATGACCGCTCTGACGCCGGGCGCTCAGTCTCAAGCGAGCGGCTCGCAGGCAACGAATGCCAGCGACACGGGACCTCCCTCCGAGAAGGATCCGTTTCTCAGCCTGCTGGAGCAGCTGGCCGAGAACGAGCAAAATTCCCAAGGAGGTCCAAGCGAGCTCGATTTCTTCCTCAGTGGCGGCATCGAGGGGGAGGGGGAGGCCTCCGATGCGGTTGCAGTGACGCAAGTAGATGCAGATGGCGATGCTCTTGTCGGCTTGGAGGAAGGGGTCAACACCAACAGAGGGCCAGAAAACGCCGCCTCGTCACATCCTCCTGCTGAAGGCAACAATAATAATCATGCGGATGAATAGCACACAAATTAACTAACTCATCATGTGCTTACAAATCGGGCTTTTCGTTCATTATTCCCCTATCATGGGAAGTTTTATTATACCCTTATAGATACCCGGAGTAACTGGAGTTAGCTTTGTTTCCAGTCGACATATGACAATATATAGTCGCAATAGTATGTACTGTACATACGGACATGCACATACAATACATATTTTCAAGAAACTCTGCTGTTCATCGTCATCACGAGTATCCTAAAAAACGAAAAAAAAAGTCTTATTCTATCATACTCCCTCATCCCCCTATATACAATCAATGCAGATAGATACAGTGATGTATATAGTCATATAGTCATATGTCATAACCCTTATCCGTCTATCAAAGACACAAAGAAACAAAAAAAAGGATGGGGATATTTAAATGCAGGCAATGTAATATGGGGGAAGAAAGAAAATATCCAGCTGTCCAAGGCAAGTCAACTATACAGACACAATACAATAGTACATGCATATCACATGCATTATTCCCTGCTATGCAGATACAGATATAGAAACATACGGTACATACGTACATACAATCACGAAAATCGGACTCCACGGGTAGGATCCCATATCCCTGGTGTCCCTGGTGCTGTCGGGCCCGGGCCCTGGCCTTGACCTTGACCCCGACCCTGACCTTGCGGTGCGCTGGGCGTCGGTTGCGGTCCTGCAAACCGGATCCCCATTTCCGGGGACCAGATCCCTGCCGATGCGACTGGTGGAGGTGCCATATTGGCTCGGGTCGGCTGCGGTGCTTTCAGAGGTTCCTGGGCGTTTCGAGGAGGAGGGACTTGAGGCTGAGTTTGCGGCTGTGGCTGCGGCGTCGGTTGTTGGGGTTGGACCTGGGGTTGGGGAGCAGCGGGAGGAGGAGGAGCCGGTGCCTGAGTATATGGGGAAGGATGATGGGTTGCTGCTGTTGTCGTTGCTGCTGCTGTTGGCTGCTGGTACGAAGAGCGACGTGAGATGTTCAGCGAGGCCATCGCAGCGGCGCTGGTGATATCACTGTTTTTCCCTTGTCAGCTTCATCATCATCGAACGAAGTGAGGAAACAATAAAGGGTTGGGACTATACTTTTCTAGCTGGCTCGCCTCCATGCGCCGTTGTTGCACAAAGGCCTTGCAGTCGTCCCTGAATCTCACAACAATCTTGGCCAGGTCGTTATAGAACTTCCTCCCGACTTCGATGTTGGAGATGAGCTCTTTGTATTTCGAATACCCGTTCTCCAGCTCTTGCAATGCCTTCTCACGTTCCTTGGTCGAGGAGTCGCCCTTTCGGGCCTTGACAAAGGCTCGATTCGCTTCCTGCACTTGCGCCGCAATCTGTTCCTGTTCGTCCCGCTCCTGCGCCAACATCTCCAAATCCGAGTCATACAGGTGCAAATGCTCCTCGAAGAGACTCTCAAACTGACTTGCTTCAATTGGTTGCATGGGAAATTCTCGCTCGAGACGGGCTGTCTCTTTGAGCAATGCCGGGTCTGGAGAAATAGGTGAGCGACTGCAGTCGTTAATAACTGCTAAAAAAAAATTATATACTCACTAATGTCATCCGATCGAGCTTTATCCTTCAAAGTCTGGATCCGGCGTTTCCTTCGATTCTCTAACCGGCTGACTTCATTCAGACAACTCCTCAATCGGCTCGATTCCTTTTCTACTTCGGGCGTGACGCTGGCTCTCCGACTGTTCGGAACATACGCCTCTAAATCTCGATTGGTCCCCGTGAGTACCCTAAGCACTGGCTCCGCGTTTCGCAATTTTTCCTGGACGAGCTCGTCAGAGCTCTGCGCAGAGGTGAAGTAGCCGTTGATCTCACCCGCGGTCGCATAGATCTTCTGCCCGGCAACTTCTGAAGGCTCTCTCGTCCAACGGTCCGTCCCATACTTTGTACGAGCCCGATCGTCTTCTTCCTTTTCAGCAGACAAAAGATCCACACCCTCCGTATAGATGGCCTTATCGTTAGCCTTGATTTTGGCTATATCCTCCAAAGACCGCCGCAAGCGATTTAACCCATCCTGCTGGCGTACTTCCTCCGCATGGGATACGAGAGTGGATGGCAGACCAAGGGGTTTTTCCAAGGCTTGCAGGGAGCCGGGCAAATTCAAGGACTGTAGAAGACTGCACATACAACATTTAGCGTCACAGCTGGTAAGGCTTGGGATTAAAGAGTAACTTACTCCCTGAGTTTGTCCGTCATTGACTCCAGCTCTCCAATGATGTTCTCGTTCACCAACCGGTCACGACGGTCCGAATAGATACTTGCCGCGACGTGGACAGCGTAAGGGACCAACTTGGCAAGGAGCGGCTGACCAAGTGGTCCATTCTCTCCAAGCATGGATATAGCATCCGTCACCTGGACCGGAGCTTTTGCAGCTACCATGCATGCGCGATCGATGGACTTCAGCTCGGACTTTGGCGGAACAGGATTCAGGTAGATGATATCATTATCCTTCTCAGCTCGTTTCAGGTCCTCGGTGACGCGGTTCTTGAGCCCATTCAAGTCGCCCAGCACAACACGGTTGATCCATTTCGACTCTTTGAGAGCTTCATTCACACACTGTAGGCTGTCCCGTAATCGCGCCACCTCTTCGCCATACTTCCGTTTCTCCAAGCAGTCTAGCGACTGCCGATACTGCGCCGCAGCCGCGAAATGATAATGCTTGGCTGTCATGTGATGGATCCAGTCGGTGCTGATGGCGTTTGACTTGACAGCATAGTCGCCAGCTGACGCATAGAAATCGCAGACCTTGGCGGCCAGTCGAGCAATCGAAGCGTCCTTAAGGCCGTCCTTGACTGCCTTCTGCCAGAAGCATTCTTGCGCCTGCGCAAGCAAGAGCTCTTCCAGACTCTGCAAAGTCATCTCATCCATATCTTCGGGAGGACAGGAGCGGAGGTCGGGGATAATATCTTTGCGTAGGTGCGCGAGGACACCCGCTCCTTGGCAGAAGTAATTGCATGCCTGCTTGAGCCCGTCGGATGTCGTTCGGTTTAGGGAGTATGCGAGCTGGGAGTAGAGGGCGGCTAGGTTGAAGAGGATGTTTGCAATTTCGAAACGAAGATTATTCTGCGTTACTACACAAATAGTCATCAGTCAGGAGGTGCCCATTCGGTCATTGCTGTTGTCATCTGATGGCAGTTTGGCACTTACTCGGCCTCGATGTATTAAAACCGAAGCAGGATACCAGGCGAAGTCCACACCGACCTATGTCATTTAACAGGCAGCCCAAGGTCAGAATCAGTCCCAAACCACAGAAAACAACATTTGGCACTTTTCCATCTCAGATGCGCACTTACATCGACTGGGAACTTTCCGCCTAACCACTTCAACTGCGCGGCATAAGTCACCAGCCTGCTGATCCCGCTGACATGAGGTTCCTGCACATTGACGGCCTCCGTTCGCAGGCGATCGAGGACCATAAGATCGTCTGCGAACATGTCCGGGCGCTGGTCATATTTGGAAGAGATGTACTGCGTGATGGCATCGGAGAGGGAAACGGTGTGGGTGCGCCGAAAAGGCAGCTGGAGGATATTGCTGGGAGACAGCAGAATTGCTGGTTAGCCAAACGTCTTATCACATCAAAGACAGTTCCAGTGAGACTCCAACTTACGAGGCCATCGTTGAGGGAAAGGGACAGGGTTCTGGGTATCAGGATGGATTCCAGATCAGAGGAGAACCCCGCGGTCGACTTTTTTTGTTGACAGCGAGCGGCTCCCGCCTAGCAACGGGATGACGTCGGCCACTCAGCGGTGGAAACGCGGGGTACAGAGATCTTATCGTCCGATTGACTACAAAAGGATAGCTACCACGGTGCTCTAAGCAAGGAAAGAGATGGCGAGAAACTCCACTGTCTATCGTATAAAACACAGAGATGGTCAATTGTTTTTCATATCGTAGTCCTATCTGTCACCCCTAATAAATCACAGTATGCAAACGCCAATTCCCATTCCTAAGACCCATAAGGACCAGCTTCTACAAGGCTGTCCATGAAATATGTGCAGTATAAAATGAGGATGTGATGCAAAAGGTCTCGTAACATAAAAATCATGCAGAAAAGGCAAAAGTGAACGGAGGGCCCATGCTGGGATCAAGACCAAGACTCTCCATAAAGGAAAGCTCAGCTCTCCAGGTTGTTGATCTTGGTCTTTACATACTCAAAGAGGCTGAGCAAGATCATATTCTGGACACTGGTTCGCATCAGCGAAACGGAGAGTCCTTTGTACATGCTGGATCGGGCTACCGCTACAGTAGCCTCGCCAATTTCCTTCGACTTTCCGAGGAGGACGCTCTGAGCGCGAGTCTTGCGGGTGTCAAGGGAGTAGGTCTGCAAGAAGAACAGGTCAGCAGTCCCTTCTTACCAAACTCGCGTCCTCACTCGATTCACTGTACTTACCACAAGCCAAGGGACGGTACCACAGAGCGCTCCGGCAACCAGGGGAGGACCGAATGGCGACTGCTGCTCACCCAACTCCTTTGCAATGATCTGCTTCACCGTCTCATAAACGCCAAAATACAGACCCGTTCCAATCGTGTCACGCGTCGCGTGGAGGTGATACCCGGTATACAGTCCAGCAAACCCATGACGACTAATGATCTGTTTGAACGCCTGGATCGTTCCCAGACGTGGTAGGGTACGAAGGGTCGGGTCTTTCACAGCATTGGGAGACGCCTGAGAACGGTGAGACATGAGAACGGATGTCTGCACCACGTTCTTCGCAAGTTCGAAAGGGCCTACAAAGCTCAATCTCAAGAACTCCATTGAGAAAGAAAATGGGGGGAATAAAATGACTTACATGCGAACGGGGACGCTGCAAGCCCGGCGCACATCCCCGCAACGGTGAAGGTTGTGATTGTGGCCAAAGTGGGAGTACTGCCTCGCTCGTTGTAATACACCAAAGGCGACACTCCGGTGTGCTTCTCGAACTCATCCGAGATGGCATACTTGACGACCTGATAGGTACTAAAGCTGACCACGCGCACAAAAGTGACACTCATGAGCGGAGGGAGCAAACCTAAAACCCAAAGACGGGGTCAATGAAACGTCATCTTATGGGGAGCAAGCATCTTGGAGGGTCATATCGAGTAAACATACCGGCTGTATACCCACGGATCCCCTCGGTACGCCAGATGTACTTGGCACACTCGGTGATGTTCTTGAAGTTATGACTTTGGAACAGTGTCAGTCCCCACCATGGATTTCTTTCCAATCATGGCCTTTTGTGACTTACGTCTGCATACGGGTCTTCAGGTTTTCAAGCGGGGTCTGAGGGAATAAAGAGTCATGTTAGTCAGGCACACTCTGATCCAAGAGTTCAGGATCTACATACCACTGCCAGAGTCGCGCAAACGGTCGAAGTAGCCGAAGCAACTTGAGTCCGATATTTCTTCAGCAGCTTGTTCCGTATGGTGGCGTCCATGATCGACGGGTTCGAGGACGTCATGACGGCTGTTGATGCTGAAGGTGCTGGTGAGGAGAGAGAAGCATGTCCGGAGCAGTCGTTCAGAGTCATGCCTGGAAATTTTGCATCTGGGGCAATTGCATGGGTCTTTGCGTGATGCTGCGATTCACTGATGGAGGACCGGCAGTATCAGCTGGAGAGCATGCAATATGGCCCATACGCAGTTGGGCTGGGGAACCCGATGGAACGCAAACGGTCTCTCAAAGTGCGAGCAGACCGTTCAGCGTCCCACAATTGTCCATGAAGCGGGCTGTGGAACCCCCTTCTTTGTGCCGATATTGTTATAAATTCTTTGATCTCTGCTGCTGGCCGTGCCGGCAAAAGGAGATGGAGAGTGCAGAAGACGGCAAGAATGGGTTGAAGATGGGTTTGATATGCTCGATCAGCAGCAGAGATATCAGTCTGGAGGCCAATTGAGTGTCAATGGCAATTCCGATGGTTCCAGCAACGAGATATCAGCTCGGCACTGCAAGACGTCCAGAAAATGAACCTGGCGACCAGCACACGAGATTCAGGAGGCTCTGCAAGACGACAAAGGTCACCGGAGCTAGCGGGGGAGCGAAAAAACCACACAAGTGTTAGCATATTGTTCCTCTCGGTCTTCTCGAAGGAAAGCGACGAGAATTTTTTTTGGAATTGCAGCATCTAACGTACCTCATTAGCACGCCGTGGGGGGATCGGTCTCACGATAAGGACCGTGCGTTAATGGGGAGGCCGCAATAGACAGGAAAAACCCCCGCAATGAGCACACGAGTCGCCCTCGAGAGCAGCGCAGATTCAGGATCAGGCGTCTCGGAGGTGCAAGGTGCAGGAGCAAGGGAACGCAGCGACAAGCCCGAAGAAACAGCGAGCAAAGGCAGACTGCCGACACGGGCTCCGCTGATCGGGAAGCGCATGGCAGCCAATTGCGCGGGTGTGGATCACAGCCCGCTCGAACGGGCTTAGGCGATTTGCAGTGACGTCGTCATGAACTCCGGCCTGCACCAGGAAGAGAGCCACAAGAGCCCATTATCTGCCTCGCTCTGGCGGGCGACTGGGCCCAGGGGCAGGCCTGCAGAGGCCCTGCAACAGACAGGAAGAGGCAGCATCAGCTACCCCGCTAGCCGGAGGACGAATGACGATGCAGGCGTCGAGCAGGTCGCCCAACAGGGACAGCGGCCGCCACGATCTGTCTACCAGCCTACTACATCCAGTTAACCCACGGCGACGGCGACGTTCTAGCCCTAGCCAGATCGAGGACAGCTCGAGTCAATTTGGTGTGGACACTGCGCTGGTTTCACGCACTGCCAGATGCATGGCGTCGAGTTTGACAGCAGGCTGGGATGGATGACCTCAACATGGATATCGACGGCTAGGTTAGGTAGCTAGCCCAACACGTGCAGAACTAATATCTTCTGTCTGCGCGGTTTTCCGCGGGTCGATCTCTTCGCCATATGCTTTGGGGATCAATGAATTTTCCGATGCCGTCGTACAGGAATCATTCTGGACTATCGTCTTCCTGATAAGCTTCAACCTGATAAGACAACCTCGCGTTATTCGCTCATAGAAACTTGTTCAAAACAAGAGAAACCCAACGTTTACAGAAGGCAGCGCCTAATGGATCATGATTCTGAGGTCATGCTGACCTTCGTGATCAATTGAAATGTCTTTTAGTGAGAAATTCCAGAAAACCACACTGTCGGCCACGCCATCCTTAATTGACATGCTGGAAGGGCTCTGCAGGACACGACCTATAACGGTTATACAAGTCAAGCAGTTAAATTTCCGTTGCCTACTAGCGTTGATGATTGGTTCGACTGAGCGATGAACTATATACGGACCAGAAAATCCCTAAGCTTAGGCAGTTTCCATGTCAAATGAGGATGAGTGCGCTAGACGCTCGAGACGGAATCCTTGGAAGCTGACACGGACAGCCTTCCCTGGCAGACACTGAAGACTTAGGAAGCGATTGGTACTTGGCATTGGACATTATCTTGTGAGAGCTTGGGGAGTTCCTTCGAATCATATGTGCTGGCGCACCACCACTGCCACCAGGAGGAGTGGATGTGGCGTCGTGCCCATCAGTCAGCGAATTTATTTAAGGTTGGACAATAACTGGCTCGAGTCTCCTCAAGTTTCGCTGTAGCTCTTGGTTTTCATTCGATAGACACCCCAGTCTCCCTTCCGCGTGAACGCATTCTGCGAGATGGCTGTGAGAGGAAAGATGTCACCTGCTCACCATGATTAAGAAATTGCCAAGAGACATAAATTGGATCAATGTAAGGACCCTGGTTTACATGATGTCTCCCATCCTACATTCATTATTCCTGCATTGTCTGTCACTGCCATTCCCGGTCGGGAGCATGATCGCACCATTTACTCTGTGGAACCACAGCCAGAGGCCAGATCTCCTGTTGATCTGCCTAGTTTAATGGCCATGCCGTGGCAATCTCATGTGACTCGAAGGTGTTGACAACCTTGCAGCTAACCTTGTATGAGAAAACGTAAGGCACTTAACCAAAAAAAAAGAAAGAGAGAGAGAGAGAGAAAGAGAGAGAATACCTATGGATGAAACAAACAAATATCGGCTCTCTCCGGCAAACAAGCACCAGAGAAAGTTGCACAAGGGAGCTGTGCCAACCGTGTCATACAGAGATCGTAGGCACAGCTAGGTAAGTTAGCCTCGGAACCTCGGTCGGGCTCCATCTTTCCCCGCAAAACATCAACGCTCCGCAAACCACAGCGTCCTCCATACGAGCTTCCAATCCGTATTTCAAGAGCTGGAGGATTGTGCTATTTCAGTTTTCTTCTAATCCCGGAATTGTATCTTTCCATCGTTGTCCTGTACAATAGCCTATCCTCGTTCGAGCCCTTTTATCTCCCGAGATCCACCTGGCATACACGCCAATTGTTTGTACCCCGAGAGTCAACATTGTAAATCAACATCACCATGGGCAAGAGACAAGCGGGCCCCGCCTATGTCCTTGGCGTGGGAATGACCAAGTTCATCAAGCCCCGGGGCAAGGTTGACTACCATGAACTGGGTTTCGAAGCTGGCGTCAAGGCCATGCTAGACGCTCATATCACCTACGACGATGTCGACCAGGGTATCGCATGCTACGTTTATGGAGACAGTACCTGCGGACAACGGGTCTTCTACCAGTTCGGCCTGACCAAGATTCCCATCTACAATGTCAACAACAACTGCTCGACGGGTTCCACGGGCCTGGCAATGGCCCGCACGATGGTGTCGCACGGTGCGGCTGACTGTGTTCTTGTCATCGGATTCGAGAAGATGAACCCGGGAAGCCTCCAAGCCTATTTCAATGACAGAGAGAACCCTACCGGGCGTCTGGGGTTGATGATGGCGGAAACAAGGGGCATTACGAATGCACCGGCTGCTGCGCAAATGTTTGGCAACGCTGGAAGGGAATATATGGAGAAGTACGCACAACCAAGTCTTGAATTATATGCAGGCAAGACCAGCTGACTGATTGTTCTTCACAGGTACGGCGCGAAGGCAGAAGACTTTGCCGAGATCGCCCGCATCAACCATGAGCACTCGAAGCGCAATCCTTATTCCCAGTTCCAAGACGAGTACACTCTGGAGCAAATCCTCAAATCCCCTATGATCCACGAGCCTCTCACCAAGCTCCAGTGCTGCCCGACCTCCGATGGCGGTGCTGCCGCCGTCATTGTCTCGCAGGCCTTCCTTGATGCTCGCCCGCATCTAAAGGACCAGGCGGTCCTTATTGCTGGCCAGACGCTTGCGACTGACGCCCCCTCGATATATGACCGCAGTTCGATCGATCTGATGGGCTTCGAGATGGCGCGTCATGCGTGCCGCACGGCCACGGCGGAGGCTGGCGTCAACGTCAAGGACATCAAGGTGTGCGAGTTACATGATTGTTTCTCGGCGAATGAGATGATCACAATCGACGCGTTGGAACTGTGCGAACCAGGCAAGGCGCACGAGATGGTCCGTCGCGGAGACATCACATACGGTGGCAAGATGGTCATCAACCCGTCGGGTGGTCTCATCTCCAAGGGCCACCCGCTGGGTGCAACCGGCATTGCTCAATGTGCCGAGCTGGTCTGGCATCTGCGTGGCTGGGCCAATAACCGTCTGGTGGAGGGCACGTCGGCTGCCTTGCAGCACAACTTGGGCTTGGGCGGCGCTGTCGTGGTCACCGTGTACAAGCGGGCGGATGGCAAAGTCGCAACCCCGGTTTCGTCGGAGGAGGTCGCCAAGATTACGGGTCTGGGCTACAATCCCGCCGTCGAGGCCAAGGGCTTTACAGCAGAGCAGGCCCGATCAGTTCTGAGCAAAGAGAACTCGAGTGAGTGGGCACGGGCGGACGTGCAGGAGAAAGTCCTGGCTCGATTTTAATTCAGCTAGAAACACGAAACACTATAAATAATGGATTTATGGCGTCCACTTCGCCTTGTTAGCAATTAATGTTCGCATGATTGTACCTCGATTCAACGAATGCCTGCCATCTAGTCGGGTGGATATGTACTGTACAGAACATTCTTTCTGAAGTCATAATCACTGCAATTGAGATCAATAATGGGAACAGTAATAAATATTTTTTTTCTTAAAAATTTAAGCTCGTTTAAATGCTTTAAAAAATGCGATTAAGATTGACGACTCGTTAGAGAAAACAATAGAAATACAGAGACGAGTTTGTTGTCTTGTCCGATAGTTTGTGATGACATAATCAATGCACGGGCATCGCTCCACACTTTATTTTCTTCCTTCTTCCCGCCCGCGGGAATTTTCTTTCCTTTCCTTCCTCAACTTCCCAAAGGTCTCCAATTATACCCTTGTTGATGGTAACGGCTCCTCCATTCCATCTGCAAATTTTAGTTAGAGACCGAGAGTGATTTGCTTGTTCTAATCCCGGCGACCTCTCGCTTTTTTCTCTTCCATGCGGTGGTCGGGTTCGCTTTACAGCGCACAGACTTTTTTCCTCACATGCCCAATGGAATGATTACTAACATGACAGCGTGCTCTGTTGACTCAGAATGATGAGTCTCACTTGGATTGAGCTTTCTTTCAAGATGGATTGTCTCTACTTTCCATTGAAGATGATGCCACCACGTCTGCTCTGGTCGAGGACATGGAAGGCACAACACGTCAAGGATATTTCAAAACATTTGAGTCGTCCTTGCGACAGAAAATGATACTTGCGCTAGCGACCAACAATGGCTTGTCAACACTATGCAACTCAACTTCTGTTTGTCATCCTTTTCATGCTAATTGCGCTAGTTTCGCGTATCGCCATTTATCCTTCACGCTGCGGACTTCCGTAGAGAGTCCTCCAGTCCATGAAAGGCATTTTCGAAGTCTCATCTGTCCTTTCGATGACGGTTGAGGTCAAAATCGTGCCGAGATCGAGATGGGAAAATCTTTTTCCTGTCGAATTCTCGCTTGATTTGCGTCGGCCTCTACAATCCCAAGGGGCTGTGCGTCAGTAGAGTGAGATACATACAAATGAGAATTGAGAACTTTAGTATCGAATTGATGACGTGCATCTGTGTATGACTAACGCAATTTGCTCTGGAATGCGCGACGCGGATGACTGCGAAGAATCTTCGCGGGACTATGCTATTCCTTCTTGTCAGCCCTACCGCCAGCCATGGCGCTGTCAAGCTCCCTCTGAAGTTGAGCTGCGTGTAGTTTGTCTGCACCAATGGGGTGCACGTGTAGGTATTCCCTGGATTGCTGATGCAAGGGCGGAGACAGGGCTCGTGGGTCGATGCCGGGAAAAACAGGGGAGAAAGGGAGCAAACCTCCTCTCAGAGCGCTTATCACTCAGTGGAATGTACTATACAAGCTTGTACTCCTGGATTCTCTCGGGATTACTCTCAACAATCACATTCACGGTTGTCGATCACATCCATTCATTCAATCTACGGCCTGAGCGCGTCGACCACTCAGTTCGCGGTTGCTTCGTGAAGAATACTTGCCTTGCATCGGCGAGCTGATCGTGTTGACGAATGCTAACCCTGTAATCGCGTGTGGATTGACGATCATGACGATGAACCAACCTTGTTTCGTGTCCTTGGCCCTTGAATTCTTCAGAGGAGCTTTTTCTTTTCTCCATCCCTCATTCCTGAGTACGGACCGTGGAGCTGCGGATCTCAACGAAGGGTGAACATGCGATCACCTATGATTGTATAAAAACTCGTCCTCTCAGCCCATTGCTTTTTTGACTCTACCGCGAAGTTCACACTCTCCTTTTTACTCTGGGCAGTAGGAACTCTTCTTTTATCCTCTAGCCTAGCCACTCCTTCAATCAAACCAAATCAAACACGTTCCTTTCTTCCAAGAAAGTTATTCAACCTTTTTCTTCTAACTCTTCTGGAAACAAAAATGGCCCGCTTCAGCAACGGAATCTACTTCCTCTTTGCCGTCCTGGTCGTCCTGGCCGTCTTCGCCAACGCCCTGCCTGCCAAGGGCCCTTCTGACATGGCCGCCGACATGGGCCAGATGGGCAGTGTCGCCGGTGTCCCAGGTCTGAGCGCTGTGATGCCCAAGAAGCAGCAGCAGAAAGAGCCTGACATTGACGATGACTTTATGGTTGGTCTTGCAGAAGCCCTTACCCTGGTCCCCTGCCCCAATCCTGGTTGAAATAGTAATTGGATGGAAACCATGGCATATACACCATCCTTTATTTTCTCTCTCTCTCTCTCATCAAGACAGTACATATATTGCACTGAATGAATAGAAAGAGGAAGAGAGAGGCACAGAGAGGGAGAGAGACAAGAGGAGATTTCCATCCTATACTATAACATCATCCATATATACATACGGACATATACATCCATACTGGCTATATATATCTACTGACAACATCGATCCCACCAGGACGCCATCGCCGACGCCTCTGCTTCCGCCATGCCCACCCCCACTGCTCACCCTACCCCCGGCTTGGCTCCCACCCCGGCCTCGACGCCAAAGGCCTCGCCCACGCCCGCGAAGAACGACAACAACCCGCTCAGCAACATCCCGGTCCTAGGAGGTCTCCTGGGCAAAGTCCCTCTGCTTGGCGGCAAATAAATAAACAAACAAAATGGAAGGAGGAGGCGCCAATCACGAAGTGGCCTTCCCTCCTCTCTAGTTCTATTATCACCGGCAAGCAGTCACCAGTCTCTCTGAGTGGGATTTCATTGTTTTCTTTTCCTGTCAATTGTGCCCACTCTGGAGAGAACGTCATTTTCTTGCGGGGATGCTGTATGGATGGACGGTGTAGTTGCGTGTGGAGCGGTGTGGTGTGATGTTGCATGTTAGAGAAGAGCGGTCTTTTTTTCAATTATTCTCAGCTCTCTGAGAGAGAGAGAATCTATCCAACATAGTCCAAAGTCTAATCTATAAAATGTTTTCTTTTCCCGTACTGTATGCGATAGACAGCAGAGAGTAGCAGGTTTTTACTCCGTTCAAACGACAGGGTCACGCCCTCGGTCATTCGATTCGGATCTATTATTATATTTTTCTGAGGTAATGCTATGGAGACTTACAGCTCCATACCACGAAAAAAGCAGGCAAGAAGAAAGATGGGGGGAAAAAAAGAGCTAGATAGAACACGAAAGAGAAATGAAACAAATATGGTGGTTTAGCAGCTGGTTATCAATCAGTGCCAATGCAGGAGAGATCATCACAGCAGCATCCTTCTTCAGTACAGTGCAGTACAGTACAAATGCCCACCGTTCAGCAATGTTATTCTAATCAGTGGCCGTGATCGTCAATCAAGGCACGCTTTTTCGCTGCTGCTGAGACAATCGAGATTTCACCTAGAAATAAGCAATCAGCAAGCAGTCATGGATTAAAAAAAAAAAACAGGACTACATAAACGTACCACCCCATCCTCCGACAGCACCGATACCAGCGCCTGCTGGGAAAGCTGCAGCTCCACAGAGACATGAGCAAGCGCAGGTACCTCCATTGCTGGTCGTGCCACTACCCTGCACCACGCTCGAGCTACCCGCTGCCACGGCCGCCGAGCTTGCAGCAGATGCAGCAGCGGAGCTGGACGCAGATCCCGCCGCGCTATTAGAAGAAGAGCTGCTGGCAGTGCCGTTCTGCGCAATGGCGGCCGCTTTGAAGGCAGCCTGCGACTTTTCCGCCGTCGGGTTGATGCTGAAGACCATCCCCTTCCCGCAGTGGCCCTTCTGGCGGCAGTACATCCAGATCGGCTGCGTCGTGTTCACCTGGAACATCATCATCGGCGGCGGGTTGAGGCTGTTGCCCGGGTTCGGCATGAAGCCCGAGTCGACGCCGTTGGCCAGCTTCTCGCACGGTGTGTTGAAGGACGACTGCGTGACGGTGTGGTTCTCCGACATGAAGTTGAACTGCACCATATCGCCTACATCGGCGGTGATGCTGTCGGGGGTATAGACGAGGCCTGCGCTGCCACCCACAGTGACCTATACCAACACATCAGTTACTATTCAGCCTCGAAAGTGCAACGGATTGAGTATAGATCCTAGTGCCTTACCTGATGCACCTTACCCACAGCCATCGCAGGCTGATTCCAGTATTTATTCTGGCTGGAGCCTCCCTCATTCGTGGCAATGATAATCACTGAGCTTCCACCGCCAGAATTTTCGACCGTGACCGTCTCGACGTCGACCTGTCGCACCTCTGCAGCGAAAGACTCTGGACGAGAAACAGGGACCCGGGCGTTCACGGTCAACGAGAAGAGGCCCGCCGCGAGTGAGATCAATGTCAAGAGTCTCGCCATCCTTCTTTTCGTCCCAATAACCGAACCAGAAGCAGTATAAGTTCAGTTCGTGACTCAAGAGAAACGAATTGAAATAGATCGTAGAAGAGAACGCTTCTGTTATTTTTTTTATATTCTCGAGGCCCTGCTCGTGTCTCAAAGAAAAAGAAGGTATACACAATGAATGAACGTATTATATAAAAAAGGAAGATCGAAAAGAGAGAAACACACCAGGTGCAACGAAGGGCAGTTCGTCAAAGCCGCAGGCTGATGGCAGACGCAAGCATCTCTGGAATTCATGTTTAGGAGAGGACAACAGCATTAATTTAATTGGCATTGAAATTGGAAGTACCTGGGGTAGATACAAAAAAAAGGGGGTAGAGGTCGTTGAAGCTTTGACTCTCTTGCACGTTGCCTGTTTCATGTATCCTGAAAAGGCCATCTGAAGCATTCAACCCGTGGGAAGGAGCTCATTTCCCGTCCGGGGTACTCGTTCTTCTCCTTGCATGATAACCCTGTCATAGTTAGGAAATTCAACATGTCCTCGAAAGGGAAAGACTTAAAAATCTTGTTCTTGTACAGCCCGCTATTTCAGACGTTGGTGAAGACAGCAGGCGTCGCAGTTGTGTCTCGGACGTCAGGGATCGCTGCCGCGGGCGCCGCACGAGCCGTCGACGGCTGCCGCAATGGGACGAACGTCTCAACTTGACAAGCGAGATGGTTCCTTCATTGCCTTTTTTATTTTATTTGTCACTTCCCATGTGTGGCTAATTCAATAATATCAATCTTATCGTTGATAGCTCGGATCTTGCGACCACTCTAGTGTTACTAGCAGTTGGAGGCTTGTGGAGGTGTCTATATATTTCTTCGATAAGGATCCACTCGTAGAAACCCTAACAAGGGATGGACAGTCGAACACGGAGTACTCCGTGTTTAATGACCTGCATTAACATGGTCCATTAAGTAGCCATTCTATCTTAGGTTCCGATCTCAAGTATTTATCAGATGTAATTTTGTAGCCAGAGTCCGATGTGCATATCTCGACCCGCCCCTGTCAGCTAGGCTGTGCACAGGATGCAAAGAAAGCTTATTTTCGAGACCACATTGCATGAAAACCTAGGGTCTGTTGTGACCCAATGGAGGAAATGAAACCTCCCAATTCAGCAGGGAGATCCCAGCTGATACGCTTGGCGTCAGTGAACGGACGTCGACACTCCCCATCAGCCACACTCGATCAGATTTGGGTCACGGATTGGCATTGCTACTGGGATTGACGTTTTGGGCAGCTCGTCTCTGTCCCTCATAGAGACCGGTGTAGTAACCGGCAAAATACCATGCCATCATCAGATTCTTCAGCCCTTGATCCTGGACTTTTGCGCCACAGAACTTGTCAGTGGATCTGTCATTCTTTCCACTCCAGCATATAGGGTGTCTCACCATCTCCCAGAACAGCATTAGGCACACTGGCCGTTCCTTCGGGTGCAGCAAAAGGAATATTAGCACCGCTGACATTAGCGTTACCAGCCTCCTGCTGAGGCGTTGCGTTTGATGTGGCGGGCTGCAATATTATTAGCAACGATTGATTTAATTCCAAATAACAGAGAGAGATGAATGTCTCGCATCTGACTTACTTCTGGTTGTTCATTATCTGCTTGCGTAGTCTGTCGCGCGTTCTCTGCTATACCAGCAGACTCATCTTCGACAGCTGCCATCGGAGCTCCGGTTTTGGCTGTTTCAGTGTCCATGGGCTCTCCCTCATAGCCTACCTCACCGATATCCCGGCCTGCAAGCTCTGCCTCTTCTGCCTTTCGCAGCACTTCCTCGACATTTTCTCCTCTTGCTTGAATGCTGTGGTAAAGCTTTATACAAGTGTTAGATCACGTGAGAAGCCCAGCTGGAGGTACCGCCAACCTTGTACTCTTCAACAGCTTCGTCCCACGACCTCACGAGAGCCGAGTCATCCCATATCTCCTCGTGCGTCAATTCCTTGGGCTTGTTTTTCTTCCCCATGACACCTATCCGACTCGCGGTCGCGGTGATGGCGGAGAGTTGGTGTGGAGACGGAGCGGGCGTGCTGTAGCTTAAGTCGGCGGGCTTAAGCTCTCTCGGCTTGGCGTGGAGCCTCGCCAAAAAAGAAAAAGAATAAAAAAAAATATTCCGCACCACTCTCTGCCTGCCAGTATCATCCGAACGCTCACATCTACCAAGCGTTTGGGTTGACGGTCAAGAAAATGGCACAGGAGAAAAAGGACAAAAAGCGCAAGGGTAAGTATTTTTGTCAATCCCACTGTTTCAGACTGTGATCGCGTGATAACACTTCCTCCAGATGCCCCGACCGCGACCGCCGCGGTGGCCGACCCTCCAGCTAAAAAGTCGAAGAAGGTCGCTGCAACTATGCCCGCTAAGACTTCCGAAGAGCCTCCCAAGTCGATTCTGAAGAAGAAGAAGGATACCACTGAAGAAGCGACCAATGGCACAGAGACCTCCACGAAGTCGTTGAAGGTGGACAGCGAACCCGCACGGAAAGTGAAGCCGCGCAAACGGGCAGCGGACTTCCTAAGCGACGACGAGGATTCTGATGTTGAGATCCAAACCGAGCCTTCGAAGCCTAGCAAGAAGCAGTCGAAGAAATCCGAGGAGGAGCAGGCACCTGCTAAAGCGAAAGAGTCGAAGGACAAGAGCAAGAAGAATGGTGTAGACGCAAAAGCGAAAAAGCACGAGGCTATTTCTGAAGAGTCCGACGATGCATCAGACTCGAAGGCCGACTCGGAGTCTGATGAAGGCGAGGACGACCGGACGGCCGAACTTATCAAAGGCTTCGAGAGCAGCGGGGATGAGGAAGACCCCTCCGAGGACGAAGGGTTCGACCCGAACCATCCTGTTCCACGGATTCCTGATTCGAAGAAGACAAAACGGAAGATCATAAAGAAACAAAAGAAGAATGATGATGTCGAGCAACCTGGTACTATCTACGTCGGGTATGTTCATCGTCTTGCTCCCAGGTCATTTTTTCTACCTGGTATGCTAACATTTCTACGTCTAGACGTATTCCGCACGGCTTCTACGAGCACCAGATGCGCGCTTACTTCTCTCAATTCGGTGACATCACCCGTCTCCGTCTCTCTCGCAACCGTGTCACCGGCCGTTCGAAGCACTATGCCTTTATAGAATTCGCCTCGGCTTCCGTCGCGAAGATTGTTGCGGAGACCATGGATAACTACCTGATGTACGGACATATCCTTAAATGCAAGTTCGTTCCTCAGGAGCAACTGCACCCGGAGATCTGGAAGGGCGCCAACCGGCGGTTCAAGCGGACGCCTTGGAATCGGATCGAGAAGCAGCGTCTCGAAAGGGGCAAGACTCGAGAGAAATGGGCCCAGAAGATCGAGCAGGAGGAGAAGAGAAGACGTGCCAAGGCAGAGAAGCTGAAGGCGCTGGGATACGAGTTTGAGATGCCGGCGTTGAAATCCGTGGACGAGGTCCCTGTTCAGGGGAAGGACGCACCCAAAGCTATCGAAGAGCCGACCGCTGAGCCTGTCGCGAACGGCACCGAAAAGGAGTCCGTGAAGGCCTTGGAGGCACCATCCACCAATAATGCGGACAAGCAGGCTGGTGATGATGATACCCCAAAGAAGTCGTCGAAGCAGGACAAGAAAGAGAAGAACAAGGAAAAAAGGCTGCCTCGAGCGTAAAGACTGCCGATGCTGCAGCTACAACTGCCTCACCGGCCGAAAAGGCTGAAAAGAAGGCTGAAAAGGCTGAAAAGGTCGAAAAGGTCGAAAAAGTCAAAAAGGATAAAAAGGACAAAAAAGACAAAAAGCAGGTGAAGGCTTAGGTTACACCAGTAAACGAGGGATATTTTGAGTCGCTATTTTTTTCCTGTTCTTTTCTGTTGGGTGTATGTACGTACGTATACCTCGTCGAATACGCATGTATTTCATTTTGTCTTGCAGTTCTTGTTTCTAATTTCGATCACGATGTAGAAGTACAAAGAGAACAAGTGGGCTTACAGTGAACCTTTCCTTTTTCCTTTCTTTTTCTATCGCCGTTCCATGACGTTGAATCCATAGACCGCTTCTGCCAACATGCGCAACTTCATCGGCATCATACTGTCCTTGTAATGCTCCTGGATATCTTCCTTTTCCACCGCGTGGTGAAGCGCAGACCAGCCGGTGCCCATGGCGCGACGCTCACAGATGGCCCTCTTCTCCGGACTCCACCAGCTGGGCAGGATGCTGGACTTTTTGCCGTCCTCGGGCTGCTCTTTACCAATCTGAGCCTCGGCCAGGTCGAGGAAGTGTCTGAAATCCCGCACGGCAGGACTCTCTTCGTCCTGCTGCTCGTCGTCGTCCTTCTCCTTCTTATCGGCCTTCTTCTCGGCGTACCGACCATGTAAGTGGCCGCGGTACATAAAGTCATCTTCCACCCGGAGCCGGTACGCGTCGATCAGCTGGTCCATGGCCTCTTCCTCCGACGGCAGGCTGTCGAGATAGCAGTTGTTGGCCATGGCGCCGAACGTGCAGGCGCGTTTGTGGCCGCCGGTCTTCCAGTCTGCGCGCTGGCAGGCGCGCGAGCAGTACAGACTGCTTCGGCAGCGAGAACACCGTTTGAGTTTCTGCTCCGGGGACGGGTTGGATGGTTCGGGCTTCTTGCAACGCCGGCAAGCCCGGATTGCTCCTGGTGATGATGACGATGGCTGCTGGTTGCCGTTCAGCATGGCGAGCATTTCCTTGCCGTTTACGGCCGGACGAGACTCCATCGGATGGATTTTTTTTTGGACAAAAGATGATTTTGTATGCGTCTAGATGTCTATGACAGTTTATTTGACTTCTATCTATGAGCTGGATATTTGATGGAGCGTGCTGGCGGTGAGTGAAGTGGACAGGACGAGGCCTGTGTATGTATGCTACCCGATGACAACCGACAACAAGGGACAGGAAAACGTGGATGACGGTAAGACGGCGAGAGAGAGGAAGAAGCTGCAAGAGCAGAAACCAGACAAAGAAAGTATGGCAGTCGGGGACCTGCAAGGATTAAGTATATTCGTTGGTACGGAAGACCTGTTACGTTAATGATTGCCTAGGTAGATCCTGTACTGTAGTACGCCTGCACTCTCCACATCTCCACAATTCGATCTACGTAGCAATTGATTCAAGAAGAGTAATAATAACATCGCTGATTGGCAGACGAATGAAGCCTGACTGACTGGGCGTATGGAGAGTCCGCCTTTCCCGCAAACCCACCTGACGATCGGATATTATCCTATGAAAGAAGGCGACAAGAGAGAATATAGACGGCCAAGAATAAAATCTGGGGTAAAGTGGCCAGTCTAGGACTAAACTAGAGGCTTTCTCGGCTAGTTGGGAAACTTTCAGCCTAACTAATTACCTATTTCCATTAAATATTATTTACCAATCTGCGGAGTACCTCCGTCCATAAGAATGATGTCTGTGCGCTGTTGAAACATGACGATGTCTTAATGTTTCATTTTCTTTCTCTGTTCAAACAACAACATACACTAATTTGTCTGTGTCGGCATTTTTATTTCGTATGTACATAATTACCTATCCAGGGAAGCCCCTGTAAACCAGACAGACCGCTTCTTCTCCGCATCATCAGCAGCAGCAACCTGGGCTATATGTATGTAACACAGCCAGCCTGATCCAAGGCATCACTATTAACTACTCCGGACTAACTTTGGATAACTTACTATATGTAAATGTACCTAACTAACAGGGATCATGCATGGGCTCAGCCTGAAGATCAATTCGGAAACCTGTCACGTGGGAGCTTTTTATTCAAGGAACTCTGCGTCAGAACTTGAGCCATTCATCCTATACACACTGGAAAGGGATTCAGAGTGTCATGACACATTTTCTGCATTTTCCATTAGAACAAAACACAAAAGAGGGGCCGAAAAAGGTGATTTTCACTATTATACAGTGTTGTTGTCCTCGTTCACAGCCAAACATTGCAAACATTGCAAACCAAACCAAGGACCGATCACATGGAATCCTCGAATATGCATTTGCATAGTTTGCATAGTTTGCACAGCAACAACATAAACGGCTTTTTTAATAGACACGTGACTTCCCGCTCTTACCAGTTATATAAAAAAGCTCGCTTCGCTTACTTTTTCTTTTTTCTCTCTCCAACTCCTCGCTCAAAGAATCGCATTCAAAGCTCACGCACAGAGGTACTCCCTGAACAAACCGGTGAGAAGCCTCATACCAACCTCCTTTTTTAAAAAGGCTTTGGGAGAAAGTCCCCGGACATCCTGCCCAAATCCTTCTTTCAAGGGTTTGGCTCTCGTCAGGCAATGCGGAAACGCGCCGCCATAGAAGCAGTTCGATAGCGGCTTACGCCCCCTTGTCCTTCCTTTCCCCGGTTCCTCGATTGTACCCGACGCCAGGACTTTTCACAGGTCGTGGTAGAAACAATGGTGGTCAGTTGGGGTTCTGGGAGGAAGGGGGTCTTTCGACCCTTTGGGGGTTGCTCTTAGTCGTGGTTGGATAGTCATGCGATTGCCTGTCCTTTTTTCATCCCTTTCGAGGGATGGGGATCAGGTAACTCAATGGGGCTCATTCTTGAGGCGAGGAGTTCATTTCCCTTCTTTTTTTTCTTTTCGAGTCTGTAGCTTATGGTAAAGCGGTGATTGATGCTAGGCTGGTACGAAGCGTTCGTCCTGCCTGCATCTCACAGAAGCCCTGTCGAAGGGGCCGGACTCAAATACTATACTAGATAGTTGGTCTGCATGTTCGTGTGATGATATAACAATCATTATAGAGTCAAGCACAGAGATCCCTGCCACCGTGCATAGGGTCCTTGAAGATTGTCAATTATATCTGACGAACATAAGGCAAGACCACGTCTGTCCCTGATTTTTGTAGGCATGAAGGCTATATCTATATCATCATAAAAAAGTCTTCATGCATGGCATGAGTCCGCCCATGGACGGAATGAATTAAAAAGTCATAAATAATATTCATCTCTCCCCCATTTTCCCTTACGCCTCTAGCCTTTCAACACTTATAACTCCTTCTTGGATGCCGCTTCGGATTTCTCTGGTCTATTGTTTCCTGCCGAGATGGGCTGCGCTTTCCGCGCTTGCCCTTTTGCCACTAGAGACGCTACGCCCTCGCCCGTAAGAGTGATCACCGTCGCACACGCACTGCTCCAGATCTGGATGCTGACGGTGCCGAGAGGCGCCCGGGGGAAGGACAGCATCCATTCCACCGAGTAGGGCATCCAGCCTGGAGGAAGTTCGAACATGGGAGTCTTGGCGTAGTAGAATTGAAGAAACAGCTTGAATCCGTTCGTGCTCAGCCAACGGGCCGTCTTCACCGTCCAGTCGAAGGAAGTCTTCTTGGCGAGGAGGGCTTTGTCTGTCATGTCAAGCATGCAGTCAGTCTAAGAATTACTTCAAAACTGTGCAGGGCAAGCCGCGTCCCGGCTGGCCGGCACGTCTCCATAAGACGTGTAACTGGATACGAACTCTTCGCCTCATATTCCTCCAAGGCCTTGTCGTGTCGCCTCCTCAGCTTGGCCCACTTGGCAAATTCATCCTGCGAGCTGGTGGCGTTCATCTCCCGTTTGAGCTGGACCACCTCGCGCTTCAACCGGTAGTGTTCTCGGGCATCTTTCGAGACAGAGGTCGGCAGTTTGAGGTAGAGGATCCATAGCTGTACAGTATCCGCACAAGTCAGCTGGCTGTATTTTCATAAATCAAGGGGGTCGGAGTTCTTCAGCGCAGCAGGCGAAGGAGGAAAAGCAAGCCAACTCAACGAGAATAGCGTACCAGGTTGTCGATCGTGCTTGCGCCGATCGTGTTGACGAGGTAAATGGCCAGGTGAACCAAGAAAACAAGCCAGAGAAGAGAGATCATATTGGAGGACGCTTCGTTCGCTGCGCGAAAGCTAGCAGTATTAATGTAAGAAGTAAATGAGTTGTAGCTCGTAGGATCGCACAACCCGGTGAGCTTCCGCACCGGACAAGTCAAGCAGGCGCCTGGCCACGTGCAGACTGATTGATCGACGAGGCTGCAGGCTTACAACTCCGGCAGGCGATCTTCGACCAGCATAAGACGAGGTAGGTACCTGAGGCCGAAAAGCCCAATCGCAGGAGGTAACCAGCCTCAAGCCTGTGTCGTCTGTTTGTTGGGGAAGAGAGAGAGAGAAGGACACAAAAATGACGTTTAGCGCCAGTTAGACAGCCAGGTACGGATTACGGAGGACGGAGCTGCGGGACGCTCGAGCCACTGGATCTTACGGGACGGAGTACGGAGTAGAGAACCACTGTCCCAACACTGCGATAATCACCCCTGTCAAATGTCCACGCCAGAAGATCTTTACCGAGAACTGGCCGAGCTATTGTCCAAGAGGAAGGATGATGAGGTCCTCGAAATCGAGATTCTGTCCCCAGGCCTGGATCCCCTCCTGCAGGATGGCAGGTTCGTCGGCATCACCAAGAAAGCTCTCGTACAGGCATACATAGCTGCCAGACGGATATTCTTTGAGAAGCTGGCCCGTATGGACGATCATGACTTCCTAGCAGCGATACGAGGATATCACCGCAATGACGATGGCGATATAGTTCCAGATGACGACTCCATCGTTACAGAGATCATCCTCCTCTTCGACTGCGAACATCTGACAGCATGCAACTGGAGGAAACGGTGGCTAAACGCTCTGATAAAACGCAGTGCTGTCCGCTCTGAGTCAACGAAGAATTTCTCTAGCTACCCTGATGATGATCACCGTCTCCTCCTGAAACTGCTGGAAAGAGAACGCAGTCTTATGACGACATATCTCTGCTCGCCTTTGCACAGGCATACCAAGTCGCCGACTCTGTGGCAGCATCGGCTGTGGGTGATGACGCAGTTGATGAAATTCAAATTCCGGCAGCCATGTCGAGACTCTACTGTCGATGAGAAGCGGATTGAGGAAGCCAGTATGTCGGCAGAGGACGTGCAGAGCCTCATATTGGCTGAACTGGCTGTCGTACTACGAGCAGGTGAACAGCATCCGAAGAATTACTACGCTTTCAGCTACATGCGACAGCTTCACTCTGCCGCTTCGCGCTTCTTCGCCGGTGTCGTTGCTGAAGCTACTGTCAGAAAGGACGAAGATTCCGTGGAGTCATCCCTCTCCTCCCAGTTAGCGGAATGCATGGTCGATCAGACTTTGACGTGGTGCCTGGCCCATCTGCAAGACGTATCCGGATGGACATTTCTGTTCTATTTACTTGAGACTATTGTCCCTGCTGATGAGAAGGATCAGGATCAGGATCTTCGTCTTCAACGACAGAGGAGCGTAGTAGACAAGGTCATCCATTTCGCGGTGAATATCACCGCCTGGGAAGGCGAGAGTCTATGGACCTTCGTTGACTTGATGGTACGGAGATTCGGACCAGAGATATTGCCATCTCCCTTTTCGTGTATTTGGGACGACGAAATGAGTGTGAGTAGCAGTAGTTTGATTGATAACAAGTCTGGAGGAGGAAAAGGCGCGGGACGCCTTGTCAACGATACCATACTGCTGCCAGATCCGCGATGGAAGAAGTTGATGGAAAAAGCGAGAGGATTGCGAGCAGCCGGTGTACATGTAGATAGTATCGCGAGTGGACAGACAGGCGCATCCTTCGATCACCGATAGAAACGTCATTATAGATACAGTTCAAATATTGCCATAATCATCGGTTGAAATAGGGTCTGGAAGATTGTAAGTAGGGTGTTCCCTTATCCATCAGACAAAGAAACAAACAACGCAGACAGACACGTCCTCTACCAGGAACCTTTCACACTTTTTGTAGATCTCCAGTCATCAAGCACTCCTTTTTCAGCTGAATTCCCCCCTTTGCCAATCCATCCAACCTCTAAAGTTCTACTTGGAAACACGCAGGTCATGAGTATCTCTGAACCATACCAGTAATAGAGTGGAGAGACATAGAAAGAAGAAAGATTTTATTTTCTTTCAAGATAAATGCAGTCATGTCTCATATTCAAATGCAGAAATTCCCTTCGAGTTGACACTCAAAAATAGAAGAAAAAAAGCCCCAAAAAAGAACGCTGCAGAACGCCAATCGACGCCTCGCTAATCCGAAAAGCATGCAAAAATCCAATTCCCAGTTATCTCCGCCTCTTTCCGCCCTCGATCTCGAGGGGAGGCAAATTTCCCCGAGTGTATGTCTTTGAATTCGCCTTGGAGACCATGTTCAACGCCTGACCAGCCTTCGGTCCGATTCGCGCTAGGGACGCATTAAAGTGGAGGAGGGTATGATCGGTAGATCCCGACAGGCACGGGAAGTGATGTCACAGATGGGACGAACGCGCGAGATGGGATGAAAGCATAGGCCGTCAAATATGCTGTCCAAGACGGAATTCAAAGTTGTCATCAATGTCATTTCTTCTTCATTTTCGCTGCCAGTGCCGCTGCCTGTTCTGCGGCCTTGCGCTCATCCGCTGTCCAAATCACAAATGTCAGAACGATTCCGTAAATACAGTCACTCAAATGAATGTGCCAGTCACCGTATCTCTTGTGTTGCATTCGCTATGGATCCCCCTCAAGGAACTGGTCGCATCAGGTATAAGCAGAGCTGCCGTACCTCTTCGCTGTTTCTCTTGCATGATGGCTGCCTGTTGCTCTCTTACGCGCTGATACTCACTGCCGGACATGGTGTTCTTGGGTCCCTATTCCATATGGTATGCAGATTAGCCACTGTTTGAAGGGACCATCTTCAAAGTGGGATTTCCAATTTCTCCCAGAGCAAGATCAAAAGGAAAGAGATTAAACTCACCACTCCCTTCTCGTGTTGCCTCTTCCTGTTCCTCTCACGAGCTACCTCCCTCTGGTTTCCACGAGTCATCTTGTCCTAAACACACAGGCAGAATAGAAATACGGATATCTTTGTACAATAAAAGAGAAGGCAATGGGTAGGGGAGGCAAAAGAAGACAATGGTCAGAAGATGAGAAATTTATGGAGGTGTGGTTTTCCCGCAAGCCACTCTCGATCTACCACATTCTACGCTGATCGCTGGTTCCGCCAATGCTGGTTATTCCTGCCCCGCTAAATCTCGCAGGTGTCCCAAGGCTCCTCCCAACATCTCTTCCCGATGTTTATCCCAAACATTCCTCTTCCAAACGCCATACATCCAAGGTCATCGCTGCGTCTTTGGTGTCTGGATGATCAGAACCCAATCTCTTCGTCCGGAGTCTCACTACCTCCTCCATCAGTTCAACTGCTTCGGCATGCTGGCCCTTGCGCTTTCGAGTCCATGCGAGGTTGCTCACGGTGACCAGCCTCGATGGATCGTCCGGTTCTAGTATATGTTTCTCCTGCTCAACGACCTCAACCTCCAACTCTTCCGCCTGGTCTAAGAGGTCTTGATTCGAGTAGAGGATGGCCAGATTTGCCTTGGTAGTCAACGTATCTGGATGAGACGGCCCCAGTTGCTCCATTCTGCCGTCCAGCACCTGACGAGTCAGTATTTCTGCTTCCTTCCATTTACCCAAATTCCCATAAATGCTCGCCAGTCGTCCTTTCGCATCAAGGGTTAAATGATGGGTCGGTCCATATTGTTTCTCCCTTCCCTTGACGACTTGTAACGCGAGCTTTTCGGCTTCCCCATACCGACCGGTGCCAGCATTGATGATTGCCAGCAAATACATAGTGGTCAAAGTGTCTGGATGCTCAATCCCAAGCTTCTCTTGTCTTAACCTGCATACGTGAAGACAGAGCTCTTCTGCCTTGCCCCATTGCTCTTGATCAATGTAGATAGACGCCAGGACGTTCATATCCGTTAACGTATCCAAATGACTGGAGCCCAATCTATTCTTCGTCTTCTCCAAGACATCTGCTGCCAGAGTCTCCGCTTCACCCAAACGGCCCAGATGCATATATGTTTTCGCCAGGACAGAGATGCTCGTCAAGGTATCAGGGTGCTCCGGGCCCAACAGCTTTTTCCTCAATTCAACGACCTGTCTGTCCAGCTCTTCTGCTTCTGCCCAGCGACCTTGGTCGGCGTATGTCGATGCCAGATACGACATGCATTCCACGGTTTCCATATGTTCCAAGCCCACTTCCTTTTTCTTCGCTTCCAGGACTTGTATATCTAGTTCTTCCGCCTCTTTGTATCTGCCCTGCGACCACATATAGTAGGCAATACCAGCTTGGAGATGTATTCTGTTCCTCAAGTTCTGTCCTTCAGCGTTTTGCGTGAATTCTAGCACGGATTGGGCGTGAGGGAGATACGCGGCACATATCTTCCAGTTCTCGAACTCGGCGTCAGGAAACAGCGCGTCCACCTTTTCCAAGGCCTTCTCAGCATACTCCCGGTCTTGTCCCTCCAGTATCAACCACTTCCGGACCACCAATTGAACCAGGCGATGGAGACTGTACGTCCCTGGAGTCTGTCCTTCTGCAATCAGTGAAAATGCTTTGAGAACCCCTAAGGCTTTTGTCAGATCCAGGATGCGGTCTTGCTTTTTCTGAACGAATTCTTTGGGTATTTCCTGTCGGTCTAGGAAGGCCATCAAAGAGAGAATCTCGATAGCCCGCGGCTGTTTTCCTTTAATCTGGTTGATAGACAGCATCATCGTTGTCGCGACTGCATTTGGAACCTGGGAATCCCTTCCTAAGGTCTGAAAGGCCTCACACAGCAAGTCCATCTGTGTCTCTTCCCCATCCTTTAGCAACGCGAGATATTCGCTGACACTTATCATGTTCTGCTGCATGAAAGCTGCCGCTTGTACCAACGCCAACGGAAGATGATCAAGGAGGTCCGCAAGCTCATTGATTTCGGATTCGCTGTGGTGGGAAGAGTCATTTGTAAGCTTCGACTTGATGAGGTCTGTCGATTCCAGTTCAGTCATAGGTTTGACTTCGATGAGATCTCGAGGACGTCCACCGTTGAAAGCGACTGCTGCAGCTCTATTCCTAGTCGTAATGAGGATCGAGCCTTGTGAGCACTCAGGCAGGTAGTCTGAGATACACAAAGTTGGTTCGAAGGGTATACTAGAGTCCTTTCCCTGATAGGTGGTATTGCTCGGTAAGAAAAGCGACATGTCATCAGCATTGTCGATGATCAACAGCCATCTCTGAGACGTGCTCTCAAGCCAGGTTTTGACAAGAGACAATACGTCTTCATCTTCGTCCTCTGCGCCCGGAATGTCGCATTCGTGAGCGATTTTGCGGAAACCTTCGTAGATGCGATCCGGGCTACTGGCATGGATCCAAAATACAGAGACTTCTGGTCGACTTTCTCGTAAAAGGTAAGCGAATTGAATGGCGATGTGAGATTTCCTGAAGGATCTGTTAGTTGAAGCACCAAAACGGAAATAGGGGCAACAACGACCCTACGCCTCCCAGGCCAAAGAGCGCGACACGTGAATGAGCTTCCCCGATCGATTTCGAACGATCCTTCAGCTGGTGCAGGATCTCGTTTCGTCCTACAAAGTCTGGATTCCGCGAGTATGGTATCATGACTGAATATGTCCCCATCAGCTTTACGTAAAGAGGCATTTTCAATAACGTCCAGGTCACCTACAAATGCTGCGTTCTGCCTCTGGTAGCGGATCTGCTGTCTTTAGTATCGCACCGTTTGTTTCCAACGACTGCTCTTCAAATGCTTTCGTGGCGCAGTTCGCCATGTGGACTATGTTTCGTGATACTTGTTTATAGTTCTCGTCCAACGCACTCGCGAATTTGCAAATGTTCTTATGATCGGCGTCCAAAGCGATCTGTGTCTCCCGCGAGTCTGGCAGGTTCAGGGTGGCGGATGTCTTGTCGACCACCTGTCCGGCTGATGCTGTTAGAGTGTTCTACATTGATCATGAAGAAAGGCCAACGCTAACCAAACCCAGGTTCTTGAAGGACCTCGTCTCATAGAAGCTCAGGAACTGATATGACTTCACAAGCTGCTGAAAGTTCGAGAAGAGTTCGCTTGCATATAATTCATTTTGTTTCAAGGCCGTCATGAACGTGTTGCTGGGATTTCTGAGAATAGTTCTCGTTATCTTTGCGATGATAGCTCCAAACCGGGCAAAGGGGCTCCCACGATGGGGAGTCCCAAAGAATGCAATACCATAGGTGGCGGCACAAATGGAGAAGTATTTCTCCCCGAGTTTAGCCTGCACCAGAGCCTGGATGAATTCAGCGCACACTGAAACCAATATACAAGTTATGTGTCCTGAGGAAGGTCTCCTTACCTCCTTCACCACAATGCCACCGAGGCTATGAGCGATGAATATCAGTGGCCTGACTTCGACACCCTTTTAAATCTCAAAGTTAGCGTAAGCGGCCCGGCATACGTTTTTCAATTCCTTATAACCTGCCTGTCGTTCGAGCCATAACCTGTTGAGAAGGTTGATTGCTTGCTCTCGCACCCCTGCCGCTGAGGATTGAAAGCCAACGTTGGAATTGTACCCAAACAGCAGGATTCTTGCTCGCGGCAACTGCTCCGGCAGAAAATCCCTCAGCCATAGCTTATCGCCAGACTTCCATGTCTCCTCAGCGTGGAACTCTTTGTCCTTGGGGTTTAAGCCGTGAACAGCCACAATGCTGGATTTAATCAATCAGTACAATTCCTACGTTATTTGTCTGGTCTCTCCTCACTCAATATTTGCATCTTCACATGGCACGAGTGTCTTCAAGAAATTTCTAGAGACGCTATCAGTGGACTTGACGAGTCAGTAGATGCCGTTATTGCAGAAGTGCAAAACAAACCATTATCACCTGAGAGGAATATATATACAGAAGGATCACGCCCGGAAAGTAGATAATAGGGAGTATATGAGATATATGGCTAAGATTCTAATATGGAATATGAATAGGGTGCCCGCCTGGAAAGTAGATGATAAATACGAAAAGAAAACATGGCAAATATGGGTAGAATATGGGCAGGGAACCTGCCTGGAGAAGTATATTCTACCGCGACTCCTATGGATTGTTCCCAATGTGTACGCGCCCACCTACCCAACTGGATCAGCTGCATGAATTTAGTACCCAACAGTAGGCGCGCAATAGACGCCTGGATCAGCCTTGGGCGACGATCGCCTTTGGTTTACTGAGATCTGATAACAGGTGTGAAGTTACCTGGGTTGCAAAGCCACTCAAGCTTTTTTGTAATAGAGATGTAATTTCTTCTCTCTCGCATAAGGTAATTATGGGAGTAGTTCAAGAAGCCTCGAAATGAGAACAGCCCCTGAGAGGCTCTAATGGTAGCGCTGATTGTCTCCAGCGCTTATCAATACTATTCGTTCCATAAGGCTGGCTCATGGGTGGTGAGGCTGCACGCCCAGTGGAGCTGGGAATCAGTGCAACACATGGTCACAGAAAATTGCTACTACTCAGGCCTCAAGATACAGTGGTCACTATATACAGAACAATGGTTGATCATGAACTCGATCACGTGTTGACTAGGATGGAACTCCTGGCGGTTAGGGAGCCAGTGGGATAGCCGCCCAGGCACCAAACCTCGTCTCACCAATGCCGCCCATCTTGCCCTCTCAGCCACTCCATCGCCTCCAGGCTGGCTATGCGAAGATCCGATCTTCCACGCGAGCCTTCACTGGAGATTCATTCTGCTTTCTTTCTTGAAACATGGTAGTCTGTACGTTGCTGTCGACCCAAAAGACAATAGCAGATCGCGATGAATGCCCCAATGGGTCCATGCCAGCCAGTGAAAGGCCACGGCGCATTCACTTCACGGCCCAAGCAGAAACACGCTTATTGATGGCCTCGGCGAATCGACGGCACCAGCACCCGTCATTTGAGAAATGAATGGCCTCTATTGTTTGATTTGGATACCTCTGTGTTTCATGAGCCTCTTCGATAACCATGTGCACTACAATCTACAGCGCTTTTTGGACGGATACCATTCACTGTCGAGTGATTCAGGCGCCTTGATTCCACAGGTATCGAGACCAGGATTTTTTTTTACAAGCCTCGCTTGTCATACAGAGTCATGACGGAGAGTGAATTTGTCATTGATGCCTTCATATTTCTCCCTCCCTCTCTCTTAGTCCTGGACAACCTTCTCGTTCCTTTCCTTTCCCTTCTGTTAACAACACCGTTCCTGCTGGTCAGACCGTGACTCTTTCTTTTCTTCTCCTTCCCTCAGAGAACTGTCAACTCGTTGATCGATGCATTTCTCATAGAAACAAATCAAACTCGTCCACTTCCACAAAGGGCTCTACGCTCTGTTTCGTGACCAACCACTTTTTCTTGCTTCGCTTTGCTGTTGCCAGTAGACCGTCGTGGACAGTCAACTCTGCCATAATGGGCCTCTTCAAAGGTTCCCTGGCTGGTCCAGGATATGTGATTCTCAATATCATTCGAGTGCTTAACATTATCGCCCTCCTGGACATCATCGCCGCGAGTGTGGTGATGCTTATCAAGATCTCTTTCGTTAATAGTTTTTTCTTTTTTGAGGCTGTTACCCACGCCGTGACTGCCTGTGTGAGCAGTAAGCAGCCGTGCTTGATCCCACAGAAGCCGAGGGCCGGCTGACAGTGCTGATTAGTTGTCCTCATCCTCTCCGAACTACCCGTCTTCCGTGGCTACTTCGATCGGAATTGGCCGCTATTCGGTCAGGAGTCCGGCTTTGTGACTCTTTCCGCTACGATGATCATATTGGGCGTGTCAGTGCTTGGCGATCTTAATAGGAAAGCCACCAGTCAGGAGTCCCTGGGGCTGGCGTTCTGGAGAATCGTTGCTTCGGCCGGAATTCTCGCGATGGTCATGGGCCTTATCAACTTCCCTGTAGTGCGTCACCCTGCCTCCTTTACTGGGAGATTGATACTGACGATTCTTTCCAGAGTTTCATTTTTAGGGATAAGGAACGCGGTGTCACTGCACGCCAGGTCCGATCATACGGAGCCGTTGCTTCCAAAGTCGTCGATCGCAAAGGCAGCCAGAGGTCGTTTCAGCTGTGCTTAAATCGGCAAGACACTCTTCCGACCTACCGTTCCCACACATCGAGCCCGAGGCCCATGTCCTTGCGCAACACGAGACGGTTTCCATTGAAGGTCTCAAGTCCGACCGTCGAGCGTAAGGAATCCTTTTCTAAGAGTGGCAGTGAGCCTGACCTGGCGGCACCAGAACTGGCTCACCATCCTGCCATGCACGCAAATTATGTTTAATTGGAAAGTCGGATCAATGGACAAACGACGGAATCGACTGATAGAACGTCTGGCCACGTGGCTGAGTTGTGTTTTTGCTTTGAGACGCACTAGGATGCCTTTCTCTATTTCTGTTTACGCCGTTAAAAGCTCTTTACGATCGCTCATAATTGTACTGTACATAATTTTTGGTTCAGCAGGAGGATAACATTTAGGTTAGTTTGTATGAGTATGCGGTGTTGGTGATGGGAATGGGTATTCGAAAACGGAAAGCGTGTCATTTTGAACAATATGAACTCTGATTTTTTTTAAAGCTTTAAAACGACCAGTTCAAAATGCGTAATGCCCATATGGATGTTCGAGTTGTTGGTGATTGAATGTATGGTCTACACACGTGCCAGATTGGCTCGGGACGTCCGCCGAGCTGCCATGCTTAGTGCACCTCTCTATATTTAGCTTGCAGCTATCCGTACTCACTTGGCCAACTAGACAACATTATCAACTCGACGAGGAGATGACTTCTGTCTCCTTTCAATCCTTACATAGGCCATAATCTACCGGGGATGCCTGACGGCATCTCTTTCTGCGGTCCGGGAAGATGTCACAAATAGGGGTCTCATTTCAGACGTACGTTTGTTTTGTCTCTAGCTTTTGAAAGCAGGCAACAAAGGTCACTAACAGAACTCTTCCATAGCATTAAATCGCTCTTCATTTTCTTCGCGCCCATCCTCATCCCTCGAGCAATCAACTACTATCGCAGTCTCCGTGCCTCTCTCGCGCATCGCCCTCCTGTTCGTCCGCTCCCTCCGCAGGCGTCTCGCGCCCTGAACGTCCTGTTCGGTGCGATCGTTTTCTTCCTCATCCTGAGTTTGCCATTTAATCCGCATGCTCCAACCCCGAATATCTTTGCCCAGACGGGCTCACGCATCAATACTCCGACAGAAGTCATCTTTGCTCGCTTGGCGCGACTCCGACCGGACAATGTCCTGACGGAGGATGATACACTCCTGCGGGGGAAGCTGATGTCGCAGGTGTTCAGGAAGGTGTACCTCCGCTATGGGCCGGATGCGTTGCTGTCGTGCCAGTTCTGTACTGTGGACAATACGTGGTCGTATCTGCTGTACTATCTACCGTTGAATACGTTGGTACCGCACCTCTTCCACCTGCTGATTGTTGGTCTGGTCACCTCAGCGCCGTTCGCTGGTCCTGAAGCCGCGCAATGGCGGAATAAATTCACTATCGCCGGCCTGGCTCTGGCCGCCATCGATGTCTACATCATGGCTGTCTATGATCCGGTGGCATCTGCTTCGGCGGCAGTGCGAGCCGGCCAGGCCCCGCCTCCAAGTCTCTATTACAACATGGGCCTCCTGCGGCCTCTGGCCTTTGCGATCTTCGACGGCGTCTGCTCCGCCCTGATCTACCTCTCTGCTACCAACCGCTTCTTCTACAGCCCGCCATCACAAGCTGAACAGATGGAGCAACTGATGTCGACCGCCACCACTGCGTTGACGGCAGCTACTTCAAAGCTGCACGCGGTCAGTGTCACGCGGAATGCGGTCGTGAGAGACAAGACGCTGAAAGCGCGAGACGATGCGTATTGGCGGGAGGTGGTGGCCATGGAGGGCGCTGGCCGTGGTGAGAAGCAGCAACCGTCCGGGACGGGCAGTATCTGGGAGGAAGAGGAAGTGGTGCGGGCGATGTCGAGGGCGATGACCGGGCAGGCTCGGAACCGCGGGGTCGACATGGCGAAGCTGGGAGCTAGTGCAAGCGAGTACGTCGACGGCATTACGGCCGGCTTGGAGAATGCCAGCGACGATCGACCTGAATGAGGCGCAAGAAGCTGCCTAAACCCAGAAATTTCCTAATCCTGCCAGGCGCATATTACGTCACGGACAGTGTGGATTTGTCGAGCATGTTCATGTAACTAACTACATAGATGCTGGATAGTTCTCCTAATAGGTACTCCGCATATCGTGAACAACTCTCTCTAGCACAAAGCGTTCCATCAGCACAGACAATTCACATTATTATTGCATGGGCAGTAGGCGCTAGTGGTCAAACTGGCGACTCCTGCTGAAATCCAACACACTCAGGCTGGCCATCCAACCCCTTGATTTCGAGCCAAGAATGCACGGATGTACCGGAGTCCAGCAGCGTCTGATGTGGGGTAACTCGGGCCATCCTGGTCAGCGGCTGGAGTAACAGTCTGCAGGCCTTAAGAATAGAACGACACCTGGCTCAGGCACCAAGTGTATCCTGGGCAGCGGCTAGTAGCAAGCGAGGTGACAATGCGAGCAAGAACTTAGGCCAGGCCGGCCGGGTGTTGGGACGTCGTAGCAGTGCTGTATGCGAGCGAACTGTACACAGTAGTAATTGTAATTTCGTGCCGTGAGGGGAGAAGCTGCACGGCGTGTAGGCGAGGCGGGCGGTGATTGGGCGGGCGGGCGGCAGTGTGACCTGGTGATGCAGAAGGCGGTGAGGCCCGCATTGAAGATCCGACGCCAGCAAAACAAGGATCGCGAGGCCATCTGTAGTCGCCCCAGGCCGTCTGCCTGCCCGCTTCTCGCTTTATCTGGATCGTCTGTCCGGGCAGTTCAGTTCTCTGTTGTGCTGCCGTTTCCTAAGTCCTATCCTTACTTCCCTGTATTGTTCCTGTCCCGTTGCTGGAGACCACGGAACCGAACCGTCTGGGTCGAGGTACCGACGACGGCACGACGGGCAAGCAAAACACACAATCCGTTCCGACCCATTGTCGCACCCCTCACCTGAATTGCCTCTGCCAGACTTCTGCCTGACGACGAGACTGATTCCTCCGTCCATTGCTGCGCCATGGCCAAGGATACTGCCTCGTCCCAGTCGGTCGACGAGCTCAATGCCTGCGTATCGACTCCCAGCGGCCATCGCCCGGCCAGGAACGAGACGACGTTCCGGGAATGGATAGTCGCCAATCAGATCGGTATGATATAGAGCCATGTTTTTTTTTTTGCTACAAAGACGGGACGCAGATCGCTCATGGTTCTTCTTTACAGGCATTTCCCTGACGATCCTGGCGACGCTGCTGGCAGTGCACAATCTATATCCCTCCCTGCGATCCTATACGACCCCGTTCTTCGAGATGTCCTACTACCAGCCGAGCACGGGACTCTACATCCATGGCAAAGACGACATTTACTTCATCATCAGCGCCATCCTCGGCTTCACCGCTGTTCGCGCCATGTTCATTGATTGGATCTTTCGCCCCTGGGCGAAGAGGGCCGGTTTGAAGAGGAAGGCGTCGATGCGGTTTGCGGAGCAGGCCTGGCTGCTGGTCTACTACGGTACCTTCTGGACTTATGGCATGGTGAGTTGGGGAAAGGACGCTCCTTGGCAACAGTGCTGACTGCGATAGTACCTCTGGACCAACTCCAACTACTGGGACAGCTTCAAGGCGATCTGGTCTAACTGGCCTGCGCGGGAGATGACGCCCCAGATGAAGTGGTATCTGCTCATGCAGCTGTCGTTCTGGATCCAGCAGATCTTCATTGTCAACATCGAGGAGCGGAGAAAGGACCACTACCAGATGCTGACACACCACTTGATCACGAGCACGCTGCTGGGTTCCGCGTATATCTACCGCTTCTACAACGTCTCCAACGTGGTGCTGTGTCTGATGGACATTGTTGATTTCCTGCTGCCGGTAAGTTCCTATTCCAGACGACCGTCATTGTCACATTCTGACGAGAAATCTAGGCTGCCAAGATCCTCAAGTACTTTGGCTACGAAATGTGCTGCAATGTCGCGTTCGGGGTGTTCCTGCTGACGTGGTTTATTGCGCGCCATGTCATCTACCTGTCCCTGTGCTGGTCGATCTACCAAGACGTGCCTGCGCACATGGCGTATGGCTGCTATTCGGGCACGACGGCGGAGATGCTCACGACCGATGGATACCCTGATCGCTGGGCACATCTGTTCTCGCCGTACTTCAACCTGGACGGGCCGATCTGCATGAACCGAGGCATCAAGTGGATTTTCCTGTCGTTCCTCCTGGCGCTGCAGGTGCTGTCCTTGATCTGGTTTGGAATGATCATCCGCGTGGCGATTGGAGTGATTCGTTCCGGAAACGCCGAAGACACTCGGAGCGACGATGAGGAAGAGGAAGAGCCCGAGACGGAGGAGGCGCCGGGCGTGGTGGTGAGCAAGGAGACATCGCGGGTGGTTGCCGACAGCTCCGGCTCGGAGGCAGCGTGGCGACGGTCGAATGGCTCGGTGCGGACCCGTCGGGGAGGCGTTCTTCGTGACCAGAGTGATCGGAAGGCCTTGCTGGGAAGAATCGGCTGTGACAAACCGACATGATCGATGGGTGGTGATGCGAATGTTTGTTTGCATGTCGTTCCGTTGTTTTTGCTTGATACTTCGGTTTCCTTCCGTTGTCACGATTGTGGTTTGATGGGTCAGGGTTGCGGGACGATGGTATTTCAGTGAACAATCAATACCCTTGTTGTTTGTGCTGTTATATACTGGTTGTGCTACTGGCTATAGATAATCAAGCGAAGCTTGTCACTACGTATGGTGTGTACGGAGTAATGGGTGTGATTTGGTTCGTCGATGAATGCAGCATCGCCATGATTTATTCTTATACAATACAATACATGCAATTGCAGCATCTGACGAATAATGGTATGTACAATACATATCTTCTCCATGACCAGCTGACGCTGATATATCGATTGATAGGAACTCAGTCCGATCCTCGCTTGGCGTCATGAGAAGCCAAGCCCTAAGAGTAAGGACGTTGACATCTGCCGTCATCACCACTACCAGTCAATCCAGACAGTGCTGAATTAATTAAACCCTGCTTAAGAGCTGCAGTACGTGCCAACGTCGTACGACGGGTAGGTGTGACTTGTCTGGCAAGAGCCGTTGGAGAAGAGGTCGGTGGCTAGAGAGAGGGAAATTCGTTAGCATCAGCGCAAACTCTCTATCAAAATTATCAAGGATATACATACTATCAACAGGCAGATCCTTGCTCGGATTGCGAATAATCGACTGGGCCGCGTCCGGCGTCAGGCTGTCCTCGCAGTCGATCTGCTTCTGCCCGCCGTTGACCGTGGAGCTACCGGTCCAGGTATCGATGTGCCACTTGTTGCCGTTCTTCCAGTCGGAGTTGCACTCGGCGCACTCGTCCTCGTAGCGCAGGTATTTCTTCAGGTACGGAGCGTACACGACCTCGCAGACATTCAGCTCGCCTGATGCCGTGGCCATGGTCAGCGGGTCGTCGTATGTGCCTGTGCCGCCGGCCTGTGAGCGTCCGCATTGCGTGTACGCGATGCCCGCGCCGGGTGGAGAGTTGTCTGGGTAGCCGTAGAAGGTCTGCTGGACGCCGGACTGGACGGAACAGGAGCCGGAAGAGGAGGAGGAAGAGGAGAAGGCGGCGTGAGAGGTGTGGGAGGTGTGGGAGGAGTGAGTGGTGGTGATGGTGGTGAAGGTGGTGGCGGTGGTGGAGTGGGAGGACCGAGAAGAGTGGACGGCGGAGACAGAAGCGCTGACTGCCAGGAGGCAGGTCAGGAGAGTGGTTGTGGACGGCATTGTAGAATAGGATAGTCGATATATAGATATAGATGTAGATGTAGATGTAGATAGATAGATGTCTGAAAGAATCCGACCCGATTGATGAAATAGCTATGCAGAGAAGAGGGAGGGAGAAGTCTAGACTTATATACATAGATCTAACCGCACATACTACATAAGTAAACCTACGAATATCGATATATCGAAAATAAACTCGGGACAGACAGGGTAGACTCCAGCCTAGTGACTGCGGTGGGTCGCAAATCGCCCCCAGGCTCAGCGTCAGCATCAGCCGGGCATGGACTCATCCATGGACAAGGGTCTGGACCAGTCAGGCAGAACGTCAGCATCCAAACAGATTGTTTCTACGACGTAGGAGGTGCAAGAGGTAGGTAGAAGGTAGCATCATCCATCCATTTCTTTTCCAGTTCCAGTTCCATTCGGCTGTCAGTGAGTAATTACCATATGCAGTGAGGAGGGAAGTATCACAGTATCATTGTCGATCGAGATCATCATCATATCGATTATTGACTGACTAATTACAGAACAAGCCTTCCTGTCAGCAAGCAGATCCTACCTACCTTCACAGAGTAGTAAGTACATACCTAGACTAGAGAACTGAACCAGCCAATAACAAACCCAAACCGAAATTAAGCCATGATGAAGGATCAAAGGTTCGAAACTTTAATCGCGTCAGAAGGCCAATAAAAGAAAATCAAATTAAAAATTAAAGTAAGTGGGGTAAAAAAACCGCCCTGTACCTGGACCCAGTTAATCTGTTACAGTCCAGTCTGGAGTACGGAATACTCCGTCCGGTAGATACTCCGTTCTCCGTCCCTCACAGCATATCTGTCGATAATAATAGTCTTCTTCGGAGAACCGGCGAACCGGCGAACTGGAAAAAAAGAAACAAAGGCCTTGTTTGGAAGAGATCTGTTCCATCGAATCAGAATAAAACAGAGCTGGACTGAGTGGACTGAACTGAGGCGCAGAGAAATAAAACTGAGACAAAACGTGATATACATCCGTATGCAATCTATTTATTCTCTACTATACGGAGTAGATCCTTGAAACGCTTGATTAATATACCTAAGTACAAGTACATACAAGTACTTTATACAGATCCACTCAGGCAATCTTTGTATATACTCCGTACATAGAATGGATATTATATTATATTACGGAGTACATTATACTACATCGATTAATTAAAACAAGCTGCAGCTGAGCTGACAATAATAATGACATCTGCGTTCACTGTTCACTGTTATCACATAATTGCAGAGTATTTATTTATTATTAGAACTGAAGCCACTACTACTAGACGCTGTACGAGTGTATACCTAGGTACTCCGTAATCTACTCCTTGTTAGCAAGTGTAGTGTAATACGCACCGGGAAGGTAGCATCCAGTAGGTACCTAGGTAATAAGGTTCCTGGTTCCTGGGGCTAATACATACGGTAAACTAGTCTCAAACTGAAACCTGAAACCTGCTGCAAACCACCTATCTTTTCAGTTTTAGCCAAAAAAGTAAAAACCTTGATTGATTCGACGATAATTTAGGTAGGCACGTGAATAGATTATCAGTTCCACGCTAGCCATTCTAGGAAAGTGGTCTATTATTAGGTTAGCGCTAAGTCTATCGGGTGGGTCAACAGGTCCACCTACAGGTCCACAGCGGACTACTCCGTCCTCCGTCCTCCGTCCAGAGTGCATGCAGAACTTGGGGCGAATTTATTACTTAGGTATTTATTCATAGAAACAAGCAACACAAATCAAAACACAACGCAATGCACGTGCTTGCACCACACAGACAGACAGTGATCTCGAATTCGATTTCACAGTACGGAGTAAACGATGAATAATACTTTACCTATCTATAGATAGATACTATTACTATTACTAGCTACAATAATACACATATGTATGTAATTCAACTATAAATAAATCTGAACTTCTTTTTATTTGCATTTGACGGGTCATAATTTAATTTCTAGATTGACTTTTCAAGTGAGTGGGTCGATTTGTCTGTCCTATTTATTTCTAGATTTTATCTGTTTGTGCTTTGGTTCTTATGTGAGATTATATATATAAGAGAAGACAACATCGATTTATGATTTTTTTATCTTCCTCGTTGCTCATTTCTTGTTTCTTGCCTATAAACATATCTTGTCATTCATACACATATACATAACCAAACCATCATCCATCCCGTCAATCCAGTCAAGCAATCCAAACGCAGAAACAAGACACCTCCAAACACCATACCGAGACATACACATATACAGACATAGGATATATCATTGTAACTCCACAATGAATGGAAAAAACCAAAATGCAGACCATGCAGTGCGCATCTCATAACGGCTGACCCGGCAGCTCCACATAATACCGCCCGTCTGGTGCCTGCAGTTTGACGTCTTTGACGTCCCGCACCTCGGGCTTGATCGTCTTCCCCGTGTTTGGCATCTCTACCGTCGACTTCGACGACAGTTCCTGCGGCGGCGGCGGCGGCGGCGGCAGCAGCAGCGGCGCGTTGGCGTTATACACAGGATATGGTGGATGGACCGGAGGGGGCATCGGCATCTGCATATGAGGGTGTAATTGTTGCTGTTGCTGCTGCTTCTGACGCCGCCGCCGCCGTCGACTCCACAGCAGCCACCACCCCAGACCCAAAATCAATGCGACCCCAGCAACACCCCCGACGATGCCTCCCACGATGGCGCCAGTGTGGTTGCTGCTGGACGATGCTGTCACTGTCACCGTAGCGGCCGCGACTGCGGGCGAGGTCGTCGACCCCGGCAACGGCAGCGTGCACATGTCAATGCTGTAATACACCCAGGACGCATTGTAGCATGTGGCCAGCTCGGCTACTTTTGTGGTTTGGGATGAGCAGGGCTCGTCGGGATCGGCATCGTGCCCGTAGATGGTCACTTGTCGCCCGTCAGCCTGTCATCATTGCAAATTGTGATACCTGTGTAAAATGACATACCTGAACACCCTTCATCCTCCTCGACAACCTGAAAGCTGCCAAATGGCCCAGACGCTCGCAGCTGCGTGCAGGTACCGTTCGGGTACCCATTGGGCCCGTTTATCGACTTGTATGAATCTTTGCACTTGTCATCCGTAAAGGTCGCGATGATCGTTGCTCCCGCCGACTGAAGCAGGCTGACGAAGCAAATGAGCGCAAGAAGGAGCGAGAGCAGAGATCGTGAGCGGGACGGCATTGTAAACAATGGCGGTCGATCCCAACCGGGACAGTATAAGACTGTGGGGGAAAAAAGGAAAGTAGAAGGAAAAACGAACGGCAAGAAGGCCGATTCCAAGACTATCGCATTAATATGGATTATTGATTAATTGACATGAACGGCAGTCATTCGGCAGGCAGAACTGCTCGAAGGCAAAAGGCGTAAGAATGCCAGAGGGGCCATGTGTGTCGCGATGAGAGATTCTTGGAGAGAGGGGGACAGAGCACAGGCCCGACCTATATGCACGTGGCGGCGGCGGGAGGCATGGCGTGCGTCTAGCCGGAAGGATTCCAGAACCCTACCCGAGTTGGCAGTTGCTACTGCAGCCCTCCCCGACGGGCTGAGTTATTTCTGGACGGCGACGAGGCTCTTTTCTTATCTGCTGGCAATGGCTGAATGTCAGCCTCAGGCCATGGACAGGGATCAGTCAGCTGGGATTGCTTCACCCTCGCTGCTGTCTCAGATGCCAACGGCAGATGCAAGGGCAGCCTACACTCGCTCAGAGTTGCAAGTCCGCAACTCGTGTTCTAGGTTTGCTTCAGCAGAGACCCTGCAGCTGCGCCTTATCGGCAGTGGGGGCTGGCCGCTGGACCAGTCAGTGTGCTGCTCGACAGCTGAGTCCCGCCGCTCAGGCTTAATGGCGTTTAAATTTTCCCAGCTAAGCTAGCTGGAGATCGGCATGGCCCCCTTCCCTGCCCAGCCACGCGCTGGGGCATTCTTGGAGGGGTAAAGAAAAGTCCGTCAAGTCTTAGAACTAGTGGGACGATGGATTATTGAACAACAGACAACTACCGGAGAATTCGAGAAGCCTTTCGAATGGCAGGATTGCATGTCTTGGACTCTTGGCTGAGGTGAGCCGCCAGTAAGCACTATGCCGGACTTACTCCGTCGTTGAGCAGGCTAAAGTCAGTTGATTGCCGATTGTTAATATTAAACTTGATGAGTCGTTTCACATATCCACCGGCTCAATTTTCTGCCTATCAAGGAGAAACTAAAACAGTGTTGAACGCAGAAACAGAAACAAACAGTTTGTTGTCGTAAGGGTCATCGCTCGTCATTGCTCCAGATTCACATCATTCAAACGCCCTATCCCAATCCCGAACGTAAAACAATAAACAGAATAAATGAAGGTAAAAGGAAAAAAAAACCCGAATATGCCATCCCAATCGAAACTCTCCATACTCCCTTACTCCACCATTTTAAAAGGTCTGCGCTACGGAATCGGCGGTTGAGACATCCTGTAAACTGGCGCTCCCCGGTAGAGATCGCCCAGAATCTCCCGCCGCATCTCATCCTCGTCCCAGAGGAAGTCGTCCCGCTGGTTGAGCCTCCGCTGCCGAGCAAACACCTCCGCTTTGCCAAGATTCTCCGACCCCAGTCCACACTCCTGCTGCGTCGCGATGAACCGGATGAGGATCGCCCGCAAACCATCCCACAAGGTCCCCTGCCGGTTCCACTCCAGTCGCTTGGCCACTCGCAGCATCCGCGACACGAACCAGCTCCTCTCCCCCTCGTCACTGCACTCCCCCCGAGGATAGCCGCCGTTCTCCAGGAACAGCCACATGAGGGCCGAGATGCTAGGATTAGACGTCGGATTTAGCTGTTTGACTTCCGAATCCAGCCATGCCATGTACTCGTCAAAGTTCTGGCCGTGCAGATAGCATTCACAAAGCGCTACATTGAGGTAGAACAGACACGCCAGACACGTGTACTCGTCAATGAAGCGAACATCGCGAATGCCATGATCGTAGTCCGGAAGCGTCGTCAGAATAGAATACAGCCGAGAAGAAGGGTGAAACAGATTCGCTCGACGAGGCGCCTCCTCCGTCGGTGCGCGAAACGGGGCTTTGAGGATCGCCTGTTCCGATTCATGGAGGCAGCGAAAGAAAGCCAGAAAGTCTTCGCAGGCGCGCAAGATATCGCCAACACCTTCACCATCCGACGTGGGTACGTCCAACTGCAAGTCTGGCGACAGAAATTGCAGCTTTCCAGGGAGTGAGTCGGGAACGTCTCCGGTCCACGGGAGACTGGCATCCACAATTGCCTTGGGAGCACAGCTGAAGTCAACCCTGGAGCATGGTCAGCTAGCTGCTTGACTTGGTAGAAGTGAAACCACGACCCGTACCAGTATAGAACTTGTTCCAGAAATGGGCTACTGGCCCTCAGCCCCCGCATGCCCCCTCGTTTTCTAATCATCAAGGCAAGACCTTTGAAGTGCATCCGTTCAATGGAGGCGTCTTTGGACCATTTCTAGACCAAGTCAGTGCTGGCACATCACGGTAATTTTCCGTCACGTATGCATGTACCTCGATGACAGCCATCGTCGCTACGGCATAGATGGTCCCATCATGCGGACCGTCAGCAGTATCTCGGATCTGCTTGCTGATCAACTGTAGCGATTGTATTTTATGCGCCAGGCTTTGCACCGACTCCGACCGGCCCTCCACGCTGGCCAGATGCTTGGAGGCAATGGCCAGCATTGCCTGGAACGGGAGCCTGTCCTGGAGGGCAAATTGCCGAAAGATTTCCATGATCGGGTTCTTTTGATTTGGCCCCGACAATTTGTACATCATGGAAGGATAGATCACGACATCTTGCAGGTGTAAGCAGAGATCCCACACAAGACTGTGCTGCTGGACACAGATTAGAAAAGAATTGAGAACAGTAGCACTTACAATGGTTGATCAGCTTGTGGTCCTGTTGACTGATCGATATGGGATAGCTGTCAAATGGATCACGCTTTCCGCCAGGCCCTGGGGACGGCAGATGATCCGAGGCAGACGGTTTATTCGAAAGTACATCTTCCTGATGGCCAGACACTGTGTGGTTGCGTCGTCTTGTGTCTAGAGCATTTCCGCGAGTGCGTCCCTTGGTGTTGATTCTCTCTTCTTCGTGCCCATCATCTGCCTCCTCGGCTTTTACTTTTAATCCTGGAGAATCCAGCGAAGCATCAACCGGTTCCCGCGCGGCCCATCCGGAGATAGACACGCGGGACGAACCTAGCCGCGCGATTCCCTCCAGACGTCGCTGACGCATGTACTGGCGCATAGCATGACGGCGGACCTGGCGTCGGGACCCTTCATCGGTCACCAGGACAAATTCAAAGTTCTGTTGCGCCGAGGGCTGCTGGCTGGATGCCGCACGGCCGGGTTGCGAGGCATCGCCAGCGGCATGCGGACGGCCATTGGCGTCCTCATCATGGCCCACGCCTTCTGCACGAGCGTTGATGGCCTCGCTGTCGGCGGGATGGGTCTCGGTCCCCATGGTCCCATTGCCGGATGGTGGGCGGCGCAAGGGGTAATAAATTGGGACTCGAGCCGAGTGGGGAGCAGCCGAGCTCGTTAGTGGACAGTTGAGGGCAGCCAGGCCGGGGTGCCGCTAAATCGCACGGCGATCGCTGGCGTGCTGGCAGGGCTAGCCAGAGGCTGGAGCGCTGCCAAAGGACACCGTGATGAACGGCGGAAACTCTGAGGAGAGCAAGCTAAGCTTCGAAGCCCAATGTGCAACGAGCGCCCGATTTCCTGTTTGGGCTCGCTTCCCAGTGCGACACGTGATTTGTACGACAAGGCGTCGTGCGACGCTTTGACCTGACTCCCAGCCAGAGGAGCGTTGTTCCGTCGATGGTCTATTTCGTTGATGCTGGCCTCATGCTCTGAATTGCTTGACCTTGTGCTCGTGTCCACAGCCTGATTTCTGCACCCAACTGATACGCATCGCTCTGTAATGTTCCAAGAACAGCCTCTACTGTATATTGAACCTCTTTGCGGTCCTAGAGCCCCAGGGACACCGTCCCCAGGATCCATGTCCAGCCATTCGATGCAGGATCTATGTTGATCCCGTCAACCCTACAACTGCGAAAGCCACAGACATTATTATTCTATCGGCCTGGAACGATGCTGGGTCGACAATGCAGCGGTGACGGTCTTGCTCTCTCGAAGGTGAACGTTAGCATAAAAGATCTGGGAACTCGACGATTCGCTGGCCTGCTGCCTCTGCTTTCATCCCTCTTGCTCCCTGAGTTTTGCTAGCGCAGCCATGATCCCTTCACTCATGCCTTCTTGGTCATTGTTCTGGTTTGGCGTAGGTTTTGATGCACTTTCTTTTTCTGATTGTAATCGACTTTCTTCTTCAGCGGCGGCAAGTAACATCGCCTCTTCTTCATCCTTCTCAGCAGCAGCCTGCGTGGATGGACCCGGTCTTCGATCAGGTGCCGTCCGTCTCTTGGCCGTTTCTACCCTAAAGTCTTCTCGAACTGCGCTGCACCATTGTCGCACTTTTTTCTCACCCCAGCCGGGCACGGAGCTAATTTGCTCGGGCTGGGCATTTATGGCAGCTTGGAGACTTCCAAAGGTAGATATCAAGCTCGCGGCATCGGACTTGTTGATACTCCGGGGCGCTGTCACAAACTCAACCAAGCTCTCCTTGTACGACTGAGCCTGCTGGGAGCGGATCGCAGTCGGCGGCGCATTCTCCGATGACTTGAAAAGCTCCAAATAATGGGCAGCTTCAGGCGCAGACCAGCACAGAATCAGGGTTAAATTATTCACAATGGAAGTCTTCGAGAGCTCCTTCAGGCTGTCTTCATGATCGGGTATATCTACCATGATCAGAAGGATACGAAGATTGTATTTCCCGGCAAGAAGCCTGATCCGCGAATAGATGTATTCCGGATGCAGTCGATGATACTTCAACGACAAGAACAGAGCACAAGTGGTGCTCCCAAGCACGTAGTCTGCGGGAATATCGGCGTATTCCCAGGGTACAAGCTTGACATAATTGAGAATCGGATTGCCCTTCTGCCGTGCAGAGACTAAGATCGCGGACGGTGATGTCCTACTAGGAAGAGCTTGCGGCTTGGGCTGCTCGACCTTGGCTGGGCGCGCTGCAGGTGGTTGTTGTCTGGAGTCAGTGGTAGCCGGAGCAGGGTTGTTCGCTGTCTTTTCATCTTGGAGGAGCTGGTTGAAGACAGCATCATCCCCGTAATCATTATCCATGGTGTCCGTAAAGTGAAAGATAGTTGTAGATTTGGCATAAGAATTGCTGCGCCAGTCGACTATTCTTAGGCATGTCTTTGGCGGTTCCTCGCCTACCGCCTGCCAAGACGGCCTCACCGCCTGGGGTTCCCCATCCGTTCCAATGCTAGTGCTGCCGCCAAAGCGACTTTTTAATATTTTTCTGCCGCTAGCTTGAGAAAGCGAAAAAAAAAAGTTGATTGTCACCTTGTTTTTGGTGCATACCTACCATGGCCGAAACACGCAAGAGGAGACGCCTCTCGGAGGATGGCAGCTTTCAGACTGAAGAAGCCTCCCACACAGAACAGACTGAAAATGATCCGCCCGCGGAGACATCGCAGACTGCTTCGAAACAGCTGCGGAGAGAACTCTTCGTGCGTGGTCTACCGCTGTCGGTGACTACGGAGCGTCTGACGGAGTTTTTCTCCCAATCCTACGTGATTAAACATGCGACGGTCGTCCTCGATCCCCAAACCAAACAATCTCGAGGCTACGGTTTCGTGACTTTCGCCGACCTTGAAGATGCCCAGCGTGCGTTGGATGAGTTCAATGGAGCTGATTTGGACGGCAAGAAAATCAAGGTGGAGGTCGCCCAGCCTCGCCATCGTGAAATTGATGAGAAGGAGGGCAAGAGCGTTCCGACCGCAGAGGCTATCAAGCTGAAGGAGGAGAGGGAGATCCGCAAACAATTGAATCAGCCACCAAAGCTTATCATTCGAAATCTCCCGTGGAGCATTAAGGAGCCGGATCAGCTGGCTGCTCTCTTTCGCAGCTTCGGAAAGGTCAAGCGTGCAGTAGTTCCCAAGAAGGGTAAACGCCAGGCTGGATTTGGGTTCGTCGTCTTGAGGGGCAGGAAGAACGCTGAGAGGGCGATCGAGGCTGTTAATGGGAAAGTAGTTGACGGGAGAACCTTGGCAGTCGACTGGGCCGTTGAGAAACACATTTGGGAGAAATTGACGAAAGAGACAGAGGACAAGGAAGGAGAAAAAGATACCGCGGACGGCGCTGCCGAAGGTTCCGACCAAGATGAGAATGAAGCGGACGAGGATGTGTCGATGAAGGACGGTGAAGAGTCCGACGAAAATATGGAAGACACGGAAGACGAAGAAGAAGACAAAGAGGAAGACGAAGAAGATGAGGAGGAGGAGGAGGAGGAGGAGGAGGAGGAGGACGACGACGACGACGACGACGACGACGACGAGAAGGACGAAGAAGCCGAAGACGAACGGAATGCCTCCACGGTTTTCATCCGAAACCTGCCTTTTACGTGCTCAGATGAGACACTCTACAAACATTTCACCCAATTTGGGCCTGTTCGATATGCGCGCATTGTGGTAGACCCGGAGACAAATCGCCCTCGGGGCACCGGTTTTGTTTGCTTCCGGAACGTCGACGATGCTGCCTTGTGCGTCAAAAACGCCCCTAAGCAGCCCGATGCCACGCGCAAAGATGCGGACAAATCGAAAAAAGCCTCCACAGCATCAAAGCCTTCCATCCTACAGAATGAAACGATTGACCCCACCGGGCGCTACACAATGGAGGATCGTGTCCTGTTGGTAACTCACGCGGTGAGCAAGTCGGAGGCGGCGAAACTGGCAGAGGAAAGCTCCTCGCGTCGTTCGGCTAAGAAGGAGGACAAACGCCGTCTCTTTCTCCTGAACGAGGGCACGATCCCTCCCAACTCTGAACTTTACAAATTGCTTTCGCCGTCAGAGATCAAAATGCGCGCTGACAGTCTCAAGCAGCGGCAAACCCTCATCAAGAACAACCCTTCGCTCCATATGAGCCTAACGCGGCTTTCAGTCCGCAATATCCCGCGACAAATATCCTCCAAGGACTTGAAGGCCCTCGCCCGACAGGCCGTCGTGGGATTTGCCAGAGATGTCAAGGAGGGTCTCCGTCAGCCACTGTCTCCGGAGGAGATGAGGCGCGGGATCGAGGAAACCAGAGAGGCCGACAAGCAGCGGAGGCGGAAAGGCAAGGGCATAGTGAAACAGGCAAAGATCGTGTTCGAGGATCGAAGCGGCAGCAAGATCTCCGAGAAGAGCGGAGTGGGACGAAGCAGAGGCTATGGATTCATTGAGTACTACACTCACCGCCATGCTCTCATGGGACTGCGGTGGCTCAATGGTCATCTGGTGGAGGCGCGTTCCAAAGACGGGACGACGGAGAAGAAGAAGCGTCTCATTGTGGAGTTTGCCATTGAAAACGCGCAGGTTGTCAAGCGCCGAAAAGAATTCCAGGAGAGGATGCGCAACCTGAGCAAGGCTCAGATGCAGAACAAGAAGTCGGATAACGAAGAAGCCAAAGACAAAGAAGAGACCGCATCCTCTGGACAACAGGCGAAGAGAGGGACCAAGCGGAAGAGAGCGGCCAGTAGCGACGGAGGGAAAGCAAACAAGAAGAAGGACAATAAAGACAAGGGTGAGCTTAGTCAAGAGGAGAAGAACAAACTGGCCAAGAGAAACCGGATCATTGCGAAGAAGCGCATGCAGAGAAAGATGCGGAAGAAGGGCAAAGCTTGATGTACAGCTGAGGTGAATTACTTTAAAAAAAGGATAAGGTAATAATGGTGTAGGTAATTACGACACGAAATTTTTGCACTTGTATTACACTTGTATGTATATATATGTATATATACGAATATATCCAAAAAAAAGGATGCTTTTCTTCCTCTGCTTCATATTCAATAACAAAAGGAGGCACATTTCAGTGGAACAGGTAGGTATCAATCTGCCGCATTATGTCGTATCGTCGTTTCGTCTATCAATTGATTTCATTTCCATTTCATTTGATTTTTTCTTCATTTAATTTATTTGTTGGTAGCGCCCTGCACCTGCCCGACGATATTGTAGCGCTTGCTGAAGTACGTGTACCACTCGTCCAGGACCGTCTTCTCCTTCTCGTCCAGATCGTACCAGTCCGGTCGGCAGTCTTCGGGTTTGAGGGATGACATGGCCAGCGCGCGAGAGGGATCCTTGCCAGCGAAGACTAAACGTTGAAAAGAAAAACAAAAAGTATTAGCTTAGGAGCTGTAGAGTAGAGGAGATTGAGAATCCAACGTACCGTGATATTGACCCTGAGGACCATATGCGGGGTTCCTGGTGACGTCAAAGACAGTGCCCTTGATAGCGACGAGGATAGGACGGTTCGGATCCGTGCCTAGCGATCAAAGAAAAATCGAGTCAATTGACAATGCCAAACAGAGGGAGAATAAACAGCTCGTTTTAGAACCGCAAGGCGGATGGAAGCAGGAACAGCAATTTTCGTAGACAAGACAATATCGACACGGCTATATAGGGACAGATCCATACCGTCGCATTTCGACAGCTCCTCCATCGTTATGGGATCATCCTTGGGCGGATCAAGCTGGACGGGCTGCTTGGGCTCGAAGCGCTTTTTCTCGGTTTGTTCGGACATTGCGACTGGAGTTAAAGGACGAGGGTTGTCGCGGCGGTTGTTTTGTTCGTTTCTTCTTTCTGTCAATGGCAGGGCCCGGCCGATGCTGATCCAATCAATGCAAGGCTGGATTGGACTGATTGATTGATCGACTGTGTCTTATAATAAATAATTATAATGATAATAATGGGATAATAATAATAGGATGGCTGACTGGCGGGGCTGGAAGACGGGGTCAATCAATCGCGGGAGGGAGCTCCCGGCTGTGTGGCCGATGAAATACCGTTCCAAGGATTACAGTACCGTCAATAGAATAATAGGCAGAACTGAATAGCATGCCGTAATTACGTTACCGCTATACGGGATGACGTTTAGGTTCTTCTTACCCCGCGTTCCGCATTCAGACAGGAATCCCCGACCTTGGTTCTGCAGGATCTACGTGGAAGGAATGCCTCGGTTCGGTAGATACACCTAAGGTAATCGTAATCTCTCAGAGCGGTTCCTTGCCAGCTGACTCGCCCATGTCATGATATCACCTGACCTATTCCCAACAAACGGCATTATGCCAGCTGACAGTAATATCACAATGGCAATTGGGTGCCTGGTTTGGTCAGCTAGCAGCTCTTGCATATGAGATCAGAAGCTCAACTGCTTACGATGGGACATCATCGAGTGAACGTCCATATATAATCCGTAACGGCTTTGTTTTTATTTGAATCTCTACCCTGCTTCTCGAGGTTATAGCTGCTGGATTGATTGTCTTTCAGAGGACATTCATACTACTATACATACAGAACATCTGCTCTTGAGAGTTGAGACTGCATCATGGCTCTTCCCACAGGGTCTCCCACCACCACAACCACCACCACTGCCACCGATAGGACATTCCAGTCATCGGATTCAAACCGCAGAAATACATATACATATACTAACAACCCCACCGGTTCGTTCATCCTTGTCTAAGAAATTTCCTTCCTTCTTTCCTTACTCTAGTACTACTACATGTAGTAGTAGTATGTAGTATGGTATGAGGGAAGAAAGCGAAACGACCATGATACCTAACAATGGAGACAAAAATAAAAAAACCAGGTCCAAGCAATAATCAGGCTATACCGACGCAGTCTGAGATCTCACATTTCCTACACTTTGAAGACAATGATTGCTTCTTCGCACCTACTGGTCCTTATCCTTATCAGCGGCATGAGAGAGCGGGTAGCGGCTCCTCTACTACTACTACGACTACGACAGGAAGGTAGATTATGCTAGGATCAAACGGTGGTGAAATTAGTGATAATGGAGAGGGTAAAAAAAAGGAATGCGTGATGATTAAAGTATGGATATGTCATTTTATTGGTACTTCAGATTGATGTGTATAGTTTGTCATTCTCATAATATATAAGCAAACAACTCCAGTGTATGCACATGGTATGAGATCTATGGATAAATGTATAAGTTCATTATTAATCCCCTATTCATGTGTGAAAAAAAGGCAACCCTGTGACAACGCCCCTTTTTCGGTCGGAAATTGGCATTCCCATCTCGCTCCATCCAATCCAAAGTACCGGGAGTGAACTCGAAAGAAGGAACTCCATCGGATTCGTTTCAATCCATCATGCTGATGCACTCTCGCCCCCCTCCGGCTTCTCACCAGGTTGGATCCCTGCTGCTTTGAGCGCCTCCATACGTTCCCTGTTGCGCTTCCCCAACACGCGCAGGGTGTTCCTCTTCTCGATCTCCGTCATCTTGTCCCAGTTCGAGATGCGGCTCATGGTGCCATCCTGATTAATGACGAGCGGGCCGAGGTGGTCCAGCTTCACGCTGCTTCCTTCGCCGCTGACATCGAGCTTCGTGGCATCGTCGGTGTCCGGGGCCGGTAGACTTAGCGAGGGGCGTTGTTGCTCCTGCTGCTGCTGCTGTTGCTGCTGCTGTTGCGGCTGTTGCTCAGCCGAGTTTTGAGGGTTGGCCGCGGACGAGGAGTCAGAAGACATGGTGCGCGTTTGTTGTTGCTGACGGTTCAGCGAGAATGGTTCACTCGACGCAGGAATGGCGTGGACGGCGGACGACGATGATCGGAGCAGACGTGCCGCTGCACGGTAGACGCTGTTGGACATCCACTCTTCCTGCGATTCCTCCGATGGACAGGAGTCTTCGAAGGAGAACAGTCGAGCGGGACAGGTGTTGGATGCCGCTAGGAGACGACCTTCTCCGGCGGATCGATGGACAGTGGTGGTACTGGCAATGACAGCAGAGGAGATGTAGATGCACAGGAAGAAAAAGAAGAACGACGCAACAGAAGTGTTCCTCGTCATTCGCTTGTCACGGGAATAAATAACAGTTCTCTAGAAGCGCTGCCGCGGAGAAGTGGAGTCGTGCCCGACACGCTGCAATGACAAGCAATGACGCCAAGACTCCCGCGGAGAGCTTTCTAGAAGGAACGCAGCAGAATATCGACGAATTCGATTCAGCACTGCTAATCATCATCGAATATGATGAATATGAACTGAGCCTCTCTCAACTGATTTCAGGCCTTTTTCTTTGCTTTGATTTGCTTCTTTTTGCTTGTGGCATTCGTGAATACGCCCCTCGTCTGTGGGCAGCGAGTATGATGGCACATTCAACTTTTGAAGACCATTAACGGTTACAGTCATTGATACGCTGCTTGGAGGTTGATGCTGGTGTGATTGCCAGTATATGTCCTCCTCGCTCTCTCTACCGCATCCAACCGACATTGCGAGTTGATGTCTCGACTAAGCTAGGATATAGCTAACACTTCGAATTTACGCTCTTTGGTAGAGGAGCTCAGTTTATTACTACCGGAACCACCAATTGACCTAATAGAAATACGTCAGTACGTGCTCCAAGTCGTAGACTCTAGTCAACACATACCGATGCTGTAATACCCTCACCCACACCCTTGATGCTGTGCCACCACCCCTTGGGGATGAATAAACCATCTCCTGCTTCGAGAACCGCCTCGTAGCCTGCTTCATGAGGAAGTGCTGGACTCTCTAATCGATCACCCCAGACCGCTTCTTCCAGTAGCGGCCTCTCGCGTCCTTGCATCATCTCCTCGCCTCGGAACGCGGCCGCAGCACGACCTGCGCTCTGTCCTAGCTCCATTCTCACCCGTGAAAAGACACGCATACCCACATCCGGTGGCAACAGTCTGACCTGCTTTCTTCCTGCCAGCTGCACGAAGAGGTTTGGATTCGGATCGCGGTGGAGGGGGGTGTACGTAGGCGGGATTCCCATCCAAATGTTGGTATCGTAGATATCCCCTCTGCCTGTCTGAGACACCAGGTCCGGCGTGGGAAGGTCATCACGGAGAGCTGAAGGCAGATCGCTGACCTGGCATTGTGCGAGGTAAAGACGGGCCGACTGTGTACGAGCTGAGCGCGTCCAGTCGAGGAAGAGACTCAGCGGTGCGTGGAGTTGCTGGAAGCTTGTATCGGTCGCGTCAGACTCGCTATCGGGATTGTCTGGCTTTTGCGACAGCGGAGATGTCTGCGTAAGTTCTAGAGGCACGAAGGTATCTGCATACTGTTCCAGGTAGTCGTAGTTCAGTGCAGGAGGAGAGGATCTCGTAGATGGCTCCGTAAACCAGCGGTCGCAGGCCGGCAGAACACGGAAACAACCGCGAGGAAGGATGGCAGGACGCTCCGGTCGGAAGCACTTCTCGCGAAATTCGTCTATGCTGGCATCTTGCAGGGTGTCCAGAGGCTGGTAGGGAGACGCGACAGGGCCACGCGTGGAATCACTTGTCGAGGAGAGACGCGAGAGAGCGCACCACCGTCGAGACGCAGACCGTGGTCCGGTCCGCAGCACAAGTAGATGTCGCCCAACGGCGTTAACACGGTGACAGGACCATTGTTGTGACAACCTCATCCAGTCTCCCAGTAGTTGGTAGACACGTGATTAATTGGCTTTCAAAAACAGAAGAAGGAAGGGCTGTTACTTATCGGAGCACAGGACTTAGTGCTCGCAGATCGGAGATCATTTTTATTTATGGCGGTGGATGTGGAGAAACTGGCGCAGTCTATATGCATTTCGGCCCGAGAAGAACTGAGTGGGCCCGTCAAAGATGATAATGATACTGATGCTCAGAGAGAGATTGTATCGATGATCTGCTCTGGCCGATCTCCAGGGCACTTCAGATGTTTCTGGGCACGGGCTTACCACGTTGCAGGACTTCTTGCCGAGGTATGTCCGTGAAGAACTGCCCGCGTGGGCAATTCATCAGCTTGATCATCGGCTTAGCGCTGATTCAGCAGCTTTCCCCGCATGAATTAGCACGCCTCTGCAGAGTGCCTACCGGCCCTACCGCTCTTTGCGCCTAGGTTGTACTGTACAACATGCCCAGAGAAAAGGATGGGCGGTGTTTGTCCCCGTGACGGGCTTTGGACCCCAGCCCCTTTCAAATACGCCCTGTTCCCTGCCCTTTAAATTAGTAGCATTTTGCTTGTTCGTCTCCTTTCACTCGGTGTGCTAATTTTGGTGAAATTCACGTAGCTGGTATGGCGACATCCATCGCTTCGATTCGTAGACATCGGGCCTACGCCAAAGATGCGTACACCTACTACCCTGTTGTCATCGTCGGAGCCGGTGAATCGGGGATTGCCATGGGCTGCCGGCTAAAAGAAGCCCTGGGGTTCGATCAGTTCCGGATTTTCGAGCGGCAGTCTGGCATCGGAGGCACCTGGTGGATCAATCGCTACCCTGGTGTCGCGTGTGACGTGTAAGATTCCCTTGTCCAGGTCGGCGCTCGAGACCAGAGACTGCAGGACTTACTTGAAATAACGTCGACAGACCGGCTGTCTTCTACTCTTTCTCCTTTGCCCAGAATAAGCGATGGACCACCTTGTTCCCTCCAGGGTCGGAAATCGCAGAGTACCTGGCCGACGTCTGCGCCAAATATGGCATTGTCGACAAGATCCAGCTCAACACGGAGGTCAAGCAGCTGCGATGGCTCGAAGACGAAGAGGAGTGGGAGGTGACCTTGGCCCATCTCGTCCCTGGCGCCGGCGACCTGTCCGCGAAGGAGCGTCAAGAAAAGGTTGCTACCGAGGGTGAACACAGCGTCTATGTGGCCACGGAGATCGTGAGGGCCAAGATCGCTGTCAGTGCTGTGGGCGGTCTGGTTGAACCCAAGAGCTGGCCGCAGGACATCCCTGGAATCGAGAACTTTGAAGGCGACTTGATCCACACAGCTCGATGGAAGCCCGACGTGAACCTTGAAGGGAAAGACGTGGTCGTGGTAGGCACTGGTTGCAGTGCTGCCCAGGTCGTGCCGGAGCTGGTGAACCCTCCCTACAACGCCAAGTCGGTCACGCAGTTGATGCGTTCCCCGCCGTGGGTTTCGCCTCACTTTTCCGAAAAGGAGACGGAGATCTGGGATAGATACGCACCCTCGCTGATACCGAAGATCCCTGGCCTGCTGCGCCTGGTTCGGTTCTATGTGTTTTGCTTCGTAGAACATACCTGGTTCCAGCTGTTCGCCAACAACAGCTACACGAACAAGGTCCGGCCTGCGGTGGAGAGACAGTATCTGGAGTTCATGCGAAAGCTCACCCCACCACAGTATCACGATATGTTGACACCAAACTACCAGATCGGCTGCAAGCGTCGCATCATCGGTGGACGCTGGTACAAGAGCCTGAACCACCCCAAGATCGAATTGACATCGCGGCCACTTAAGAGCGTTCAGCTTAAGAGTGTTACCTTGGGACCAAGCCCTAACTCCTCTGCTGATGCAGCCGAAGAGGTGCATCTGCCAGCTGACGCTATCATTCTCGCGAACGGGTACGAGACCAATGTCTGGCTCCACCCTCTGCGCGTGCTAGGAAAAAACGGGAAGAGCATCCACGATGTCTGGGAAGAACGCGGTGGACCGCAGGCATACCTCGGAATTGCCATGGACAAGTTCCCCAACTTCTTTATGATCTTTGGGCCTAATACTGCCACCGGGCACTCCAGTGTCATCATGGCGTCGGAAAACGCGGTCGAATACTCGCTCAAATTCATCAAGCCGATCCTGAATGGCGACGTCAGCACCTGGGAAGTCAAGGAAGAGGTCGAGAGAAAGTGGACCCAGGGTGTTCAAGCAGCCCTCAAACGGACTGCCTTCCATCAAGGAGGCTGCACCAGCTGGTATAAGAATGACAAGGACTGGAATTCGACGGTCTATCCGTGAGTGCCACTCTCCCGCGCAGACATCTGAGTCTGGTCGATATGAGCATGGTAGGAGATTCTGACGAGGAAGAATTAGGTATTCCCAAATTGACTACTTCCTGAGATGCATGTTCCCCGTCTGGAGCCACTGGAACGTCAAGTACACGACCCAGGGAGCTCAACGACGCCGGAGACAACTTGTCCTTCGCCGGTTCTTGCTCGTCGCTGTGCTTGCTGCTCTTTTCTGGTCACGGAGGCAGCCTTCACAAGCACAGGCTGCAAAGCGGAGTGTTATCGGAGCCATAACTGCAGCGATCAGTGTTGCTCAGGCTGGTCTGCTCCGGCTCCGCCAAAGTCTGCAGTAGGAAATACGACCTCCTTCTCTGGAAGGTTGGCATTGGCACTGTACTCTGCACCAATCACATGTACATACAATCCTATTCAATGAGCAGATGAGGTAGTGACTGGTGCACTGCAAATTGGAATATTTTCCCTTTTTGGTAAGAGGGTTGATCGGCCCTCACGCTGGTCCGTCTCCATCCAGTTCTGCAGTAGTCAAGAAACCAGATCGGAAGTGGCTTGCATTTGCTCGTGCTTTCTGGACCTGCCTCCGCGTCGCTGCATGAGGCGTACATCGTAGATGCTCGTGCGCTGTGTGCCATTTATTTCTAAGATTAGCTTCTGATTGGGGCACAACGGCTGGCTAGATTCGGCACGGCTGGCTTTCCCCGCAATCTGTCCGCCCGGCGACCTCCATTCCGCACCAGATCTCTTCGTTTCCGTGGCCAAAACCGCCCCTTTTGCACTGTAGACAGGGCAGTTTCGTTCCTGACGGCACTGGAGATATGGCTTCAGAGTCTCCTCATGCCAACGGATCCGCGCCGCAAGCGACCGCCGAAAATTCGGTCGCTGCCCCAAACGGCGACGCGAAGAGAAAGGCGGAACCAAACAGCGGAACCCAGACGCGCGCAAAGCGGAATCGATATATCTCTATCGCATGGTATGCTGATAGCCCCAGAGCCTGTGGAGTCAAGACCTTTTCCATTGGATGGCCTGACACCCCCTGATTCGCCAGTAACGAGTGCAAGAGACGCAAGATCAAATGCAATGGCCAGGTGCCCTGCCAGCGTTGTGGCCACTTGAAACTCGAGTGTAAGTGATGCGCTCTTTGTTTCGAACCGTTTCTCGACTACGGGATCTCCTGCGATGGTATGCGGTCGCTAAACTCTTTGGACAGGTCTTTACGCTCCGAATTGCTGCAATGGAAACTTCAAGGATTCCGAGTATGTATTTTGCCGACATCCGTCCTGCGCTTCGGGATCTGATCTGACGGTGCTATTTTTCAGGGAGTTCCGGTCCATGAAACAGCAGCTGAGCACTCTGCAGGAACAGGTCAACACTCTCTTTGCGCATCTGAACGAGCTGAACGCCCAGAAGCAGTCGCTAGAAGCCCTGACTTTTGAGCCGTTCCCGGCTGATGGCTCTCGTCCGGGGTCGCTACCCGGCGCTCAGCCGCTTCCTCCTGCTGCCGCCCGGCCACGAGCCAAGCATCCCCGGTTCCATGGCCCTACGAGCTCAGCATTCAATTTCGACGTGGCCAGGTCGAGTCTTCAGAACATGGGCATCGCCCCTACCGAGGACGTGATACATGATGACCTGACGACCGCACACGTCACTCCCGCGGGCTCTCCGCCGCCACAGTTACCAAGACAGATGCCCCCTGCACCGGTGACGCCGATACATCCTTCCAAGGATCCAATCTGGGCGATCAAACGGGAGGAATGTATTCGGCTATGCAGGGTCTACGAAGAAGAGATTGGGATCATGTATCCCATCTTTGATATTGAAAAGGTCATCAACCATACAAACCTCCTCTACACCTTCCTGGAGGCGGCTACTCGGACGGGATTCGCGCAACGAGGGCTTCCCGGCGCCGACTGTCTACAGGATGACGATACCATTAATCTAAAGATGATCCTTGCTACTACGTTAATGCTCGAGGGAAACGGACAAAGCGAGCTGGGACGGCAGCTCTTCGAGAACGTGAAGCCCATTTTCCACCAGAAGTTGCTGGAGCCCGTAGATATCAAGTCAATCCAGCTGTTCACCATGGTGGTGAGTCTCTGCCTTGCCCACAATACCGGAACGCCGTCCTTCTTTTTTTATTTATTAATGTCTGTCGTTAAAAGGCCACCTACTACTTCCACAGCGACGATGATATCATGGCCTACCGAATTATTGGTCTCACAGCACGCATGTTGCTTGAGATGGGCTTACATCGTCGCGATGCATTGGCGAAGTCTTTCCCAAATGAGGACCAGTGGTCTTCGATCAGTAAGATATTCTGGTCCGTCTATTCTCTTGACCGACGTTGGAGCTTTGGTACGGGGTTGCCATTCGTGATTCAAGACGAGGATATCGACCCAAACCTGCCAGAGCCGGTGAGTTTAAACGTCTAATCGTCTGTCCTGCAGCTATTCCTTCCCGGTTGCTGACTTGAGTGCTGTAGGATGGGTCAATGCCTTATCTAAAGAGCATGGTCGCTTATAACCGTATCAGCTCCAAGATATGGTATTCAGGCCTTGGCTATGAGGGCTCGACGGACATCAAGCGCGATGAAATTGGATTTCTGGACTACCAGGTCCTCCAATGGTACAAGCAGGTACCCGAAAGCCTAAAATTCTACGCGGTGGACTCGCCACGGGATGGCAAACCCATCAACAGAGGGTTACAGCGCCTACGGGTGCTGCTATATCTGCGTATGAACCAGCTTCGAATCCTTATCTACCGCCCCGTCCTGCATTCAGCCGCTAGTATTGCCGAGAACAAGGCTCATGCCCGGACGGTCGTCGATATTGCCAAGGACACGATCCGGGTTCTCACCCGGCTCAATCAGACATCCGACATTTACCGGACGCAACAGATCTGCTTCAATTACTTCCTCGTCGCGGCTCTGGCCGTCTTGTTCCTTGCTGTCTGCCATGCGTCCGCCGAATTCAACCGGCAGGTCCGGGACGAGTTCTACATGGCACTGGATTTGGTCAGTGGGTTCAGCACGAAATCTTATATTTCCAAGCGACTCTGGAAGACAATCAAGGGCATCCGCAAAATCGCTGAAAAGCTGGGTGTTTACGCTCGCAATGTTGGTCCGGACTCCAATGACCCTCACTCAACTGCGGCCGTGGCCATGGCTGGTCTGGCAGGGCACCCGATGGATGAGCTCTCGGTGTATGGGTCTCTTGGCGGAGTCAACGAATTGGGGAACAGTCCGATGAATGGGCTTCAGATGAGCCATGAGCTGACGAACCTGTTTGAGGCGGTCGGCGGATACAATCACTTCATGACATCGAATGGGGGGCCCGAGAACCTCAATGGGTTTGTTGGTACTGATGGTGAGCTCCAAAACTCTGGGGAAGGATTGGCAGGAATCCTAAGCAGTGAGGCAGAGTTCTCTCGTGTGCTCCGGGATCTTTTCTAAGGTGCTGTGTTTTTGGATGGAATCGATGGGATGATTCAAAAGTCGACATGTACGTATCATGGTATCATGATATCCTGAAATGTAGTGCATATTCTGGCCATAGCACAATAATATGCTTTCCTGATTCCCTGTGCTGGAAGGTGGTGGAGAGTGTGACAGCGACCAAGCGGTGCCGGCACGTGATGGCGAATCACACGCCGCGGGTGGGCGACGACACAAAAGCTGCTTGCACACAAGCGCAAAGCATCTCAGCCTGTCCCTGTCTCCACCACCATGCCTGTGTAAGTATAAAGGACAGTGTTTTCATGTTTGTTGTCTGAGTATCCAGGTCTCGTCCAGGCAACGTGTCTCTTTCCTTCTGCATTTCTGGACCTTTGCTGCCTTTTCCCACCTTGCCCCGCCAATCTACCTAGTTCGGGGTCCCTTCCCAGACCACCCACAGGCAATGCTGGAGAGCGTCAGCCCTCCCATTGACTCGGTTTGATCGATCCTAGACACTTCCTACAGAGTGTTTGTTTTTCAAGAGGTGTGAGGATCCGGCAGTTGTCCAAATTGACGGACAGGCGCCACTCTACTGCCATCCAACGACTGGTGCTTTTGCGCACCTCTATGACCCCTCGTCACAGCGTATTCTTAGACCAGACTCATTGATCTTCCCGATAAACACCACATCAACAATCGGAAGCTCTTGGAGAGGGAATCCGCGTGGCTCCCGGGCGTCGTCGCGACGCTGTGATCCAAGCCGCTCCTGCCAGCCCGGCAGCCCAGCGAGGAATTGCATCTCGACACGGTCCCACGACGACTTCTCGCCACCTTCGTGACAACGTGTCGGCAGAGACAGGACCGACACTGGCAGAGGGCCTCGAAAGGCTGGACTTAAGTCCACTATCCGCACCGACACCGCCCACGTCCGCCTTCAGCTCTTTCGCCATGTCGTCCTCCGAAGGCGCTCCGGAGTCCTGGATCTCCTCGTTCTGTTCTCTTATGGGCCATGAATACTTTGCGGAGGTCTCGGAAGACTTCATCGAAGATGACTTCAACCTGACGGGCTTGCAGTCTCAGGTGCCCATGTATAAGGAAGCGCTCGAGATGATTCTCGATGTTGAACCCGAAGAGGATGACGAGGAGGAAGAAGAGGAGGAAGAGGAAGAAGACGAAGATGAGTTTGGCGAGGGCAAGCCCTCGGGGTATCGCAGAGGTGAGCGGAGGCACGCGCGCGTCGCCAGCGATTTGAGTGTGATTGAGAGCTCTGCGGAGTTGCTTTACGGGTTGATCCACCAGCGCTATATCACGTCGCGCGCGGGTATCCAGCAGATGTTGGAAAAGTATGAAATGCAGCATTTTGGTGTTTGCCCACGGGTGTACTGCAACGGTTGCAAGGTTCTGCCTGTCGGTCGTACGGATACGCCCGGCCAAGAAACCGTCAAGCTCTTTTGTCCCAGCTGCTATGATATCTACACTCCCCCCAACAGCCGATTTCAATCAGTGGATGGTGCCTTCTTTGGAACTACATTTGGCTGTCTCTTCTTAATGACATTCCCGGAACTGGATATCGGCGGCACTCGCGCGGAAAGCATGCTCTCCGCATCCTCGCTCAGCGCTCAAAACCAGTCCCGGTCCTCGTCTCTGAATTCGTCCGGCGGCGCGCCGGCCCTCCCAGCACCTGAGCCGCCGCCTAACCAGCCTACTCAGATTAACGGCATGCTGACGTCGAATTTTGCCCCTGGCTTAGGCCCGGGCAAGATCTACGAGCCGCGAATATACGGTTTCAAAGTTTCGGAGCGTTCCAAATCAGGGCCCCGCATGCAATGGTTGCGAATGAAACCGCTCGATGTTACTGAGCTGGACGAGGCTGCGAGATACCATGCCACCCACGGGAACAACGACGATGACAGTGATGACGGAGACACGGAGATGGGTTCGACAGCTGGTGGCTCCCGGCAGTCGGCGACTGGGACGAGGAGAAAAGCGCCTATGCGGAAGCGAAGGCAGTTGCCATCCAGTAATCCTGACCAGATGGGCTCGAACGGTGGAGAAGGCGGATAAACGGTCGGCGTTTAGCGATCGGTGTTTTTGATGGTGCTCTTTGGGCAGTCTTTTTTTGTTTTCCCTTACACGTGGAGAATCAGATGTATTGACGACATGACATTGTGATTTCTTCCTTTCTCCTTTCCTCATATTCCCACTCACCATTCTCCCTTGAATATTTGTTTCTATTGCCTGATTGTGAGATAGTCCAATGAAATTCACCAGGTTTAGGCGTTCCCAGCATGAATTATACAAAAACCTGAGCTCCATCAGTATGATAGTGTGAAATTATCGAGTAGGAGTATCCGCTAACTTAAACGATTCCCTTGGGATTCTGCCTGCTCTAGTGCATTTAATCTTAACATTATTTTCCTTGCAGGGATAGGAATGGTCGGATACGCCCCATAATTATAATTAGTACTTGGTGCCTATGGTTGCCTTGCGAGTGCTGAGGTCAAAGCTTCTTCGTGTCCACGGGATGCAGCCTAAACTTTCCGTTGTAGTCGAAGTATCGAGATCCAATGTTCTGGCCAGAACGCATACTTAAACCTGGCCAGTTCAATTGTTGTCTCCCCATGGGGTTTCATTGAGATTTTCGAGCAAGGAAGTTATCGTCCGGTTTCAATTGCGCTCTTTGCATCACGCATACATCCAGAACACCTTGTTACGACGTGCAATGGCTGCCATTGATACGATGGAAGCTCCATATAGTACTCTTCCATCGCTTCCAGCAAAGCATAGAGATTTTTTAAACTATGTCAACTCGCATCCAAACACTCCAATGCAGGAGCTCGTCAGACCCTACAATGAATATGACGGAGTTGTGCGCAAGATCTTTGCCCAAGAACCGTCGCATCCAGCACTAGCTGACAACCACCTCAACATTGTCCCTCTTTACGATGACACAGACGAAAGAAAAGCGACAGATATTCGGATTCGGGCACGCGATCTGGCTTCAGAACCAAAGGAGCTGCAGGAGAAATACATCATGCCTCTGAAGCATGAAGACCGCAAGCCGAACGGCGCTCCAGCCGTGGTTCCGACCTTGAAAGAATTTCGGACCAATTTCAACATCTTCAGCGAGGGCTCGTTGAGTGATCTCGATTGGAGCAACGTCGTTGCTGCAGGTAGCTCGGTTGTGACCTCCCTGCTTCCTGTGCCAGAGAAATACCGCGCCTCGAAGCGCGGTCACCGCCAATTTTATCATGAGATTTTCGCGCCTGCTTCGGATGTCGATCTCTTCTTATATGGCCTGACCGAAGAGCAAGCCATTGAAAAGATCAAGCAGATTGAGGCCAAGATCAGGGATTCGATCTTGGATGAGACGACAACAATTCGAACGAAAAACGCCATCACAATCGCCTCTAAATATCCGACTCGCCACGTACAGATAGTTCTGCGCATCTACAAATCAGTTGCAGAAATCTTGACCGGATTCGACGTTGATTGCTCGTGTGCAGCCTACGACGGCCGACAGGTCTACGTTGCACCCCGAGCCCTCGCCGCGTTTATTACCCAGGCGAACCAGATTGACTTGACCAGACGCTCTCCTTCCTATGAGAACCGTCTTTCCAAATACTCCCGCCGGGGGTTTGAAGTATTTTGGCCGCATTTGGATCGCTCTCGGATTGACCCGGTACGGCAGGCCTGTAGTGCAAAGCAAGCAAGGCCCATAACTTACTAACATATTCTTTTTAGACAATCTTCGAGCGAAGCTTTTCGCGGACAGTTGGCCTTGCTCGCCTCCTGGTCCTTGAGAAGTTGCCAAAATCTTCTGATCGAGAGTCCTACCTCCAAAAGCGACGAACGGAGCGTGGTCGACCACTTAAGATTTCACGAAGCCGGAGATCTGAACAATTGAAAGGTAACGTCAAGGATGATTGGGATGACGAGGTCGCGGAATGGGTGGAGCAGGACGACGTCTCTGACTATCATACCATTGTGGGTTCTGTTTCCTGTCAAGACAATGTCCATCACTGACTCTCTAAGCAGACTATTCCTTATGGGCCAAGATTCCATGCTAGGAGGATCGAGAAACTGTTGTATACGAGGGATCTGTTGCTGAATGCTGAGTGGAACAAGCCCAAGGATCGGGTGGTTACCCTTCATCGACATCCCGCGTTCTTTGGAAGCGCTGAAGATGTCATGCATGACTGTTGTGGCTATTGTCCGAAGCCAGCGACCCCCGAGGAGGAAGAGGTGGCCAAAGAAGAAAGCAAAATCTATGTCTCCGGGGACATTACGTTCATCAAAGATAATCCAGGACGTCAGGCGATTGGGAGTTTCAATCCCATAACAGATACCGATTGGACAGGTCAGTATCCTAGTTATTCTGAGACATGTCAGCGATGCTATTGCTGACATTTTTGTCATCAGAAATGGCTTATGTTGGGAACACGGAGCGTCTCTGCCAGGCGATTGTTGCTTGCAATGTTGAGGAAGTCAAGGATTGGCTTTCTCAAGAGGGGTCGGATCCTAACCGTCGTGACTACACAGGCAGAACGCCATTGCATCTTGCTTGTATGACTTCTACGCCAGAAATCGTGCAATGCCTTGTGGATCACGGTTCCCGGTTGGTCAGCCGCCTAGCGGACGGTCGAACAGCGTTGCATCTGGCGGCTGCAAGAGGGAATGTCGAAATCGCCAGAATCCTTCTTACGAAAAGTGCAGAGAACGAAGAGGAAGAGATAAAGAAAGAACAGGCTCGCAAGGAACCTGAGCGAAGAGCCAGACAGAAAGAGCAGAGAGATGCAGATGATGACGATAATGGGGACGGTGAGCTCGTCAGCAATGCGTCCGATGATTCGGATGAAGACTTCGAGTCTGTCGCCACAGGGTCTTTTGTGAAAGTTGAGAAACAAGGCAAAAAAGACGATGTCTGTGCCGACAATATTCCCGACGACACGAACGAAGATGAGCCGGATGTCTACGATATCAACGTCTTAGCTTGGGACAATCCCACCTCTCCCTTGCACCTTGCCATATTGAACGGTCACGTCGATATGGTCGATGAGCTGGTCGCCTCTTTTGGGGCTGACGTGCTTCTGCCAGTCAAAATTACTAGAATTCGACAAGCTGCCATTCTGACCCTCGCTCTGGCTCTCACACTGCCCTCCCAGAAGGCGAAAGACATGATGGCAAAACTTTTGCAGCTGGGTGCGTCCCTCACTCAAGCGGACCTAGACCAGTGTACGCCGTTGCATTACTTGGCAGCTTTCGCACATACCGAGCTTCTCGATGTGCTGCTGGAGTACGATAAGCCTTCTGTGGATCGTACGATCAATCATGTAGCCGTCACTGGCAATTTCCATAGCAGCCCGGCCGCCTACTCTGCTGTCAAGATAGCAGTGAACACGGCGAACCTCATGCTCGTTGTCAAATTGCTTGACGCTGGCGCGAACCCATCTATTGGCTTCAGTGACTTTATCAAGTCTGCTCGGCTAAAGTTTGACGAGTTTGAGCGCAGATCGTCTGAAGAAAACGAGAGAATATTCGAGGAAACTGTCATGCAGCCTGTCGTTCGTGCCGTCGAAATCGACCAGCCTTTTATTGCACTCGAATTACTTGCACGAGGAGCTGACCCAAACACGTTGACCCTCGATGGATGCAGGGCAAAGAGACAGGCAGATAGATTTAGGCCGGTGAGAGGCACATCATTGCTAGATCTCGTGAGAGACAAATTGCAGTCTCTGAGACGGTACAACGGGGAAAAGGTGTCATCGCAGCCGCCCGAGCCGCTGGATACGGACGACAACGTCTACCTCCAAGATTTTAAAGATGGGACGTACCAGATGTGTTCTGCAAGGTGGGCATTGAAGGGTGCCCGAGAGCGGTATGAAATTGCGAGAAAGAACCATGAAGCAAAGGTATTCGAAGCGGAGGCAGGCAAAGGCGTGGATGAAAAGAGGGCGGCTGTGCAAGCCCTCATTCCCGATTTTGAGAGGCTCGAAGCAGACCTAGAGGCACGGGGTGCGAAGACGTTCAAGGAACTATTCCCAGACATCCAAGTACCTTCCAAGAACGACCAAGACAGTCAGATTCAGCAGTGGAAGCGGGAATCTTTCAAAGTATCTTTTACTTTTACAGTTCCAGATCTCGACACTGTCAAGAGAGAGGGCTATATGAAATTGTGAGTTCTATTCACCGTCCATACATGGTTAATCATGGCTAAGTGTTCTTTAATAAAGATTCGAAGCCGCATGGAGCGGTGATCTCCGCATGATCAAAGACCTCACACTGAGGATGTGGGGACCGAATAAGGACCAAACCCCTCTTCAAATTGCAGTGTTTGACCAGGATGGCTTCTCACCTTTCGCCATTGCTGTTCTGTGAGGACATCTTGAAGTTGGAAGAGCTATCCTCGAGATTGTTTGCGCTCAGTATCACCCAGGAGAGCGCGGCGGCCGCGTCAGTTTCCATATGAGTGTCGACGACGATCCTTCCGGCGACGAGCATGACCATGGAATCAACATTGACAGTGAGATAATTGATGACCAGTTCACTGTCGACAACGTGGCCGAGGTGAACGCGCAGGTAAAATGCAAGGTTACGCCAGTTCAAGTGTTATCACGAAAATGCCCGGCATATCGTTTCACAGAAGATCAGGGAATGAAGGCCGTCTCCTCTGGTAAAGCTTCAGCAGCAGCATCCAGAATGAAGCGTGATCCCGATGATTGTCGGCCGAATAACCTAATACAGTATGCGATCCGGCGTGAAGACGTTGACTTACTGGTGTTCCTGCTCGAACTGGGGCGCAAATATTCGATTATAGGCACTGAGAAAGAGTCATCTCACATGTACAACGTTTCGGAAGCAGATTTTCACTTCGCAATCAAGCTTGGACATGTACGCTGCCTTGCTGAGCTCATCAAGCGGACTGGAGCCGGGATTCCGCTTGATGAGATTGCCCAGCACAGCGGAGTCGAGCTCAAAGAGAAACCCAGGTATTACCGGGGGCTGTCGATCCGTGGGAAGAAGCGAGCGGACTGGGCAGAAGCGGGAGGGTTGTCGTCTAGACGGCATCACGACAGCCATCCTCCTCTACTGGTGGCTGCTTTCAAGGGCAGCCTTGACAGTGTGGAATGGTTCCTCAGCACGGCACCCCAGCGGCACTATTCGGAGTTTGTCGCTGCACATCAGCACGATGAGAGGGTGAAGAGACTTGCGCAGACCGAACTGGGAGTCGAGGGATCTCTGGCAAACTGGCTCGGTTTGAGAAGTAAGTGGATACTACTAAATTAGTGAAACCAACGGAGAACTAAGTTTCGATACAGATGACCTCGTCTTGCACTGCGCCGTCCTTTCCAAGCCAAGCGAGGAATCGGAGCGCTTGGTCAAATATCTCATTGAGAATGTTCCAAGCTCCCTCGAAACCAAGTCTGCAGAGGGCCACACGCCACTCGCGCTGGCATACTCACTGCATCGCACAAGCATTGCGCGCATTCTCATTGAGGCAGGAGCCAATCAAGCAGTCCGCGACCAGAACGGCAACAATCTGATACACCTACTCCTTTGCGGTGTCGACAATGTAGCAAGCGTTACCACGGACGATTTACAAAATCTTCTTGACCTTCTCGACCCGCTTTTGGTTCCATCCCTGCTTACAGAACGGTCCACCAGGGGCCAGACGCCAGTTTGCAGTTGGATGGATTTGGCGAATCCGCTATCGGGACACGTCTACACGCACCTGAGCGGCCGTGGCAAGATGAACACGAAGTCGGAGACGGATGGAAAGGTGGCAGTCATGCGAGTCCTCTTGGATTTTGCCGCTCCCACGGGACAGAAGCACCTGGAGTTGTTAGATGGAGGAGGAAACACGCCCATGCATAACGCGGTTACGATGCAGCTGCCGAGGATTCTCGATCTCATGCTCGAGCGCCGGCCCGATCTGCTGTATCGGGAGAATGCGACGGGGTGTACTCCTGCGGATCTCGCGCATGACTTGTGGGTGAGTGAAAGAACAGCGTTCCCGCCACAGATTCCCAAGGACTTTGTCAGCCCATCCGAGGGGGACGAGAGGAAGAGTGTCTTGGAGCGGAAACCGGAATCCTTTGTGGTGGAGAGGGATCCCCGAAGCGAGAGACAGATGATATGGGATCTTTGCCGGGAGCGGATTGAAAGAGGAGTGGGAGGAGGACAGCGCCGACTGGTCAGTCTGTCCGAAGCGAACGAAGTAGCCAGGAGGGTGGCTGCACAGGAGAAGCGAAGAGAGAGAGCAAGCGATGAGGTGAGCGAGCGGTACAGGAAAGCAGTCAGGACGGCGCCACCAGTCGCGTCTGCATGACACAGTTAATCTGTTTTACTCATAGTATATTCGATTGAATTCGATCTTGTTTATCTCTAAACCAGACGATGAGTTGTAAGTCCAATCTATGCTACCCTAACATTAACCCAGCACAAGGTGCATTGTTTTTATTTCCTATTTCGGAAAGACGAGCTCTGCTATATATGTTCTGTCCATACATAAAACTTAGGTTTGTATCTCACCAGCAAACCATAGTCAAGATTCAACATGACAGCAATGACAATAACGTGACTTTAAAAAAAGATAATTTTTCCGAACCATGCACAGGCTGTAGCGTGGCGTGGCGTGTGGCGGCTCTAAACTAGTCATTTAGTTTATATGCACGGAAACCTTGCGGAAGGATTCGAAGGATTTAATTTAATTAGTTACTTCGACTTGTTGCTATATATAGCCCTTTTCATTCCTAGACTTAGTTCACTGAGTGAACTTCCAGAGGGCGGCGAGCGGCAGCAGCAGCAGTACATTTTATTAAAAAATTTCGATAGGGAAAACATGAATGGATGGATGATGAATTCATGAATAGAATATATAACAGTACATATAGTACAGGACAGGATAGGCTAGGATAGAGTTGCAGGAAGGTAAGTGTGTGCATGGCCTACTTTGTGGGGGAAAAAAATACCTACTATGTACTTGGTAGTTACATATGCAGTCTGCGCACTGCTTGCCTTGTTGGGGATATGGAAGGTGTATCTCTCTATTTTTTTCATTCTGTGATCTGTTTTCATCGGGTTTTACCCTTTTACCTTTTTACCATTCTTGCAGCTTGCTTGCTTGCTTGATGATCGTACTCTGTAATTCTATAGTTTGGTTTAGTTTAGTTATTGTTAGTACTATTAGTCTGTTCCCCATTAGACACTTAACTCTAGTTACTTCATTTACTTTATTTACTCCATCTATTTCATGATTTATTTATATAAAGTTCTGACTTTGGACCCTAACTATAGTGTGTTTACATAAATAGATTATTATTACATACAGATCTCTAGATCACGCTATCTCTGGGTACATAGCTAGCTGAAGCTTGGCTGCCGTACTTACTCTATAGTGTATTGGATAGAAGAATAGATGTGATGCATGTGCGGCGTTCTATTTCTAGCTCATATCCAACATCGTACTCATCTAGCTACCAATAGTTCAAGGTAGGTATGCAGACTAGACATTGGCTACCTAGGTAGATCACCTCGTGCACGGTTGAAAGCGAGGGTAGGCCCGGTAGAGGGTAGAGGGCAGAGCACAGGGCAATCGGATCGCTGGACTTGCAATATAGATCCATGTTTATATTTAGAATAGTTTGGACGTGGGGGATGAGATGAAGGTGAAGATGGTGTATGTATGTGAAGGGAAAAGCACGGAATTAAGCATCTACACACCGAAAAAAATGGGGTCAAGACAAGACATTATCGGCCCCCATATATTTACTAGTCGCAAGGAACTTTAGAATGACAGTACTTGCTCACTTGCCATAGGTTCAGTGCAGACCTCCATACGTACATACTTCGTATTCTGCTTTAGCCAAGGGGCCTGATTTTAATTAATTTACTTCGTCCGTGGGTGCCAGAAGAGACAGACAATAATGGGTGGGGGTAAAAAACAAAAACCGCCACAGAAAAAAAATACCAGAGTGGATAGTGATGGCAATTGTTACTATTATTAAATTTAGAATTTGGGGGAACTTTGACCAGACGGTGATCGGACCTACCTAGACGAAGGATGTTCTCAGGTTCCAAGGTCAAGTGACTCGAGTCGTATCTATGCGGAGTACATGTACTGTACACTCTAGAAAAATAAAAAAAAAAAAGGAGAGACTGTTCTTTCTGCCAATGGAAAAAATGACTAGAATTAATTAACTAATACATAAATTAATTAATTAATTGCCAAAACTCCTCTCACATCGTATATACCTGCAGGCAGTAAGTAAATAATCAGACCGCCAGGAGGCCTTAATTAAGGCGTTCAACAATCAACCAGACGCCAATTATTTAGAGTTCTCATACCCGGAGAGCTTCTTTTTTTGGTACCAAAAAGATCCCAATCCAAGGGTCCTCCGCAAGGGGAGAAGATCCTTACTCCTTCAAGTAAGAAAACCAGGCGGCCATGGAGGCCATCTATGGATCCAGTCTGGAACATATACTCCTACAAGGTAGGTAAATCCGTACGGAATTACGTTCTCAGGTAAGAAGACATCGTTGCATATCATGGCATATCGTTGCATATGGGAACAAAAATGTCGTCATGTATATACATTAGTAGTAACTTGGCTATGATTGCCACGTGTCGATATAAATTGAACTGAACTGAACTATACTGTATCGAGTACTGTACTGTATATACAGGACTGCCTAACCGCAAAAGGAAATTCCTGCAACAGACAGGACCTCACCTATTAGGTACAGTACCTACAGTTGCACTTCGCAGCGCGCACAAGCTTGCTACTATTATTATTCTATTAATCGCCGGTATGGAGTAATTCCGTAGTGTGGGGTATTGTTTACTACTCCCTATGGTAGTATCAGGTATGTATCAGCGTGAGACAATATCCATCGCTATCAATAAATAATCAGATGGAGCAACAATTTGCCATGGGGATTTCTTTTTATGGGCGTGTATTATGAGAATCGGCGATCGAACAGTAGGTAAGAAACGACTACACTACTCTGCGCGGAGTACTATCTATCTACACACAGATTGCGGTGATTATTCATCTTGCATGTCCTCATATATCGCATTATTAATTAATTCATTAATTAATTAATCACATGCAATTCATCTGATCAGCTGACTCTAGGCCCACGGACGGACGGATGGGGAGGAAAGATCGTCTCAGGTGATTACTGATTCCCTGTTATGGAAAATACCTAGGTAAATCTGCCGAGAGAGACAAAAAGAAAGAAAGACATGTGTGTATGTGCAGATCTACCTACGAAATGAAATAAAATGAAATGAAATAAGCCAACACACTTGACTCGACAATTCTCTCATACTGTAGAAAAATCGAAATAAATGAACCATCATCACCTATTCAATTTTTTCTTTTTTTTCCGTGAGAAAGAGAAAGAAAGAGAAGCTTCATCTCCTTGCAATTGGATCTACATACATGTAGTGTACATACATTAGTAGCTTGTTAAAAAAAAAACTCATTCAATAAACTAGTCTTCTAGTCCATCCCAATAACAGCATGCTACAGTATTTCCGTCCTTCATTCTAACCGTCTTATTCTTCCATTTTTTTTTTGCTTCCACAGATAGATTCTCATAGATACGTACTAAGGACACGCCAATCGCGGATCATCGGCGATCGCTATTAACTAGGGATTTCAAATCGGCGATCTGATCATGATGATCCGATGGACGGATTGACGGATTGATTCTAATTCTGGATTATATTACACACATAGTTAACTAGGCACGGAGTATTACTCTTTGCCTAGTAGTGATGGTGCTTTTCTTCCTGAAGGATCGTTAGTATATCCTTAGTACATCCTAGTATACCGCTAGTACGAAGTATACAAGTAATAATGTAACACTTTGATGATCCATAATATCCATGCACGGACGTCGGTGACTCGGTTCGTTCCCGGCGATTCAACGTCATCTGTCAACGGACTGGTCTTGATTTAGTAAACTCTGGCCCCTGCGAAAGAAAACGGCCCCTGCCTGTGTTTCTAAATAAACTGTGGATGGATAATAATTAGTTTCATAGGCTAGTAAATAAAGAAAGACACCGAGGAAGATCCCCCAATCCTACGTCCGCCGAAATCCGGCCCGTCGGGCTCGTTGGAATTTGGATCCTCCGGAGAACTCCGTCCAATAATCCATTATCTATAGATTGATGGATACCGGTTAATGAGACCCTGCCAAGCCATTATTCTGAAACACTTTAGGCTGTATCCAACCGTTTCATGTCAATTGTGCTCGTAACGTACTCCCGCTAATCCAAACCATCCTCCCAGAAGTGATCATGTATAGACACAAACGCCACTATATGCATGCACATACCGTAGACCTTAGAAAACAAGACACAAGTGGAATCCCAGCCATAACGGTATCATAATCCAAATCCAAAACAAACTAAATTAAATCTACATAAATGATATGTGGGGCGACAGTGACACTGGCTCCGGCGTCACCGGGTACGCGCTCAAGGATCCCGCCGGGGATGCTGACCGGGAATCATCGTAGGCGTAGGAATCGGCAAGTGGCGGGGTCTGTTGGACTCGATCGTCAGCCTCTGAAGATGTCAGAACTGAGCAACGAGACGCATAATCGCGCAGGACGTCAGGAGGAAGATGCTGCAGTATGACAGACTCTTGAAGAGATGGGTTTACCTGCAGATGAGGGTCTTCATGCGGCGCTGTCGCCGTCGACAGGTCGATCCCCGCCATGGAAGCATAGCTCATGCTAAACGGATTGAGCATATCCTCCTCGCCAAACGCGTTCCCTCGTTTCGCCGCCGGGGTTGAGGACGGCAGCGGCTGAAGGGGCGACGGCAGAGTCTCGAGATACTGAGTCGGTACCGAGAGGTCACCGTACTGAGCGGACGGTAGCGAGTTGTAGCTGGGGAAATGCTGCGGCAGAGGAGGCGGCGACGGGTATGCCTGGTGGCCATACGAGTCGTGATACGGATACGTAGAGTAGAAGAGCGGCGGAGGTGACGTCGACAGTTGACGAGTCGACTGTTGCGCGAACATGGTCCCGCGCTCGTCTTGACTGGGAGTGTAGACCTCAGTGGAGAGAACGCCGGCCTGGGGAGAGCTCCAACTGCTTGGCGGAGCCTGCTTGGAGCGCGAAGAGCTGCTTTGAGAGCGAGATTGTGACTTGGTCGCCTCTGGCTTCGTCCGGGCCGGCTCGACAGGAGACTGCTCTGGCGACGCGGAGGAGGATGCTGCTCGCCGCTCGAGATCCTCAAGGCGACGCTTCAACTTCTTGCCTGTGTGGGCACCAGTTTAGTAAATCGAGTCTCCCTTGTAGGCGGGTAGATAGAAAGACTCACGGTAATTCCGCTGGGCGATGCGGTTCTGGATGCGACGCCGCTCTGCTAGGTCGGAGATCTTGGTCCAGTCTTCATTGGGGTTGGCATTAGCGCTGAAAGCACTGCTCGTGCCATGGCTGTACCTCGACCCTGCGTATGGGTGGTTGAAGGAATTGCTACGATGCATGGTAGGGTCTCTTGATCAACAACTAGCAGTCACTGTGGGGGACACGGAAGAAGAAATGAGGTCTGCGATAGCAAAGGCGGATGGGACCAGCCGAAAGGCGGAGGGACAGCGCAGGTATATATATATATGCAGATGAGGCTGCTCAGCCCCGGCGTTCTAGGGCCTGACTAGCGGCCAGCTCAGAGCGAGCACCAGCAGGCGATCTGCCTGCACGCAGCCCACGGGCCATGGCCCAGCGGCGGACAGGCAGGAATGCCTAGTGCCATTGCAGGCGGCATCATTGACGCGTGGGCATAAAACCACTGGCCGTGCGCAGGGGTGCTGTAGGGCAGCTGGGGCGCTGCAGAGCCAGGGCCCAGGGTGCCCCGGTCAGGCCTCTTCCAGGCGTGCTGCGTGACAGCGTTCTGGAAAGTGGAAGGCACGTGTGCCCACGGCGGCTGGTGGCCACACGGCCGCTGCAATGGGAAACTGCGACACACTCGACGATCCGCGGTTTCTAGAACGGACTAGGGCTGCGGCGCAAGGAAGGAACGTTATTCATCCGCCAAGGAAGCTGAGACTGCTAAGTTTGCCCGCGCCAGGAAATCCCCCAAACGGTTAAACTTCCAACTTACAGGGTCGCCGCGGTGGGACGGCCTGAAAGACCTTGGCTGCTTTGGCTCGGAGCCATTCCGCTCGCTGTCGAAGCCATGCCGTTGTTGGTTGCCAGTATCCTGCGTATCCTCGTGCATCGCCCCGATCCCATCCGTGGTCCTGGTTTCTCAGTGACGCGTCGAGTCTCGCTCGAGTCTCGCACGAGAGGCACCTTGTGAGTCGTGACACATCATGCATCCCCTCCCCCGCATCCGCATGCTTTCCAGAGGTTTGGGGTAGGTTCGGACAGCCGAGACGGAGTAGTCACCGCCTTCTCAGCACGACATGAGCAGTATGATATTATCTACAACCCACCTGTTCAATCCAATGCAGCGAAAGATTAGCCATGAGCCTCTGCAGATCGATATAACCAGTTCCTATCTACATGCTGCCTCCGTACAGTACGTTTGTAAGCAGTCCGCGGTGCTGGACAGACCGATCAAGTTGGCGGTCTAGCTGGGTGGTGTGGCGGCTGCAAGCTTGCAACTTGCTGGTCAGATGCAGGGCGAACGGCTGAAGAACTGGACGCGGCCCGCCGACCTCGGGTCCGTGCTAGCGCATGCTTTGTCAGGCACGTCTAAATTTGACTGTGCTGACAAACCATGGCAATCACGCGCAGAGTCGCTGTTAGAACATTGAAGCTGACAGCCCTACGTCTGGACCATCAGCTGTGCTATCGGAGATGGGCGCCCCTTACGAAATGGCGCAGTATCGCCAGATTCACCACGTTCGAGACTTGTGAAAACTCGAGCTGAAGATCGCTGCATGCTTGACATCATTGCTTTTGTTTTACTCTGGATTTAGTTTGCCGGATTGCTTGGCCTCGGCACGGAAACTGATAGCGGATGGGGGCACGGCCCAGATCCGAAACGGATACTATAACGGTCTGGCTGGTATACGGACAAATGGATGAGCTGGTTAGTCCTCGCCCTCGTCATGGATCAATTGAATCTGGAATCAAAAGTATAACGGTCTAATCAGGATTGTAGCTGTCAGACCGTTAATCCTTCAGCCCCGTGACGGCATTTCAGAATCCCCGTTCGATTGGACAGAAGAGGTCGAGAACGTGTCAATGGCCGACTTTTAGCCGCCTACGGGAGTTCTATGTCCTCCGTCCTCCGGATTCTGAACCAGCTACCTATCTGGGTACGGGGTACTCCGTAGGTATCTGCCGACCAGGGCCTGCTGAAATCGCCACGTGCGAGTCTCATGCCTCTCTTAAGGTTATGCCGACATGACGCTATACTAGAGATCAGCCGCAGACGGGCTAGCTTCTGAGATGTTTTGTTGACCCCTGAAATATGCGGTTCCTGCAGGAAGAAACACCCGTTCAGCTGTCAATGAACCTACCTTGACGTAATACTGCTGACTGGCGTTGACAGAGCCATTGCCACGGTACTATCTAGGAAGCTGCAATAGCATAGGATAGAATCTCAAGTTTCTTAACCAGCTCGCTGCTCTATTCCAACTGCAGGTCGGCTCCTCATTGTGTACAGGTTGTACTTTCTCCCGAGTTTAGTTTTCTGGATGGATTGATTGACAATGGTGCTTTCCTTTCTCGGGAAAAGGTATTTTAACGCTGATTGGCCAGGATGAAGTTTAAACGCGTTCCGACGGGTACATTCCCTGGATCGGTAAAGGATTGTGGAGACGGGAAATGGGAAGAATCAGGGGAAGACGCATGAATGTACGGACTACGGAGTGTTCTGGACAGTGTACTACTACACCGTAGTAGACGAAGGATCATGAGTAGTTTTTGACAAAGCAGATCCTAAAATTAGGCGAGGTTCTACATTGATTATCACAGGCTCAGCGTGATACGAGCCCTATCGCCCGCATCAAGATCAATATCCTAGAAAGGGAACAATTTCCAATGGTTTTGTAGCATTTTTGACAAATCACGACAAGTCAATGACTGTTTACGCTGTAGCGGCAGTCAGATCTTTATTCCAGTGTTTGGGTACATGTCTAGCTGAGTTCGTTCCAACAGGGTTGCTTGCTACGGCGCCCTAAAAAAAAATGTCACGCGGTGCTATCCGGATTTTTGGGAACAGTCCCCATCTCGATTTGGGAGATCAGGCGACCAACCGGCCAGTTACAACTTACATCGAGGAGGAAGTCGGCATAAAACACCGACAAAACACCGACTATCCGACTGTTGGGGACCAGAGCAGCTTGCAGTTTTCTTTTTCTCCGACTTCAGCAGCCTCGCGCCGAGTTCATTGGCCTGGACAGACTGTGCCACAGCATATGCAGCAGACAGAGTGAGTGGTGGTACAGGGTGAGGGATGGATGGTCGCTCTTTCCTCTTTAGGATAGTGGTGGACGGCGGCGCCCTCTCGCCTACCTAAGTCCCAGGGTGCAATTTCCGCCGTGACGTCCGTCATCCCACCTTCGGCCCAATTCGCGGGCAGAGGCGGTCGCATCGCCTGCCGGAAACGCCCTAGTCCCCCCAACTGCCCGGTGCAGGGCTGGCATGCCTGGCGTCTGATTGGTGCGTCTGCATAACGTGCGGCCGCAGACTCGTAGGGCTGAGAAGGCGCGCCCT